GTCGGCCGACTCTCTACTTTTACGTTTTCTCGATCTTTCATGACCCCTAGAAGACGAAGAAATAGGTCTCCCATTTCCGTCTGTCTGTCCGTCTGTCCGTCTGTCCGTCTGTCCGTCCGTCTGTCCGTCTGTCCGTCTGTCCGTCCGTCTGTCCGTCTGTCCGTCCGTCTGTCCGTCTGTTGTCCCGGATTTTTATTAGACAGATAATCTCCGAAAGTACTCGACCGATTGTTGTGAAATTTTGTACTTATATTAAGAATATCATGTAGATGGTAAAACGCTAACCAAAATTTGTCTAATCATCCCCACCACTAATGCGATGACGTCACTTCAAAATTGTACATAGTAAATGGGATTTCAATTGTATAAAATAACATAGTCCTACACATGTAGTTTACAACTCTGAATCGACTTTTCACCCGAAACGTCCAGATTTTTGGAAAAAAAATCAAAATTATAAAACAACATTTTGAAATTTAATTTTTAATCTGCTAACCAGAATGCTTTGAAATGTTGCAGATGTTTTAAGCCTATAAAGAGCATTATAAATCTTTAGTCAAAAAATATTTGCTTATCCCCTCCAAAAACTTGATGACGTCAGCTCAAAAGTTTGTGGAATAAATCATATCTAAAATGTACAAAATATGATGAGTCTGTACTTGTGATCTATCACTCCATTAATATTTTTTGGATTTGCATATACAGGGTGACTCAAAAAAATTAATGAATGCGTAAATATATTTTACTGATTTACTCAGAAACTACAAAACCGAATGCTTTGAAATCTTGCAGATGTTTTAAGGTTATAAAGAGCATAATAAATGTTTAGTCAAAATATATTTGCTTATCCCCTCCAAAAAATTGATGACGTCAGCTCGAAAGTTTGCCGAATAAATCCTATCTAAACTGTAAAAATATGATGAGTCTGTACTTGTAATTTATCACTCCATTCATATTTTTTGGATTTGCATATACAGGGTGACTCAAAAAAATTAATGAATGCGTAAATATATTTTATTGATTTAATCAGGAACTACAAAACCGAATGCTCTGAAATCTTGCAGATGTTTTAAGGTCATAAAGAGCATAATAAATGTTTAGTCAAAATATATTTGCTTATCCCCTCCTAAAACTTGATGACGTCAGCTCGAAAGTTTGCCGAATAAATCATATCTAAAATGTACAAAATATGATCAGTCTGTACTTGTGATCTATCTCTCCATCCATATTTTTTGGATTTGCAAATACAGGGTGATTCAAAAAAATTAATGAAAGCGCAAATTTATTTTACTGATTTACTCAGGAACTACAAAACTGAATGCTTTGAAATCTTGAAGATGTTTTAAGGTTATAAAGAGCATAATAAGTGTTTAGTCAAAATACATTTGCTTATCCCCTCCAAAAAATTGATGACGTCAGCTCAAAAGTTTGCCGAATAAATCCTATCTAAACTGTACAAAATATGATGAGTCTGTACTTGTAATTTATCACTCCATTCATATTTTTAGGATTTACATATACAGGGTGACTCAAAAAAATTAATGAATGCGTAAATTAATTTTATTGATTTACTCAGGAACTATAAAACCGAATTCTTTGAAATCCATTGCGAAAAAAAAACATAATAGGCATGCAGTCGTCACGTTTCCGACAGCGAGGGAAGTACTGTCTAAACTCTTTAGACCAATTTTTTCTAGTGTTAACCACGCTGTACTGATTTCCATGTTTTCTAGACATTTCATAATCCCTTGAATATGGAAATATAGGTCTCTGTTTCCGTGTATCTTTCATCTGTCTACCTATACATCGTCTGTCTGGTAGCAATTTTGTCAAAGAAATAATCTCCAAAACTACTAGACTAATTGTTGTCAAATTTTACATTTATCTGCCTCATTGATTAAATATCATTTTTTCGTACATATAGTAGTCTTATTACTATTGTTAGACTGTATGTATTAGTAATAACATAATTCCTTTTGTTTTTAATTTTCTGTTCTAGGTTGTCATCCCACCAATTTGTTGTCTGGTGTATTTTTTCCGCGTGCTATACAAGTCTATATATTCGAATTCTTATTTGTTATTCATATTTATCCATCTCTTTTAACGTTCTGAAAAATAGTGTTTTCAAAGATTTTGTTGCGCCAATCTATTTATCTAACTAATTCACGTTTTGGTTAATAATGTTTGTTAATTTGCTGTTTCCTAGTTGGACAGTAGTCCCTGCAGATGATAAATATGTATCTGTGCCAACCTGCCAACACCAGACAAGGGTTGACACAGATGTTTTCGACTGTTAGATTTAAGTATTAATGTTTTTATAAATCGAAAATAAGTATTTTGACTAACTGTATAAGGATGCTCAGTTACGGTCTATATTAAAACCGAAGAAATTAGTTGAGGGAATTAAGGAATAGAAAATCAGAATGCTTAAGCCTTCAAATGTCTTTCAACACTACATTAATGTCCTACACCTTCTTTCTTTTTCTTAAATTTGTAATTTGATCTTTAAAAAAAATATTCTAATCTCTGAAAAATTGTAATGCGGAAATAACCTAAATATGCAAGTGCTCCATTAAAGCCGTATCTTGCTTTCGCGGCAAGTTAAAATTATGCTTGGGTTTTCGTAAAATATGCGTGAGTTTCAAAATATAAAGTAATAAAGAGTTTATTACCAGGAGTGTTATACTTACTATTTCACAGCAATATGCTTAGACAATAAGATAAGATTAAACTAATGTGTGTATTTATTTTCTCCGTTTTAGTATCCATTCAATTATCTTTTTAAAAACTGTAATGTTTTTCGAGTATTTTTTAACCTAGGGATGATAGCGTTGTAAAATAAGTGTTAAAGGTTAACTACAAGAATGTTTTATATGCATAAAAACTGATGACTACAAAGGATCTGTTTCTGTTATTTAACATTTTTATTGTTGTATAAACCATTTTATATTCCAAACTCAATTTACTAAACTTATTAGACATTTAGTCCCGTTAAATGTGTTGTAGCCTGTTATATATGAAGCAAATGTATAAATATAATTATATTACACATAAATAATTCCGCGTAGCGGTAATGTAATGTACTTTTATCAAAGTAATTACCTACCTACATGTACATTTAAAAATCAGTAATATTTATAACTGTTTATTTAATTTTTTAATTATTTCTTATAATAAGTAGGACTTATAGCTTGAAATATAAAAACTAATCATCTTTGCATTAAGTACGTAAAACCACTGTTAAACAAATAAGTAAATAGTGTAAAAAATTCTCATACATTTGTTTATGGTAAAAATGTATTTAGCCATGTATAATCTTTTTTAACTTTTATTTGCCAAAAATTTTTGGAGTATATAATAGAAAATTGACTATAAGGTAAATCAGTTGAAGGTATTAATCGAGTAATATGCCGATTTTAAACAACTTTGACGCTCCCTGCAACTTTTATATTATTAATATTTATAAACAGCGTTTATCCAATTATGCGTACAAAGAACATATAAGTGGCTTCTGTCTATTGACGCTGAAACAAATATAAATCAACCGACGATTAAAATAATACAAGTACATAAGCATCGTACAAGTTTATTTCTACGTGCATATCTTGCACAAATAAATGAATAATTGAACAGATGCCGGTTGTTCTTCCTAAGCTGGATTGTTGTGAAGGAGAAGGTTCATCTTATCGCCTTCACTCTCAAAATTATACTTTCAAAAATTGGCAAAAGTGTGTAGTATGGGCACAATTGTAAAACTAAAATTTATGTATCCCGTATTTGCATGAAATTGTGATCGTACCTTTTAGGAAAATTAAATATTAAAATAAATTTAGAAACGTTTTAAGATTTTAGAAAAGTATTGTTACTAATTTATCAATTTTTTATAAAAAAATTATTTAGACTTAACAAAAACATTGTAAGTATCCGATTTTTACTAACTCGCCTAAATCTTGTATCAAATTGATTTAATATTTTTTAGCCACATTCCATAGAGAATTCAACAGCCGTTTTCACTTAAAACTTCATTTCGCGTGATCCAGCTCCTTCCACCTGCCAAAGTGTGTCATGAAAAACTTTATGTTGCGTTAGATTTTTTGCCTCCAAATTGCTTGCAGTTGTGTGCAATTACCGAATTAAGATTGGGAAAATAGGTGTTTTTTCCCTCCTGTGGTGAAACAGAAAACGCAAGAGCAGTATCTACGTAAAACTGAACGTCAATTAATTAAAATTTTAAAATATGACTCGTATTTCTCATCAAGAATACATCTCTTTAATTATACTGCCGTTGAGGTTAATGTTAATTTGACATAATCAATTTCGGTAGTGGGAAACAGGTTCTCTACTTCGTTGTTTAGATTTTATCATATCTGGTAAATGTCTTTCCAGATTGTACGTAAATTTATGTACTTACACGACGCCACCAAAGGACGAGAATTAATTATATGCATTCACCACTTGTTACTTTATTAATCAGTGGTGTTAAAGGAAGTGTTTTTTAGCAACTTCCGGTAATTAAGCTCTATTAAAAGCCTTTTTTTTACTATGTTTTTCTTATGCTTATTGATCATTCCTTATTTGCTTAATCAGACACAAAGATATGCGCAAAAAATGACAACCCTTACCAGGTTTTTAATGTGGCTGACTACTCCGTAATATTGATATCAAGCAAACCCATCTAACTTGATCTGCGATTATTATGTTGTGGGTCATTATGCCCACAATAATTAGAGAAGACGGATTCACCTGGTGCATAGGAAGCTCGACACGAGCAGTGACACTCTTTGGCTGTTTGATCTGCAGGTGCTGCCTTGATTCGTTAATAATTGCGCCTAAACACTGAACCTCCAAGAATAACGTTATTAGTATTGCAAAGCTGACGTCTCAAGTGCAACTGCAGATGTAAATTTTTTGAACCTTCAAAGAGAAAAAAGTCAATTGAAGCTTTTGTTGTATACATTATTTTATGATTAATTCACTTTATGAGTTTGTTATTGTTCCAGGTCAGGCAGGTGTAAATCAGTTAGGTGGAGTGTTTGTGAACGGACGACCTCTACCTGACTGCGTAAGAAGAAGAATAGTTGAACTTGCCTTGCTTGGAGTAAGGCCTTGTGATATCTCTAGACAGTTATTAGTTTCTCATGGATGTGTTTCAAAAATACTTACACGGTTTTACGAAACTGGCTCTATTCGACCAGGTTCTATTGGAGGATCTAAGACCAAGGTAAGCCAAGAAAATAACATATTTTTATTTTCACTGGTTTAAATTACAAATATAACAAATTATAAAAAATGTTACCTACATCATAAACTCAGTAGTATGTAGTGAAAACAAAAAAGATTATGAATTACTGTTAATTGAATCTTACTTAAAATTTTTATTTTTAATTTAAGTAATTGTTGACCCCGCATTTTAAATTTACGTGCTTGAATTGTCGTTAAAACGGCTAAAACTGAACCATCAAGTCTTTACAATTTATCTCAGAGGTTACACAACGAACTCCTTATAAATTTTCATAAGATAGAATGGATCACAAAACGCTGATTAAAATCTCTCAATTTACGCCCTCAAATGCTGCATTGTTTATGCTTGCGCAATATTCCTTTATTTTTTAAAATTGCTTGCATAAAATAGTTCAAAAAATTAAGGACTCTTTTCTTTTATCTACCAACATGAAAGCGGCTTATCTAATTTCCTTACAATTAAAATCTCAGGTACTTTATATTTAATGGTAGTTACTTTGTCCGTTTCAGATTAGTTCAGGATGTTTTTGGACAAAGGTAGGCCAATTAAATCTAGTAACCAATTTGCCAACCAATTTTGTATATGCAAAGATTCCTAATGAACAATGATATTATATTAATAAGTTAATGTTAGAAAATCTGACAAAAACTGTAACACTGCTGCCAGCAATTTCACACTTTGTATTTTCCATTCCAATAAGTACGATTCAAATTACAGAAGTAAATAATTATTACTTCAGTATTTAACATTCATAGTCAATAGTCATAGTTTAGCTTTAATAATCTGTATCAATATATTTGACTATATTACCTATGTAATTATTCTTAGCAGTTAACATAAAATAATGAAAAGGAGTAAATAACTGAAATAATGTCTACATCGTTTCTGCACGCTTCTTGTGCTTCAGGAGTGTTCATTCTAGTTCTAGTTGATGGTGCTCAAAATTTGGAATAGATGGTTCAAGAGACAAAAGGAAAACTGTATGTTTTTACAGAATAATGTCCAAAAGGTCACCATCCTCAGGTCAAAAATAAACTCTAATAAAGTGTATCTAACTAAAGACTAAATGACAATTCTGTATACTTAGTATATATGTTGGAACTTTTTGTCTAAATAATGTATGGAATGCTTTACTTAAAAATTTGTGAAGTACATATGCAGTGGAATCCAGAACTGCGGACTAATGAATAAAAAATTATACAGAATAAAATAAAAAGGTCATTTAAAGAATGGTAATACCTGTCTTTTCAATTAAAAAATTTCTGAAATTAAAAAAAAAACATCCTCTGGCAAGTTACGCTTTACTATTTTATTCCATTTCGATTATTTCTCTAGAAAAAATTGAGTCATCAATTCATCATTATCGTCCTCTGATTCTGACTCTGAATCAGATTCACCTAGTGAAATAAATAATGAAAGAAGAATGTCTTCATACGAAAAATTTCTCGTATGTTTTTTCGAGTCGGGCAAAATAAATTTTTCGCTATGTCCACAAAAATGTTGCCACATGTTTAGAGTACATTTAGAGAAAGCTTCAAGCCATAAATTCTCCACCCAATCCTTGGATGAAGGTTGAGAATATACATATGTACTTGTTGTACTAATTCTTACAAAGCCCCCATGCTATTTCAATCAGGTGGAATTGACAATGGTATGGGGATAATCTAATTTCTTGAACACTTTAACATGAATGAAAAATTCATAAAAATTGAGCTTGGGATGGATATGGGTGGGGCTTAATTTTTGGCTTTTTTTTTAATATACATAGTATTCTTTGAACAACACGATACTCAAAAACATATTTATTTCTTGTAGAAAAGTAAGGATTTTGCAATCAAACTCCGCCCCTGCGCCTCACGACGAATAAAAAAATCATCACAATTGAGATAGGGCGGGTGGGCGAGTCTTACATTTTACCTTTTTTTCTTAATATGTGCAGTCATCTTTTCAAGACAAGAAACTTAAAACATGTTTCAAATGGTAAATTTGTATAGGGAAATATGGATTTTGTAATTACGCTCCGCCCCTCGGTCTGACAACGAATGAAAAATTCAATACGATTGAGATCGAAACGGATGGGTGGGGCTTCTCTTTTGGTTTTCTGTTTTAATTAATACATTTAATTTTTTGTATAACAGAACATATTTCACATGGTAATTTCTCGTAGAAAAATAAGGATTTTACTATTAAGCACCGCCCCTCGGCTTATGACGAATAAAAAAAAATCATCAGAATTGATATAGGGCGGGTGGGCGGGGCTTATATTTTGACATTAACATGTTTTGAGTATCGTGTTGTTCAAAGAATACTATGTATATTAAGAAAAAAAGGCAAAATAGAAACCTCGCCCACCCACCCCATCCCAATTGTGATGATTTTTTTTATTCTTAGAAACTTAAAACACGTTTAAAATGGTAAATTTTTGTAAGAAAATATGGATTTTGCAATTAGACTCCGCCCCTAGGTCTGCCAACGAATGAAAACTTCATTACTATTTAGATCAGGGCAGGTATGGGTGGGGTTTAATCTTTGGCTTTAATTTTTTCTTAATATGCACAGTATTCTTTGAATAACAAGAAACTTGTCTTACATGGTAATTTCTTGTAGATAAATAATAAGGATTTTGCAGTTGAATTCCACTCCTTTGGCTCTCGACGATTAAAAAAAAATCATCACAATTGAGATAAGGCTGGTGGGGAGGGCTTATATTTTGCCTTTTTCTTAATATACGTAGTCGTCTTTTCAGAACAAGAAACTTAAAACATTTTTAAAATGGTAAATTCTTGTAGACAAATATGGTTCTTACAATTAAGCCCATGGTACACGAATGTTAAACGCTCACAAGAATTTTGAAAATGGAGAAATTTTCTCAAAATAGTTATTTATGTATTAAGGGCATAATTAGGGAGATTAAGGCACGACGGAATGTTTAAATCCCGACGAAGGAGAGCTTTTAATTTCCCGAGGGCCACAATCAACAATTATGCCCGTAGTACATGCAACGTTTTATTCTGTTTTAGTTTCTAAAATATTTTTAACGAAATATTGAGTATTTCCGGCAAGATTGTGTGAATTGTGCCGATGCGAATTTTAATAGCTATCTGGCTATTATTTTGATATTGTTATGGATACCACGTTGTTTATTTGTTAAATAATTCGATTTTCAAAATGCAAACTGAAGAAGCGAAAAACGTTTATTCAAAAGAAATTTTAGAAGAATTTGAAGTCTGCCAGGGAATGACTTGTGCTATAAAGGCCAATTTATGCCCGCATTTGGGTGCTTACCTATAAACAAGACTATGATCCTAAAATAGAATAAAAGTAATTTTTGCTGCAACATGTTTTTGTTCACTTAAGATTTTGCGACCGTTTACCTTCCTACCTCTTATAACCATTCTGCAAAATTGACATTCTTGAATTCTTCTATTATTTCATAAAAACACCCATTATTGCTGAAACTACGTGTAACTTCAGACAAATAACCTATCATGGGTTGAGATAAAAACAATTCCATAGAATTTTTTTGTATTTCTATTGGTTTGTAGTAAACACACATGTGTAATTAGTTCTTCACTTTTTAATAAGCTTAAAAACCACCAAACAAAAACAGGGCAATAATACGCAGATAAAAGCTCTATCTAAATTGCGGGCGCATATTAATTTCAGCGTGCGTGAAGAGCGTGTAAACATAATCGAGTTTTCAAATAGGCGATAATGAGTTTATTTAACAGAGATTGCAGCTGTGCCAACAGGACATCCACGTAGGAATTAGCCTTAATACCAGGCGTTACAGTTCACACGACCGACCAACTTGCTCATATCTGCGACCATCTTGCATCACTAAACATCAACACCTTTTGTGGTAGCAGAAAAGTGCTTTAATTATACCCGACTCAGAAAGTTAGGATTAGTTTAATCACAGGGCGGCTACAACAGAATATTATATAATAACAATTGATCTAAAGGTATTTAGACAAAACTGAAGCCTAAAGCGTTGATCTGAAAATTTCGCATAGTAAATTTAATTTAAATTTTATAAAATAACATACTAGCTGTGATTTATGAATCCGTCTTGATTTTTTTTACCTCGGACATCCAGAATTTTGGGAAAAAATGTTTTGGCAATTTGTTGTAGGTTTTTGCCATTGCATTGTGAGTATTTTTAAGTTACGCCTATAAATTTACAGTGAGTTGTCGTTCACAAATTGTAATAGCTGACAAACAGACGGACGCTAGCTACATGAGAGACAAACGGAAACAAAGAGCTACTTTTGCATATTCTAAAAGCTATGAAACCTCGATATATAAAATTACCCATACGTCAAATTGCGGAGGTAAAAAGTCTAGTTTTCATTTATTTTTCATGAAACTTCCTAGTAATTTGTTCTCGAAATCTTTGGTGACATCTTCTGTAAATACAAAGGGGTGAAATTTACCACACGTGAATAATTAGGTTCTCATTAGACCGAAAATAACGATACAAAACGAGTATGTAAACAAGAAAGCGACGGACATAATTACACCCCTGTGGTTTAATATAAACATGATTATAATGCCGTGTCGTTACGACAAATTACGTCCTTTTTCGGAAGTTGCGTACTGTTAATGCAATGTCTAATTAATCATTATTATTTTATTTATTGCTTTAAAAATGTGTAACAGCAAATTGTGAAATTTCCGATAAGTAAGACAAATTAAAATTAATGTGGGTCGTTAATAAAACCTCATTATTTTATTATCTAAAATTCAGTTTTGTAATTGTTAGGTTATACTTTCGAGACATGTGAATGTTTGTGGTTAACGGAAGGTTTTACTCGATGGATGGCGCGATAGCACAGGGTTGTGTCACTACAAACACCGGTCTAATGCGACCGCGACACGCGCGAGGGGTTTTTACTGGCATCCATCTCAACTGTCAGCAATTTTCCACTTACTACTCTTTTGTAACAACTTGTAAGACACAAATGTTGAAAGAACAATAATGAAGAGTAGTAATTGTTGTAAACCAACGGGAAAAAATGTATTACCAGTAGGTACATGCTTAACTTCGGTTGTTTATGAATACGTCGATTAAGCGCGTAGCGAGCTGCTTCATTATAATGATTTTGTCTCCTTAAAACTGGAGAGACGACTAAAATCATCAATTAAGCTACAATGGAGCAAAACGTTCTGAATATTATCTTGGATTTGGATATGCCTCTTATTTTGATAATTCTTATTTTATTCCTCACCTTCGCATTAATAATACAACATTTTTACGGCATGACCACCGAATTTACAAGACGTCAGTGCTCTTATACTGGTATAAAATGTGACTATGCAATTTGGATTTTTTGCGGAAATCTGTATGTAGATGGTAAAAAACAAGGCGGATTCATGAATTACAAGTATAGAAGTATGTTACTGTATAAAATTTAAATAAATTAACTTAGGTGCCACCACGGTGGACAATTATAGTGCATAGAATTGATGTTATTGAAAACATTGTGACGATATTTTAATAGAAGATAATAACATACATTATAATGTAAAGTTGTTGAACAAAATGTCTAACAACGTAAAATCGGTTATTGATTATTATTAGTGCTTAAGCTAATGGTACTACTCGGTATCTTAGCATGATAATGGGTTAAAAAATGCATTGAACCTGAATAAAGATTCAACTTAATGATTTTCGATACGTTATAAATGCGAACATGTTTACATTAAATGGTTCTGGAGTAGCAATGGAAAATATTTCAAGTCCCGATAATGAAACATGCATGCAGCAGCACTATCATAGTCCCATCTCGTGTCAATATCGGTGTTTACAGGAAAGGATAAACATATCAGATAGTTTGTGTTGGTCACATCGATCATGTTGTATTATGGGCTTGGTAGATATGTTATTATCATTAGCTAAATTGCACGCGTTTTATTCTTTATTTTACTTGGAGATAGCCACGACAATAATTACAGAATAAATTAACTATTTGCACACAAACTGGTTAATTTTGAACATGAAAACTTTTGTTACAGCAAGTAGCCACCCCTACGGTCGTGAAGAAAATTCTCAGGTTCAAGCAAGAAAATCCTGGTATGTTTGCTTGGGAAATTCGTGAACAACTGATCTCTCAGCGTGTTTGCGAACCACACAACATACCCTCTGTCAGCTCTGTTAATCGCATTTTGCGAAACAGTGGCGTCTGGCCTGATCCACCTGAAATATTGCACCATCCCAGACCGCCACCTCCAGGTCAGTTAAAATTTTAATTACTTTACCTGGTTTCACTTAAGAGAGGTTGCGAACGTCTATAATTTATGAGGTTCATATTTTTAAGATTCTTTATCAAGATGTCTTCATTAGGACATCGGAGGGTCCCATCAGAAATTAACGTTAGATCAAGATTGCCGAAAACAATAAATTGACGTCTTCTTTTAAGTTTGTTCATCAATAACTTAGTAATCTAGATATTTTATGCTGCTTGTAAATCAAACATAAATTGATGTGAAGAAGCTCTCTGATCGATTTATTATATAATTAGGCTTACGTGTAATTGCAATTAATCGTAGAAAGTTTTTAGCTGTTAATATTATATTTCTTCACTGCACGTACTAATTGAATATTAGTGAGCTAATCGTTCAAATATATACATATATAATTAATCAGCATAATCTTGCTTAATCTCAACATTTTTTCAGATTCCCTAATGAGAGGAGAAATGTATTCAAAAATCTCTACAAATCTGAGTTCACTTCCTTACTTTTCGATGCATGATGCAGCTTATTCCACCAGTAACAGATTAGTCGCCCTTCAACACCAACTACATATAGCTACAAGTCCTGTGGATTTACCCCCAGCGAATAATAACTGGTCAAATCTCATAATTCCCTATCAACCCTCTGGCAATTCATCAAATCATCAGATTTTCACTCAAGAGGATAAAGATACCGTCATAACAACCGACACTAACGAAAAACAACAAGATCTGAAAAGGAAAAACCCATACTCTATTGAAGAACTGCTCAAGAAGCCGGACAAAAAAGTTAAGCCCCCTAACATTGTGTCGGTAGGAATTCAACAACCGTATGGTGTGTTTGTTACGCACAACGAGGATTTTGAAGAGAAGTGTGGAAGTGGTGATAGCGATGTAGAAAGAGAAGTTAAAATTGATGTCGAGTGATTTTTTTTAAGTTTATTCGTATCGTCGTACGTATTACTATTTAGGAACTTGTCAACTTTTTGCCATAACTGTACAAATATTTATTTATTTATTTTGTAATATAATTGTTTTAAACAGGAAAATAATTCTTGTAATTGTTTATGTACAAAATTATGTATGTAGGACCAAATAACTATGTAATAAAAATATTAAAAAAATATGCAATAACGACTTGCTACATTTTTAGACCCACCACTGACAAAAAATCACACGGAATAAAACACATTTTCGTACTCTATAATCTGTGGAATTCTAAGATAAGTTGAAACTGTAGGTTATGTCAAAATGATGTAATGTTTTTTTGAACGTTCTTGATGAGTCTATTTCTAGGTGATTCCATTTCCAGAGCGCTTCTAGCTATTCTATTCTTTAATCCCTTTACTGCTGCAGTGAATGTTAATGATATTATATAATTCATTTTATGTAGATTTGTTTTTTAAAATTTTAGTGTCAAATAATACAACAACTATTAACTAATTATTTAATATTGTCGTCCGGTGATGCTTTATCTAGCAACAATTAGCCACATTTCTGCCTACTTTTTAACCTAAGATTACTTAGTTGTCAGTGTCACACATAAATGTCAAAACATGAATAATTCGAGTTATTATAAGTTTAAGAAAGTGCCTTAAAAGGACATAAATAGTGTAGTGGGAATTATCCTATTCGAATTTTCATCAAAATATTCTATTCGATTCGAAAAGTAATGTTACAAATCTTATTAGTCAAAACTTTATGGAAGAAATGGAACTTTCGGCTTAAGAAAAGGGACATGTTTCAGTGTAAAATTATCTTGGATAATAAGAGTGCCCATTATAATACAGAATCAGACATCACCGGAATATTTAAATGTTACAGTAGACATAATATTAGTATAAGAAGCATTAAAGTTCGATTAGACTGCATTGAATTCGTGAGGTGGAACACTTTTAAACATTTTACAAAATACGATAATTACAATATAATATACACAGCAGAAGTGACTGTTCTTTCTGCAAAAAAAGGAATTAAACACTCTCTTTTTAATGAAGCAGCCTACCCTTTCAAAATTTTTATACCAAGAGATTTACCGTCTTCGTACATTCATAAGTATGGCCAAGTGTTTTATGTGGTCACTGGAACTGTAATTCCGTTTATATGGAATGACTTTAGTAATTCGTTTATAGTTTTGGTTAAGTCGCCAGTTGACTGCTTTGCAAGGAAGCAATATTGTGGTGAAAGATTATTTCATAAAGAACAAGTATTCAAACAAACTTATTGTTGGCCGGAAGGCAAACTAATCATGGAAGCATTTTTACCACGGACAGCTTTTCTACCTGGTGACGTTGTTGATTTTAAAGTGATTGTGAAAAACGAATCGAATTATCAAGTGAAAAATATAAAAATACACTTTAATAAGGTAATAAAATTTAGACCACCGACTTTAAAAAGCAAATGCAGGAAGTTTAGTGACACTATTCTGAAACTTGAGAAAGATGGCGTTCGTGCTTATACTGAACGAATTTACGATTTGCGACTGTCTTTTCCAGAAGTGATAGACATACCAAATTTAATGGCCTGCACTATGATGAAGCTTGAATTTTGTTTGAAAATATGGTGTTCAATGCCTCTTTTCATAAAAAATGTCAAAATAGACATAAATTCGGAAATGGGACACTATATTAGTAGGTAAGTCGTTCATTTTCATTTACTATTACATAAAAAATAATGAAGTTGTCGTTTTCTAACAAGTTCATAATCATAATAATAAAGTGGGCAGACCTACAACTTTAACCCAAAGTCTATGTTAGCATGTTCACCGTTTCAAGAACTTTTAAACTGAGCATATTATTTTGAGGTAGGAGAATGCAGTTCAAGCACATTGCCAGTAGACTCTGCTCACATTTTTGATACTTGTGCCTTTCGCAAACTTTCAGACACGTAGGTATATTTTAATATAAAAAAATTACAAAAACCTCAATAGTAATGGAACGGTCACTGCTATTGTACTTTAATTTTACTTTAGAAAAGTAATGAAAACAACAATGTTACCTCAAAAAATATATCTTTCGACTAAATTTAACAACGTCAAAATACAAAAATTACAAAAACCTCAATAGTAATGGAACGGTCACTGCTATTGTACTTTAATTTTACTTTAGAAAAGTAATGAAAACAACAATGTTACCTCAAAAAATATATCTTTCGACTAAATTTAACAACGTCAAAATACAAACTTCAGTAATTAATAAAATCCGTCATTAATAAAAGAAATAGATTGATGCATTTTTTTTTTCATCCTGTATACCTAAGCATTAAGCAGTTTTAATTATTATTATAATAGCGTTAATACTAAAAAATTAAACATTACTGAAACACAGACAGTGCCGCATCTCAGAGAGATTTGCAGTAAGGGTTTATTTCTTACTTTTTTTGATTTTGATGAAGAGAAAATATTTCAAAAGTTTTTCAGATTTAAAAAAAAATAAGAATTTTAGAAATGTACAGATAAAAAATTGAGAATAACGGAAATACGGATACAGGATGAATGGTGAAAATTTCGAGAAAACAAACAAAGCACAAGCGACAGGGTGGGGGGTTGTATAACGGATGTTTCTTTTATTTGACACTCTAATTTTTTTATTCTTAACGATAAACCTGTAGTTCTTTGAGCAAATTTGTATCATTTTAATAGATCTATGAGGTACTTCAATAAATGCCGCATTAAAAATTTATTAACAATATTTAATTGGTGTTCTGCAAATTAGCTTTTATGTTTTAATTACAAGATCAATAAATAAATCAACAAATCTAAAAAATTTGTACGAATGTGGCGGTTATTTGTTTAAACTTCAGTAATTCACTTTTATATTAAGAAAAATACTTTCTAAGTATAGTAGACCAAAAGGTATAAGGTTATATGACCATCATAAAATTATCCCATTGTGTCGAAGTTAAGTTGTTTCAATAGACAAGGTTTTAGGGTCGTAAATAATGTGTCCACTGCAGCTCGACCGGCTGTTGAGGTTTCGTTCAGGGGCGGCTTTCACTAAATATGTAAATCCACCACTCCATTATTTCTTTATTACCTGGAGCTGCTGAGAGTTCCGAAATAACCGCTCGGTTTGAAAGCCGGCCCTGTTAAATGTGAGCAAGAAATGTTTAGAAGAAGATTTATTGCAAACCGGTAAACTTAGTGTGAACCACACAAAGGGGGTATTTCTTTGCGGTCAACTACTTTTATGATGGTCATATAACCTTATAGCTTTTGGAGTAGTGTACGTGTTTGGGTTTCTACTTGAAGAAGGTAGTGTGCACCGAAACACGTACACAATAAAATATTGTAAACTCAGAGAAAGTACTTTTCTTGATATAAAAATGAAATATAAAAAACGATTTTGGATCTAAAAACTAATTTTAGTGGTATCAAATTACCACTTTTACACTGTTATTAACATAACGTTATGTAGTATGTAGTATGTAATGACAACAATTTTTTTACAACTTTCATATTTATTGTCTTCCCAGTTTAAAGTGGTTGTTATGATAGGTCCATTGTGTCGAGGTCGATGATGAGGACAATGGAGTAAATCCCTAACTATAAATAAAAAAGTGGTCGGTTTCTTGCAGGGCCGTACTTTGTTATTCAACTCATTTTGTTCATCTTGGTGTAATAATGAGGTGATAATATTTATTATCTTGTCATAAAAACCACTTTAAACTAGGAGTACAATAACTTCAACACATAACAATGTTATATAATACTGTTACACTTATGTAATGTTATTGCTCTAAAACACTATTATATTATAACAACAACATAACTCCATCATAAAAATATTATATAACATTATTATACTAATGTTATATGACTGTAATGTTTTTTGTAACGTCAAGCAAACTTTGTTATAATTTTGTTGTGTAACATAACAGCAATATAACTACGGGATATAACACTGTTCTGTAGATTTTTGTTAAATAACTGTTATAGTTTGTGTTGCCTGGGATGTGATGCCAACAATTTTTCAATTGTTTTTCAAGCAACTAGATTTTGAATTAAATGGAAATTTTTTGATATATTTTACTAAATAATTTTTTTATTATAGATCTTAGAATATTGGTTGCTTTTGATTTTTTGTGGTAGAAAAATTAAGTTGACGTCATTTCCGGTTCTATCGGAAGTGATAATAGAAATGTGTGGTTACTATGACATAGATCTTTTAAAATAATACAAATTTGCTCGAAGAACTACAGGTTTATCTTTAAGAATAAAAAAAGAGACACCCTGTGTAGGGGTAAAAAAGATGGGTATCTAGATATTAAAAACATATAAAGAATAATATAAAAGGAAATATTACTAGAATTCCCTCAAACATATAAGACGTTTATGACTTCACACTAATTTGACTCCCATTATAATTCAATAGGCCGTCACAACAGGATGTCTTAAACCCGCTCACCGATACCTAGCTGCAAAGACCTTTTCTGGTAAAAACACAGGGCAGGACTGAGTTTTGCATTTACCGACAACTGCGCCTTTCGATTTTTTATTTAAAGTAAAAACAAAGTAACTTTGTGCTCAATCATTTTTTGTTACGGCAAATTAGTTAGAATTTTGACATACACAACTATTTACTTATTAACTACTACTGCTTATTTATTGATCGAAATAGTCACTGTCATCATCACTCGATTCTTCTAAATTAACAATTAACGGTTTTATCAACCGTGCCCTGTACTGGTCTTTTCCTGAATTTATTCTTCAAGAAGGCACTGTGTTTTGTAGCTTCTGCTACAAACCGCATTTCTATTTACAAATACATGTTTTCGGATCATCGGCAAAATTTTTTGCTACAATATTTCGAAAAGTATTTAAAAATAAATTGCTACAAAAATACTAATTAAATGGCCTATCATTATTAATTTTTATTTATTTGTCACTATTTAGTGTAAGACAATAATTTTTAGAAATTTTATTTATCTATGCATTTTTTATTAAAAAAATTAAGCTTGATAAACCTGTTTTATAATTTGTAAATAAATTTAGTTGTGTTATTACACTTCTTTTCAATTTTTGGAGGATATGCAACTGCATATCTCTGCATATATTAATAAAGTTACAGCATATTTCTCAAAATTTTGCTGCATACTTTTCGCTCTCTAGTCATGTATTATTTTTAATATAACAGCAGTATGAATGTACCCCCTGGATTTGAATGAAACAAAATACGGTGACATCGTTAAAATTATTTGATTTATCAAAAAACTTTGTGGACCAGTTTTCTACGATTGCGATCGTACTTATTAAAGATTTTATGTTTTTTGCTTTCATTATCTTAATAATATTTTCAAATGTGCAGAATAATGATTAAATAATTAAGGTACGGAAGAAACGTTAAAAACAAAATTACTCTTAGTCCGGTCCTTCGCGTCTCGGCCCTCCCTGGCACGTGGCATGGTTTACATTTACTAAGCTTTATGAAAGGTCGGCTGTAAAGTACTTTAAACGCCAAAGCCATAAACGCCTTATAGATTTGAGGAAACTATAAGATAAAATAGTTGAAAAATATTTGCGCAATGTCTTATCGCAAAAGGAATGTAATGTGTAGAACTAATTGAAAAATTGAAAATGATTTCAATGCCACAATTAGAAAAAATATGTACAGCTTTAAAACAAGAAATAAGTAATAAAAAACTAAGAGTGATTCCCAATAGTTATATTTTAACAAAACGAGAACTGTCGTTATAAAGTATTAGTTATATTGGATGTACTCGATTACAACAGCAATAAAATTTATATATTTTGTTCTCTTACCAACGTTACAAAGTAATTAAAGAAACTGAGGTCGTTATTTACACGTGCCAGAGGGTTAGTAGCAAAGGATAAAAATGAAATTAAAAAAATGATAAGATGCTTTGAAGTATATGTGAAAAAAAAAGAACTGTTTAGGTAGAAAGAAAGTGCAAATTAGCAAAGATGAGGTGTAGTAAATATGAGGGTAATTTGATCATATGTAATTTGAATTTATTAATAAAATTGTGGTGGATTAGAAAAATATGAAAAAACAATGAAAAAGGCTATGAGAGCAATATTGAAAATAAGCCTTAGAAAAATAAAAACAAAAACAAAAATAAAAACTCACCAATAAGAGCAGTAAAATTGTAAATATTTACAAAAATGCTGGAAAGAAAACAAAAAAAATTGTAAACATTAGCTAAAAAAATTACTCAAACAGTCCAACAAATATTGCTCCCGTGAAAAATTATAAAATTTGATTTTGTAGAATGTTACTTTTTCGTAATAACCTCCACGGATTAAAAACAGTATCGAAGGTACTAGTCACAGTGTAATAGAAAAAAAGAAGGTTTTACCTTCTTAAAAAAAGGACACTTGGGGCCCCCGAGAAGGTTTCGCCTTCTTAAAAAAAGACATCTGGGGCCCCTGATAAGGTTTTACATTTTTAAAAAACATAGTTGGGACCCCCGAGAAGGTTTCACATTCTAAAAAAAACATTTGGCGCTCCCGAGAAGGTTTTACATTTTTAAAAAAGACAGGGCCCTCGAGAAGGTTTCACATTATTAAAAAAATATATTTGGCGCTCCCAAGGTTTTACATTTTTAAATAAAGGGGGGCGTATTCTCACCTTTTTGAGAAAGTGGGGTAATAAATTATAAATATTATAAATAAAGAATTTGTTATGACGTGATAAACATAGATAATATACCACAATGCGAGAGAAAAAGAGAAAAAAAAAACGAAAAGCCAAGTTTGGTTTCGAACGCGCGACATCCCGTCTCCATTCCTGACTCGTAATCACTAGACCCGACCGGGATTCCTTACGCTAATGCATTAAATGGTAAACTGTTATTATATTGTGCATTATGTTTTTGCAAAAATTTGGACAGGGAAAAACTCAAAGCAGATTCGTACACCACACTTATAGGACTATCTTTTTGTATAACAGTTAAATCAAATAAACAGAATTTTTTAGAATGACGTCATCAAATTGTTGGTGGGAATGATTAGCAAAATTTTGGTTACTATTTAACCATCGACATGGTATTTTTAATATACAAAATTTGACAACAATTAGTTCAGCAGTTTCGGAGACTACCTGCCTAATAAAAATGGATACAGACACCAGACAGACAAACAGACGGAAACGGAAAACTAATTTTTGCGTATTCTAGGGGTCATGAAACGTCGAGAAAATATAAAGTGGCCATTCGTTCGATGGATTCGATTACTATATGTACTTCCTTAGCTTACGCTTGGAAAGTAGAAAGACAAATATTGCTATAGAAATGGACATGTTTTTGTGAAAATATAAAATATAAAAGAAAATGCAAAAATATGTAAACAAAGCAAACGTAAATGACAAAGATAATATAGGCATAGGCAAAACTGGAGAACTCAGATTTAGTGCGATAGATAGTGTCGAGTACAGGAATATCGACAGAAAACGTAAATTAGACAAAACATAATTGTGATATTGAAATGTGATGATGAAGACACAAACAGGCGCGGATCCAGGGGGGGGCACTGGGTGCAATTACCCCCCCCCCCCTGACACACGATCGAGGTACTTTATTTTGACCAATTTCAAAATTTTGAAATCGCATTTCATTTTGTAATTACACTACAATCTCTATAATCCGAACTCACGATTATCTGAACATCCAGTAATCCGAACCGAGGCTGTTTGAAGTCGATACCTCTCTCGAACAAAAACTCTGCAATTCGAACTGCACTTGAAAACATGCACCTACTTGCAAAAATGACGCAAGATCTTTCTGCACATGTTGTATGGAATATTTTAAATTTTTTAAAAATTGCGATGTTTCAATGCACTGAATTAATTAACTAATTCTGGAAAAAAGGTTGAAGTTATCGAAAAAAATGAGACCCGAAATCTATAAGAGAAAATATTTAGTTAAGTTTCGAAAATCGTCGAAAATGGGTCGAAATTTGCATGAGGAAAAAGGTTCCTAAAAATTCTGAAAAAATTCAGGAATATATATCCTGATGTGCTGATTCCAGAAATATAGCATGTTTATGGTAACGGAGCAATATTTTCGGAAAATTCGCTTTAAAATTAGAATTTTTCGAAATGTTTAAAAATTGCGATATTTGAACTGGACGATTCTGGAAAAATGGTTTAAGTTATTGAAGAAATGAAGCTAAAAGTGACTTCTGATGCCCAAAATCTACAAGAAAACGTATTTAGTTAAATTTCGAAAATCGTCGAGAATGGGTCGAAATTTGCATAATTGAGGTAATACGAATACATAATGGAAAATTTCCTTTTTGAAAAATTCATCTAACTATTCTGAAAAAATTCAGGGTATAGATCCCGTCGTCTTTATTCCAAAAAAATTGCGTGTTTATGGTCACGGAGTAATATTTTTTTAGAAAGTATCTATTATTATCCATTGTTGTTTAAGAATTCTTTAATTTTGTTTAATAAAATTTGGGTTTATTTCTTGAAATTTGTTATCAGTTGTGTATGAAGTTGTTATTCAATTCCCTTTCAGATTTTTGGAAAAATCGCTAATCCGAACAAATCGTTAATCCGAACACACCTTTTTTCCAATTATTAGGATTATCGAGGTTCTACTGTACACTATACGTATAAGAAAAATAACCAAATGTCACCCATGTTATGTGAAAAAGAGTATACTAGCTAAAATTTTATAATTTTTTTTGTTTAGAACGAATTTCTGGGGGATAGGTAAAGTCGCACAAAAATTGTCCCCCCCCTAAACGAAATCCTGTACCTATCCGCGCCTGGACACAAAGAATTAATTTTGGTTTGCAACAGAGAAAATAATTTATAGAATTTGTGGAGGGAACCAAAAGGCAGTAGAATATAGAAACTTAAATTGAACTTTCCCCAAATTATTTTTTTTTTTTTGGCTTGCTGTACCCCTTAAAATGTTCAAAATATTTTTAGGAGAAGATGATGCCTTAATCCTAGGATAAAAATAAATTTATCTAAAACTATACTTCTTATTAGCATCCAAAACTTAAATAACAGGTTTCTGAGAGCAATTTTTTTTCCATAGGCAGATGATGCCAAATTTTGTTTTCTGTTTTTCAAACGATTTAACCTATTGCCAGCAGACAACACCAAGCATAATTAATATACTAAGTTCTTCTGCTTTACTTTAGTAATTTATACGTATATTCAACAGAAAAATACCAAAACGCAATACAGAAATATCACAAAAAAAATTGAAAGAATGATAAAAGACGCGTGCAATCAAAGATGATAGAGGGAATCTTTATTTAAAAAAAAATATTATAAACGTTTACTACGTGTATGTAGTCTAATAACTGTGGCCGAAAAATGATATTCTAGTTATAACTGTTTTGATCTACCTTACCTAATAAATTAATAATAATAGGAGTAGTATCTAACCTACATTCACAATTTTTGTATAGGTGCATATGCAACCAGCAATATACAGTTGTTTGAAAATTTTCATACTTATTAAAAACGACAAAGACGATCAGTGTTCCCTCATCTTTATCAGTTCATCACGTTACTTGTGCTTTTTGTACACTTGTGCAACCCTCTTGCGAACCTAACCTGTAACAATTAGAACCCGTCAACCAACGTGAGTTTGTAATTTTTACTTTGTGTTAAAATCGATCATTACTTCAAATATATTTTTTATCCTTTACTCGTTGTACACTCATTGTTTTGTTACACAAATTTATTGCTCATTATTAGCATAATAATTTTTTTTTGTAGCTACAGAATGAGTGGAGAAGTGGATAAGTCTCAGTACATTTTACCATTAGATCAGCCCATCGTTTCACTCGAAGTTACGTCAGCATTTAAGGGCTTATGTGATCAGGAACAGTTATATGCTCATTATATCAGTGAAGCATCATGGGCTGGGGGATTAATTACATTCTTACAAACAAGTATAGAGTCGGGACCAATTTTTGTATTGTTACACAAACTATTCTCAGCTCAAAATCCTACAGAATTCAAGGCAGCAGCTATTGAAGCAGGTTTTACAGATGATGAAGTGAAAGCATTTTTCATTTATACTTGTGGAGTATTGAGCAATGCTGGGAATTATAAAGTAAAGTAAACATTTGTTAAACCTGTATGTACATTGCATGTTTTATCACCATAGGGATTTGGAGATTCTAAATTTATCCCAGGGATCAGTAAAGATAGATTAGAAGCACTTTTAGAAAAAAGTTCTGCTTGGACAGACATTGAACCTTTATGGTGTAAACTGAAGGATGTGATTTATGATCTTGAAGCAGGAAAAACATGTTTGGGCTATGCACCGCATGGATGTACAACCTATTTATCAAAAAACTGTACACCAGAAGATAATCAACGTGCCCAAGAATGGATGAAATCACAGCAAATAGATGCATATAATACACGCTTATTCAAAACGGTGTTTCCTGATGGGAAAGTATGTATTTTAATTACATTAACAATTTTTTTACTGATGAAATTCATCTTAGATTGATTATGAAATTCGCTTAGCTTCAGAAGAAAAGGGTGAACTGAAAAAAGAAACTTTCGGGAATATGACGTTTCGTTTAACCAAAGGAGATTATTCACCTTTAATTGGAAGAGTTGCAAAGAATTTAGAAGAAGCTGCTAAATACGCTGCTAATTCAACTCAAGCCAAAATGTTGGAATCATACGCACAATCTTTTATTACTGGTTCACTTGATGCTCACAAAGATGGCTCACGTTTTTGGATCCAAGATAAAGGGCCTGCAGTGGAAACATATATTGGGTTTATAGAAACTTACAGAGATCCTGCTGGACTCAGAGGGGAATTTGAGGGTTTTGTAGCTATTGTTAATAGAGCAATGTCTACACAATTTGCCACTTTGGTTGAACACGCAGAAGATTTTTTGCCATTGCTTCCATGGCCTAAAGGATTTGAAAAAGATACGTTTTTGAGACCTGACTTTACATCATTAGATGTTTTGACATTTGCATCCAGTGGCATTCCAGCTGGTATTAACATTCCAAATTGTAAGTGAAAGAATTTATTGATTTAATAAATTTGCACAAACTAGTTAGTGAAAGATTAAGGCAAGTCTCCAGAACAATAATTATCAACGTAAACGCCTGCCCTTGAGGTTTGCAACGCAAGGCAGGCACGCCTATGGATTACTCCGCGATATCCGGGCTATGGTAATTTTACTAATCGTCGTAGATACACAGGAATATCTATTTATCATTAAAAAAAGTATTCTTGTTAATTTGTTTTTTAACTTTACGTGGAAAGATAACTCTAAACAAATACAGTGTGTATGCTCACTGTTTACAGTTTACTTAAAAACTACGTAACTGGAATCTTTGAAATTTTGATAAGATACTAACATTGATTTAGTGATTGCAGAATAATTTTAGCTAAAAATACTAAAATTCTATATGATATGCATGCAGTGATTAGAACAATTACTTCTAAAAAGTAATGCATTACTTTAACAATTACTTTTTGCACTTTGAAAATTTTGGTGAAGACACAATTTTAGATATTTGTTGTATGGGTCCACATAAGGGTCAAGAAAAAACAAATAAATACTTCACGCAACAGGACTATACATATTTATAATTTAAATTCAATAATAACTGACATTCAAAATTTTTGTCAGCTAAGGCATGACGTTTTGTCTTAAAAAACTTAACACTAAACATCCTTAAATGTACCGTAAATATTAATCCACCGATAATTAATTACCTGCGGACGCAAATCTTTTAATCTTAAATAAACTTAAAAGTATAGCTTTAATTGCTTCTTACTTGGCACTTACAGATCAAATTTAGAAAATCTTAGAGGGTGGACACTCTCATGAAATTTTATTGTCGGATTATGAGGGGTTTAAAAGGACGGGCTCTATCGGTTACCTGTTATAGATTTAAGTGGACCAAAAAAATGGCTAAAGTTTGTTTGACCACAAATTTTAAATATTCAGCCCCTGTTTACTCAATTATTTATTAGCTTATTTTATTTTTGTAAAGCGCAATGGATTTTTTAATACAATTTCTACTAATGTACCTTTTTGAAAATTTAAAATTGATCCATAAATAGCGAAAACCGGATAATCTCATATTCATCACAATTTTAACGCTAGTTTTTTTTTTTTGACAACAAAGTTTAAAAAGACGGAAAAGCAGTCTACGTGGGGGTTTTTACGCTCATATCAACGGTGTGAAGTTAATTACGATCGGACGTATACTTTTGGCAAAAACTTGGGCAAAAGTTTATATGTATTTCCCTATGCTGGAATATGCTTTAGCTCACCCTTAAAATGATGAAGAGCTTATGTATATAATGGTTATCTGGTTTCTTAACAAATTCTATGCTAAACTCGTTTCAGATTTTAACTCCCTACTGGGTTAATCTCCTCTTTATGGGGACGAACCAGGTATAATAATCCCAGCAGGTCAGATAAACGATTCGTAGAGAAAAACAAAACAATATTTTTGAGTATTTGGGTTAAAAGTAATTGTAAAGTGACTGAATTACTAAAAAAGAGTAATTCGTTGCAATTACTCATTACTTGAAAAATAATTGAATTACAGTAATTAATTACCTGTAATTGAATTACTTCCAACCACTGTATGCATGTTATCTTGAAGTTGATTGAAAATAAAGTAAGTAAAAAAATTCCAAGTTTCATTGTTCAGCGATCCACTTCACTTTTTATTAAAATAATATTGTCCCCATGTGACAACGCAGAATTTAGAAAAAGTGAATAACCTCCATATTTCTTTGAATCATCGTGTAAGATGAGACAAGCTTTCATAATCTAACCAATATCGTTGAACTCATCTGTTGGGCAAAATGGACACGTTTTGAACCTTTCCTAGCACCTACACTATTTAATATATTTGAAACTATAAAGTCCTATTTTTGTAGACGATGACATCCGACAGAGCGAGGGCTTCAAAAATGTTTCACTAGGAAACGTCATACCAGCGAGCTATCAGATGACTGTTACTCCCTTTTTGAACCAGGCTGATGCCGAATTGGTACAAAAGTGGCGCGTAGCATCATTTAAACTACAGGTTCATTTTAATGTGCCATTTTCCTAGAACTCGTTCAGTAACAGTGTTTTAGGTGGGTCTACACGAACTACTAGGTCACGGATCTGGGAAACTTTTGCAACGCGCAGCTGATGGAGTTGTAAATTATCCTCCCTCCTTATTGGATCCTTTAACTGGAAATCCGCCAACCACTTGTTATGAACCTGGAGACACATATGACTCTCGTTTTGGGCCAATGAGTTCTTCTTATGAAGAATGTCGTGCGGAGGCAGTAGGGCTGTATTTGAGTTTAGAACCAGCTGTTTTGAAGATTTTTGGACATGAAGGTCAAGAGGCAGAAGATGTGCTCTACGTAAATTGGTTGTCTTTGGTGTGGAATGGAGTAGGTAGAGCTTTAGAAACATGGGATCCAAAGCGTGGATGGCTACAGGCACACGCTCAGGTAGATGTGTTAATGTTCTAAATAGTAAAAAACATTCATTTTGTAAATTTTGCAGGCTAGGTTCGTTTTAGCTCGAGTTTTAATACAAGCCGGAGTGGTCACCGTCACTCAACCCGACGAAAACGATTTGTTGGTAACCATGGATCGCACCGCGTTGAGAGGAGCTGGTAGAACGGCGATCGCTAATTTTCTTTTAAAACTCCAGGTCTACAAAGCTACAGCTAATATTGAGGCTGCTCAGCGGTTGTACCAACATTATTCTGAAGTTTCGGAGCCGTGGCTTCGTTGGAGAGCGATTGTGTTGGCTAATAAACAACCAAGAAAAATATTTACTCAAGCCAATACGCGTTTGGAAGGTTCGTATGTTACATTAAAAACTTACGAAGAATCGCCAGAAGGAATGATCCAGTCGTGGGTCGAACGTTTTCAAGATCCGCAGCCGCTATACGATGCTCTTCTTGAGTTAAGTGCCTCTGATGAAGGCCATTTTCAATAATTTTTGATACATTGTATTATGAATTTATGTACAATACATTTTATCATGATAAAAGATAACTCTTTTTAGAAGTGGATTATTACTTCCGCACTCGGTAAGTTGCCATACTTTACCTATTTTCTAAAGTTACTAATTGCAATTAATTGACATTGTATTGGAACAACGTCTATCGTTACTTTTAGTATTTAATTAAAGAGCGGATTGGAAGACTACTTCGCATTAGATATAAAATGCAACGATTATTACAAACTCAGTTGCATTTAGGCCAGTTTGGAAAAAAAGAATAATTGTTATCGCGTTAACTAAGATTTAGTTACTTTAATTGTCTTGAACCTTGCTGCATGTAGTTGTGACGGGAACCTATGAACCACTTGAAGGTTACCTGTTGTAGTCGCTGTTTGTTAATCACTTCCCAGAAATGTTTACTGCATCACTATGGCAAAGGTGTAATCTTACACGTAACCAAGTTAAACATAAATTATTATTCGAGAGCAGAACAAATTGTTTACTGAATTACTGAATAACAAATATGTGGTTTCAATGAGCTGAATTAATCAAATATGAAACAAAGATAAGGAGGTACCTCTCAGTTTAAAATTTATTTAGTTTTTAATTATAAAGTATTTTAATCCATCCAAGGCAGGTAAGTAATTTAAACACTTAATCCCAGTTCCTATTTTACAAATTTTAATTATTCCTGGTCGTATTATTAATTTTTTTATCACGTTTATCCTTTATGAAAATGTGTACAAGAAAAACAGGTCTCCGGTTCGCAAATTAAAAAAGAATAAACTGAAAAAATTCGTCGAAAGTTATTTCGATAGAACTCCCCTCGCCCTTGAGTACAAGTCCAGTTTTTCGAAAATCATTTGATTTTGCGAATTTATTTTTTTTAATGATAACCGTTATAAGTTAAAATAAAGATATGTATGTAATATTAAAGTAGACATAAAGAAACGTGGTACGCATTTGTTTGAAGTGAGTTTTTCCAATACAAAATTCTGTGATAACGTCATCAACATTTTTGCACAGATGTAGTGTAATACTAACAACAGCAGCGTTGTATTGCCAAATTTTCTGGAAAATGAAGTGAGTGGTTTTTAACTGCGTCACTCATTTATTGTTTTGAGTGTTCCTGTATACGTAATTCTAAAAACTATGCATCCATTGGTAAACCACAAGTAGAGTCATAATATTGTGCAGATTTGAATAGAATTTATTTGAAAAAAATTGGGATGAGTCATTAATTTTTTCGGAGGGCATAAAAGAATAAATTTTGATTAACGATTTACCAGGACTACCATAACCTAAAAAACGGTTGCAAAATTTTAGAGCATTCGGTTTTGCAGTTTCAAAGTTAAATTGCAAAATGTTATACAATTAATTTTTTTTTGCTCTCAAAAATCTGGATCTCTAATGTGAAAACGCACCACGGAGTCGTACACCGCATGTGCAGAAGTACCGTATTTTATAAAATTAAAAAAAAAATACTATTGCAAATTTTGGAATGACGTCATCCCAATAGTGATGGGGATGATCAGCCAACATTTGGTTAACGTTTCACCATCTGCACGCTATTCCTAATACACGTATAAAATTTGATAACAATTGGAATGGTCATTCTGTCTAATAAAAACTGATTCAGACGACAGACAGTCGGAAAAGTATTCTAGGGGTCTTCAAACCTCGAGAAAACATGAAAGTGGCAAGTCGCCCGATGGACTTGATTACTATACTTCCTTACCTTAGGCTCAGAAAGTCATTCATATGTATAATGCAGTCGGAAGTGATAATAAAAAGGGAGACTTATTTTTTAGTACTATAGGGGTGATGAAAGGTCGAGAAAACGTAAAAGTAGAGGGTCGGTCGACGGACTCCATTATAATACTTCCGTCGCTGACGCTCGGGAAGCAAAAAGAAGAAAGAAGACAGTAATTAGCAGAATCTTTCACAGTATTGGAAAATGGGAAAATCCTGAAGAAGAACTAGTGAGTGTAAATATACTGGAATTTACATAAACATTTACCTTATATAACACCTTCAGAATAAATATGAACGAGTGAGATTCAAATAAACAAACGAAGAGTACAACTATTATTAACACGAAAGCCACATTAATACCTTAAGGCTGGCGTCTGGTTCGGTTTAGCCCTATACTAAATACATTGAAAACATCGTCGCGGTTTCCGGAGTTGCATTTTAAAAATATGAGATATATCGCTTTAAAAAAATTATATTTCGAATTAACAAACTTCAGTTCAGGGGACCTCCATATTTATATTCATATCTAGTATGCAGTTTTTACAAAAAAAAATTATAAAGTTGAACAACTTTTACATCACATTTTAACCGGCACATTGATGCATTTTTTGACGAAGTGCTGAAGTTTTTTGCATTCTGAGATAGGAGGTCCCCTGGGGAAAAGTGTCAGCTTTCTTTTGATACCACTTATAATATTAAAAAATCCACTACTGAGGTAAATAACTCGCGAAAAGTCAAAATCTATTGAAACGAGAAATCGGCATTAAACGAGCTGTGATGCGGTAGCAGAATACAGGTTTACTTAGATTCTGACTTGGTTGGAGATTTCAGTATTTTAAAAATGCAATTCCGGAAACTACGACGATGTTTTCAATGTATTTAGTATTGGGCGAAACCGAATCAGACGCCACCCTTAAACATTTCTGTAGAAGTTTTTAATGTTTAATATTTCGTACATAAATACATTTTGTCATTTTTAAAACAATGTGGTCATTCAGTTAGGGTTCTTCATCGGTTAATAGGGGCATTTCAGTTAGTTTATGGATCAAAAGAACATAAAAGATGTGCTATCATTTTCACTTGATTTGGTATTTGAAAGAATAATAATTTAATGTGTTAAATATGATTAAAATGAATGAAAATCAATTTATTAATAAAGATATAAACCTGGTATTGGTCGCTTTTGTTAGTTACACAAAAATAATTTAAACTGCAAAACTAATATGTTAATTATTAGTAGTGAAAAATAAAAGCCATTCAAAAAATTTTAATTTGTATTTACGAATGATAAAATTACGAAAAATCACACTTATAGGTACATATTGCAAAACATATTCTACACTCATCAATCGTTACACATATTACAATATATACACTTTGATTTCTAATAGGTATAAAAGTTAGATAAAATCTAGTTACAAAAATACAACATGTTCAGGAAGGGGGTCGTGCCCACGTGTAAACATATCCATCTTGGCACGCCGTAATGATGCAATCAGGTCGAAAAACTAGTGCTGTCAACCTTTCATGAGCAATTTTTTTACAAACTAAGGGCTCTAACACTGGACACTCGTCCAGCCGAGGGCACGCTGGCGTGCCTACCAACTGTAAAGGATCTGACCTCCTTTTTACTTTTGGTTTTGAAGGTGTTAAAGCATCTTCAGGTAATTCCCACAAACAAAGTTGAGTGTCATGTCCAACAGAACCCAACCTATAACAAGATTCAGCTTCTAAGAACCAGTCAAAAGCCACTGCTGCCACCCATGACCTATGTCCTTGAGCTCGACCTACTACACGTTTTTGTTCCATCGAGTAAACCGTGACTAAATCATCTTCGCCTCCTACAGCAATCAGTCGCCCATCACCAGACCATGCAACACATAATAAACCACCAAAATATGAACGTGCTGTTCCTAAAAGTTCCATACTATCATACTGGAATACTCTTAAAAGGCCATCCTGTGAGACGATTGCTAACTGTGAACCATTTGGGCTGAAGGCCAATTCATTAATGGCGCTACCGTTGCCCAATAACCAACGAAATAGTGGATTGCGAGTTGATTTTGTTTTACATGTACTAACACTAAAGCCTTCTCCTGCTTTGAAAGGCTGATAATGTGGTGCTGCCGAGCCACAAGGTAATTCTTCATTGTATACATACAATTGACCAGAAGCATGAGCAGCTAAAAATAATGAACGACTTCCGGGAACCCACCTCAAACAAGTAACCCTACTTTTATCAATGAGCCTTTCTTCATTAAATAATTTATTAAGCTCTTTCTTTATTGGATCGATTAGCTGAATTTGACCTGTACTGAAGCCAATTAAAAGACTAACGCTTTCATTTGAGGCTGAGGCCACATTAAAATCGTGACAGGTAGGATTAGTTCCCTTATAAACTTTTTTCTCTAGTGGCTTGCTCAAATCAGCAGCCTTCTTAATGCCTTTATAGACATAAACATATAATTCTCGACCATGATTGAAACAAATTCTTTCGCCCTGGTCTGGAAGCGTAACGAGGGAAACACGTACTTGCGGTGGTGTTTGTCCCTGAGTTTGGTAGCCTACCCTATTAGGTCTTGAATATTCACTTAAAGTCATTAGTCGGTAGGTGCCTTCGCGTGTTACAAACTGGGTCTTTACGTCACCTGGTTCTCCTCCTAAAGGCCTCTCTAGAGGACGTTCTCCGGCTTCCAAAAGTGACTGACTGCATAACGTATCTGCTCTTGCCATTTTTGGGGCCAGTATACGCGAAGACATTCTACAACGAATTTTGCAATTTACACACATTTATAGTCTTCTATAGACTTCCTTCGTCATTTCCTCGATGGTACATAATTAAGTAAATCATTTTATCACATGTTTGAAGGTTTTATTGTACATCCACTATCTTTTTCGACTTTAGATCAGCAATTAATCCATAAAAAATAAGGTTAAGAAAGAAATATTATTTGAAAACTAGGGCTACCAACATGAGAAAAGTGGTGTACAAAATAACTAGAAATGTAGTTAAAGTTTCATAAACGGGAACAAATCACTTCGATACCGTACCATTCACGCTCATTGTCATTATTCATTAAAGCAATTAAACGTAATCTAGGCATCGTGTTCTTTTTCCCCTTTCATTCATACGGAGGAGCGACCGAATAAACAGGTGGAAATTTTACTTGGAAAAAAACTCAACATAATTATCGAGTTTTTTACAAGTCGATTTTTTTTTAATACAATTTTCTACAATGAAAAAACCACTTGGCAGATGGCAGTTGACCTTTGTATAAATGTCCACAATGTAACTAAGGATTTTGATCTGTAACCGTGGATTTTAGTAATTTATTTTAGAACTTTTCTGTTTGTTAATATTATTCTGACGTATTAAATTATGCACAAGCTCACTCACTGTTCAATCCTAACTTTAGGTGATTAACCCAAACTGTTGATAACAGGCTAATAACCTTAGAAAGTTGAAATAACTGGTACTCACTTATTACTAACATATTTTTCCTTGTGTTTTGTTTCAATGTGTGTCGACTTTATGTAAATAAGTTTCGTAGAGACTTTTTGGCCGTTTTCCATTCTCCAATCAAGAATCCCCCTTTTTTTTCGACTTTTTGACAAAATTTAATGAAAAATGGTCTCTCTATATTTTTGCATTTTAATTCAACGTCTCTTTTCCACCTTTGGGGTTAACCACACGCATTTTGTGATATCAAAACACAACATGGGTTCTCCATTTTGTAGAAAATCACAACTGATGACAAAATTTTAAATTTTTCCAGGGTTTTGTACTTTTTGTGCACATGTCTCATGAAAGCCAAAGGAACCGAATTTAATTGCAAAACCCTTATTATCTTCTACAAGAAATTACCATGTAAATCATGTTTTTGAGTATTGTGTTATTCAAAGAGTACTATGTACATATATTAAGAAAAAATTAAAGCCAAAGATTAAGCCCCACCCATACCTGCCCTGATCTAAATAGTAATGAAGTTTTTATTCGTTGGCAAGACCTAGGGGCAGCGAAGCCTAACTGGAAAATCCGTATTTTCTTATAAAAATTTACCATTTTAAACGTGTTTTAGGTTTCTAAGAATAAAAAAATCATCACACTTGAGGTGGGGTGGGTGGGCGGAGTTTATATTTTGCCTTTTTTATCTTAAGATACATATTATTCTTTGATCAACACGATACTTAAAACATGTTTTTAATTTCTTGTAAAGAAATAAGTATTTTACAGCTAAGCTCCGCCTCCTTGGTTCACGGTGAATAAAAAAAAACATCAGAATTGAGAAAGGGTGGGTGGGCGGGCTTATATTTTGCCTTTTTGTTTCAATCTGTGTAGACTTATTTTCACAACATGAAACTTAAAACATGTTTAAAATGGAAAATTTTTATAAGGAAATATCGATTTTGCAATTAGGCTCGGACCCTTAATTGCAAAATCCATATTTTCTTGCAAAAATGTACCATTTTAACCATGTTCTAAGTTTCTTGTTGTGAAAAGATAGCTACGTATATTAAAAAAAAGGCAAAATATAAGCCCCGCCCACCCGCCCTATCTCAATTCTGATGATTTTTTTATTCGTCATTAACCGAGGGGCGGAGGTTAATTGTAAAATCCTTACTTTTCTACTAGAAATGTTCTTAACTAATCGTGTTATATAAAGAAAACTAAGACCCGGTTTATAGAAAGCGAAATTAAAGTTAATTCGCGATTAAATGTTTTAACCTATCGCGGATTCATATTCCTCATTTTAATCCTGTGCTAAATTAATCGAGGATTAAATATTTAATTCGCTTTTCTATAAACCGACCCTTGATGTATTAATTAAAAAAGAAAACCAAAAGAGAAACCCCACCCATCCGTCTCGATCTCAAACGTGATGAATTTTTCATTGGTTGTCAGACCGAGGGGTGGAGCGTAAGTGCAAAATCGATTTTTCGGTATACAAATTTTATCATTTTAAACATGTTTTAAGTGTCTTGTTGTGAAAAGATGACTACACATATTAAGAAAAAAAGGCAACCTCAGTAATGGAACTTCAGTAGTTTTACAGTTGTAACAGAGACAGCGACAGCGTAGGAATTTCAGAGCATTTTGTAGTGTTAGGTTGCTGCCAACTTACATGTCAACTGTCAAGAAATCCCAATCTCTCACCGGAACTACTATAGTAATTTATAAATAAATAAACAAAAATTTTGCATAGAAGCAAAGTTGTAAATATATATGTAATACTGTTCTATGTAATAACATACTCTGTATTACTGAAGTTGCTACATAAAAAACGGGGTTTCAAAATTCATATCATGTAATTGAAATTTTTTTTTTTTTCAAAAATGTAAATGTAAATTAAAAAAAAAATTCTACTTGCTCAGTAATACCGAGAGACTATTTTAATATTTGTAATTTTTTGATGCCATATTTGATGTCAAATTCAAATTTTGGACACCGGTTCAGTAACTGCCATTTTTTAATTGGCTTTTAGGCGTGCTCATGTTAAAATTGACAACTGTGAACTGACATGCTAACATTGCTGCCAATTATTATGAATTGCCAACCCAAAATTTGTTTCAGTCATTGATAGTTAGTAATCTGGTATTTTAAATAATTTATAATGTTCTATGTATTACTAGAATAACTGTGGCCTGCGTACAATTCGCATTAGAACACATTATTTTTCACCCTCTGGAACCTACTGTATAAATTTTAAGTTTCTAGTTTCAGTAGTTTAGGGTCTGCATTGATGAATCAGTCAGTCTGTCAATCAAGATAAACACTTTTATATGTTTCGAACCACCGTGGTTTCGAAGATCGTGCATGTAATAAATTTTAGGCGTCAAAACATTTGAAAATAACAAATTTTTCAATTTTCAGTATAGTTCTGAAACTGGTGGAAATATAAAAAGAACATTATATTAATTGCTATAAAATATAAATTTGTAATAATTATTTAAAATTTACAATACAACTTAATAGAGATTTTTTGATTATTTTCTAAACATAAACAATTTTTTTTAATACATGAATAAATTAACATTAGTAGACCAATGCGTAAAATAAAATAGGAATTTCCAAAATTTTAAATAAGTTACAAAAAGTTGCTTGCAATGGGTAGGTACTTGAATTGAAATGAACTGGGCTTATAATAATTTATTCGACCAGTAAAATAAACTGGTTTTGGTTACTTGAAAAGAGAACAAAACAGAGGAACGTTTTTAAACCCATTACAGATATTTTTAATAAATACTTATATTACAAAAAACTATGTATTTTGTTTCACATTAAAAAGTGTATCTGTACAATTAATAATTAATACTTACGTAAATGGAGAAAAATAACGTGAACATTGTGAATATGAGAATATGATCTACGCTCTCAGCTTGATAAAAATTATTTCATGAAGGACATGGAAGACTGCAAAATGTCGATATTTTATTTGTTGAGGATTTTGTTAATTCTAGGAGGTGTTCATACTGTACTTTGTACGATGTAACGTCATCAGTAATTGGTGTAGTTTATATACACATATATATTTAAAATACATTTTCTGTTCTTATGTATCATTAAAATTTATTTTTAGTTATACTTAATTTTTTAATTTGACAGAATAAGTGAGGCAGAGAGAGAGAAAAAAGAGCAAGAGAGAGAGAGAGAGAGAGAGAGAGATAAAAAAAATATAACGGAAGAATTTCACGACAAGTTGTAACCTATTGACTAAGTTCAGTTCTGCAAGGCCACCAAAGAAAAAATATTTTAACGAGAGAACAAATTTTATAAATAATTGAAAAAACTGACCTCTAGTGGAATCCTAATGTATATTAAATAACTGGTTATACAAGATAATTACTCACAGTTTTCCTTTACGTCAGAATTTCGGGTTTTCACACAATTAAATGAGTAATTGTGTTCTTATAGTAATAAGAAAAAACTTTGGATATTAATCTTCATTTGTAATTTAAAATTTTCAAAAATAAAAGGTAAGGTATTAATTGTTACAAAATTCGCCGGTCTATTAAACAGATTTTTTTTATTTTTCTTGTTAGTAATTCAATGACAAATCAATTTTTAAATGTGGTTATCTAATATTTAACATAATTGGTTTAATTTTTGTCCGAAAAAGAAAGCTAAAGTTTTGATCTAAAAATTTAATTATTGATTATTTGCGCTAATTATTCTCATTTTTTTTTTTTTAATGGACGAACATATTTTATTAATAAAATTTAATCAAATATTTACTCATAAGTCAAATTTAAAATAGTGTTAAAATATTATTTGATTAGACAATTAACATAATAAATATCATAAATGTTAATAGAATTTAGTGTCAAATCCAACAAATTTTTGCATAATAAATTGTTCTAGGGGGGCAACAAAGGTTGGATATCTGTTGCTCATTAAGCTGATGAGGTTGACAGCACCTTAAAAAATGCTCCTAATTCTGAAACCAAAATCGGTGCTTCTATTTTTTGTAAAATAATGATATGTTCAAGTAAAACTTATTTTATTAAAAGAAATATTGTTTAATATGCTTCATATTTTTACGAAACTTTAGTTTTTTTAAGATTTGATGATTTATACAAAAATTTGAAAATGTAGTAAAACGCACAATTAAAAATAATAAAGAATAACAAGAACGGAAGAGAAAAAAATAAAATGATATCTAAATTCCCCACATCTATTAAATTCATGTCCCTCGTTGATAAATTAAAATGTTTTGCGGTTTTAAATTTTAATATGTATTCCATCCAATAGACAACGGTTTCTAGAGGAGTATTTATTCGATGTTTATATAAAACTGACAAGTTTTTCACTTTCTCGCTGTACCTAAAATATTGTGTTATCATTAATTATTTAATTATTTATAATGGATTAATAACTTACGATTTGTTGTTCAATACTTCTTGTATCACATTGTAAAAATTATCTTCAGTAATATCTTCAAATTCAAGTTTTAACCCAATACCTTTTGCAACAAAATTTCCAATATTTTGTAACTGATCCAAAAAGAAAGGAATTCCTATTACCGGCACTCCGTTGTAAACAATTTCATGTGAACTTAACAATCCTCCGTGTGTTATAAAAAGAACAGTGTTTTTATGGGCTAAAAATAGGAAAATAAAAGCCATAGTTCCTTTTCAAAAATTTGTTTACCAAGAATATCGTTCTGAGGTACCCATTTCCTGATGTGGACATTTTTAGAAATGTGTGAAATCTTGTCGTGCCCGAATTTCCAAATTATATCTTGCTTCAATTTAGAAAACGTCTTTAAAATAGCTTGAATTTTGTCATCGCCTAAATCTTGACAACGTACATTTGAACCTAGTGAAAATAATATTACTCCGTGTTTTGATTCGTCTAAAATTGCTTTGAGGTCCTAGAAACAAAGTATAGTAGAAAAATTAAAAAAAAACTTAGAAAAATTAGCACCTCTGGCAAAGGTTTTGGCTGTACATGTAGTCCTCCAATAGGAATTATATTAGGGGGCAAAGCTTCGACATAATTGAAGACAGGATTGTGATTAGTTAACATTAAACTTACATTTCGTTCAATCTCCTTAATGGTAAAATTCAGCTTACCAAAATGAGACTCGGCTAATTCTTGTTGACGTGGTATTAAATAGATTTCTCTTGTAATTTCAAGCAAAATGTTGAAAAATGTAGTTTTTATCTTTTGCCAAAAAGTCATGTGATCCGTATGCGTATGCGTCATAAATGGGATGTAACTTTGCCAGACATTTTTGAAAGTATTTGGTTGGTTCAAAAAAGGATTTATGTATATTACAGGCGGTCTACCGAACTTGTCTATTAATGGAAACAAACACTGTCCATTGTTAATATCCCATATAATTAAGTCAAATTTGAAACCACTAGGGTATTCGATTATTTTTTGCAAACCCTGCGTTTCAAAATCCATCATACACGTAAGCTCAGTGTACGACCATAGAGATTTGATTGTCTCCCAGTCGGACATATCTTTCATTTTCATCAGGTCAAAACTCTTCCTCATTTGGTTGTATACTCCTGTAAATCGAAATTTAAAATATTTGGATGAGTAATCAAAGGATGCTGATTTCCTTCACAGTGATGCGTTAAAATGATAAAACTATGATATAGGGGTAATAAATTTCAAGTTTCATAGAAGATCGAGTATCCCCTCTTTTGAAAGCATCAACGATTTCAAAGTTATAATGAGGGGTTATGTAGAGGTCACTATACTCTATTGGGTCATCTTCACAATTATTTGTGAAATAATTTTTAATTTGCTTGGTTATTTCACACATAACTAATTTCTTTATTAGGGTTAACGAGGTACAATATAGGAAAATAGATTTTTAAATTATTTAAAAATAACAACGCAAAAATATCGTCTTTAAACAGATAGTTACATACAAATTTGACAGATGATATTGAGTCATTTATTGAATCGGTAAGATTAACACGTATCGAGTGTTATGACGTCATACACAAAAAAGTAGAGTTGAATGCATTTAATATCAAATCATTTAAAAGTTTATAATTTCAGAAAAATGCCTTAATCGTCTATTAAATTTGAAAAAAACCAGCTGAACCTGATTCGTACGTCACCCGGTATCTAACTCCAGTTTTACATTTTAATTTGAGTGATAAATTTTTGCTAAGTGAACCACACGCTATAATTATATTGCTGAACACATAAAAAAGCAATTTCCAACAAGGAACTTTGCTTTATTACGAGTATGTGATTATTATTTTAATAGATATCCTAGGTAAGTGCGTAAATAAATTGGTATTCAAAATACATTTATTTTATTATCAAAGGTCAATATATGGAATTTTACACATACACAGACTCTAATCACCTCAAACTTTTTTATAATATTCATCTGGAGTACTAGAATTCGAAATATCTGTATATTAGAACATTATTTAATAAAGACTTTTAGTCTGTCAGAAAATTCTATTTTCCAGCAAATTATTTTATGAATAGCCGTGAGAAATGACCCTGAAAGAATATTTGAATGTATACGTCCTTTACAGTAGTGACAACGACATTTAGAAAACACTGAAATATTGAAAGATTAAAAAAAAAGGTTACTTATGTAAGATTTTAAAAAATATGTTCCAGAAACATCTAAATAAAACTTGGTTGCAATATTTAGGTATTCCGAATTACAGAAACTTGTCTTCATAGATGAAAAATTTAAAATAGAGGGATAGGAAACAGCCTGTATATATATAAAGGATGTTTCACCAACTCAGATTGTTACATATATTTATTTCAGTAACTGAATATACTTTCGTAGATTTTTATTGCTTTAATTTTGACCACCTCTATAATTAATGTTATGTTGTTGGTCCTTTAAAAGTGGAAATACACTTACTCCATAATGCATCAGTTTCAATGAACTCACCTTCCATAACAATATGTGTATAATTTGGATGTCCATGTTTGTCTTCGTCATGGCCCAATAATGTAATATTGTGTCCCCTTTCCGCTAATTCTAATAAATATACATCGTGAAATAAGTGGTGACTGGGAGAGAGCAATGTAGTAATTGCCAAAATATTGGCTCCATGAGCAAAATGAATATGCAAAATTACGAATATTGTAAAAAATAAAATCATAACCGTTCGTAATAAGATCTTTTCGGTTTAAAAGTGGTAGTTGAACTGTGGAACCATTGCGTGTAACGAAGTTTTGGATACAAGTAATAATCTCAAATCATATACTAACAAGATAATTAACTAAACATTGAAGTGATATAGGGGAAATGGGAATCTAACCAGTTAGATCGTTTAATTTCAAATTCCTCTGTTAAAACGTATTAGTACAACGATACAACAACGTTAGTAGCTGGAGTTTGTTTTTAGTGAGATATAAATATGTATTTGTTCAACAATTTAAAACACTGATAAAAAGCTAACAAAATGTTGAATTACGTAGGTAATAAGTTGTTTAAATCGTAAATTTAAACAATATTTTTACTTCCCAAGCGTAAACAAAGGAAGTATTGTAAGCTAGTCCGTCGGCCGACTTTCTACTTGTACATTTTCTCGACCTTTCATGACCCCTAGAAGACGAAGAAATAGGTCTCCCGTTTCCATCTGTCCGTCTGTCTGTCCGTCTATCCGTCTGTCCATCTGTCCGTCTGTCCGTCTGTCTGCCGTCCCGGATTTTTATTAGACAGATAACCTCCGAAAGTCCTGTACCGATTGTTGTGAAATTTTGGATTTATATTAGGAATATCATATAGATGGTAAAACGCTAACCAAAATTTGCCTAATCACCCCACCAATAATGTGATGACGTTACTTCAAAATTGTACATAGTAAATGGGTTTTAAATTGTATAAAATAACATAGACCTACACATGTAATTTATTTTTTAAACAACATTTTGCAATTTAATTTGGAATCTGCAAAACCGAATGAAATCTTGTAAATGATTTACAGTTATGATATGCATGATAAATTTTTATTCAAAATATATTTACTTGCCCCCTCCAAAAAATTGATGACGTCACCTCAAAAGTTTGCCAAATAAATCCCATCTAAAATGTACAAAATATGATGAGTCTGTACTTGTGATTGACCATTCCATTCATATTTTTTGGATTTGCATATACAGGGTGACTCAAAAAAAAATTGATGAATGCGTGAATTTATGTTATTGATCAGGAACTACAAAACCGAATAATTTGAAATCTTGGAGATGTTTTACAGTTATCATAGGTATGGTAAGTTTTTAGTCAAAATATATTTCCTCATCCCCCCTAAAAAATTGATGACGTCACCTCAAAATTCTGACAAATCTATGTCCATGAAACTGATTTCGAAGAAAAATATTTTGCCGACGAGATGTACGAGAAAGCTAAAGAGAAGTAGGAGACTGTGGTTGCAAAATTTAAAGAAAAAATCCAATCACCATCCACCCATCAACATGAGAAACCGAACATCCAACTACCCCAAATTAAACTTCCAATTTTTAGCGGAAAATATACTGAGTGACAAAATTAAAAGAATACCAAGAAGGAGTCATGATTTTGTAATGAAATTTTATACACAGTGTAGGAGTTGTCAGTATAAGAATTGATTAGAATTTCAGTGTTATCGGTCCAGTAAATTTAAGAAACAAATTTTTTCGTAGGGGTTATCATAAAAAGCATGAAATTCGCAAAATAAGATTATATAATTTTGTCTTAATAACTTTAGACCAATTTTTTTCTGTTATTACCAAACTCTATATTGATTAATAAATTAAATATTTACATGAAATCATGTCGATTTTCAAAATTTATGTGAAATCAAGAATTTTATTAATGCTGTTAGGAAATAAACTCCTGTGCCGCCTCGGTACGACGCCTATAGGTTCTAGTATGTACGGTGATGATGACTCATCGTCGATGACGCGGCCGGATGGCGTTCGGTACAGAAAAGCCTCGAAGCGCACCTCACGATTGGTATTCCAGAAAGATCCCGATCGCCGCACTTCTGGAAGGAAGTATGGGTTTAAATAGAGGCCACCTTCGGGAACGAATTATTATGCAATTGATTGAGTTAGAAAAAAATCGAACGAATTCAGTTGCGCCGGAATTATTTTGTACATAGTCGCTGTGTAATCAGTCGTGTAAATTCGAGTTATTAAGAAATAAATATTATTATGTACACGTGTAGGGATTTTTTTGTTTTCTATAAATACTATTGCCGTGTTATTTATTTTTTATCCAACTGTTAATTGCTGTATTTAGTAATTTACGATGCAAAGAGCACCATTAATAATTTAAAAAATAGAATTTACGTGTGTATCACGAGTGCATATAAATATATAAGCTGTGCATATTCAAGTTCTACAATCAACGTTCTAAAAATCATGGATAAATATGTGTGTATTTCTTTTATATTATTAATATTTTGGGTCCAGTTTACGATTCAAGAAGAATATGACATTCCAGATAGTATTAACATAGATGATATACTTAAAAATGATCGCTTAACTATGAATTACATTAAATGTATGTTAGACCAAGGAAAATGTACACCGGAAGGGGATAAACTACGAAGTAAGTACTTTAGTTATGTTATACATATAAGGTATCGAAACACCAACTTATGTTATCTGTTGTTTGTAATTATTTGAATATTTGAGCTTCATCTGTAATATGTTAGTAAATTTTTAAACTTCTCTATGTTAGTACATTCGTGCAAAATATTTCCGTCCAATTTCTAAAAACTAATTACGTGTCGTTTATTTCACTACCTAATTTTCTAAAAATTCTGTTGTAAATAGTTCTTAAAACTGCTTTCAGAACATTCATTAGCTCAACTGTTTATTTATTTCAATAGTGATTCATTTTAAGCACGGTAATAAACATGGTCATTAACTATTGTTTTTATATAGGAGTAATATTTATATAATATTTTATCATAGTAATATTATACAATACGATATGTACTAAGATATCGAGATAAAGTGCTAAATTATTAAAATTTAAAGTGTACATATATACCTACACATTTCAAAAATCTAAATAAATCTAACTTTTATTAAAAAGTAGTTCAGACTGAAATTAGATGACGCCACAATAATACCAGCTTTAATATTGGTTTAACATTGTACCTGCAAACATTTTTAAAGCTTTTTAAAGAAAGAATAAATAATTAGTAAAAACCAGTAACACTCGGTACACTATGTCATCTCAGTATTTCATCTCGTCAAGACTTCCCTTGACTATAGATAAAATTTTAATTCGGATTTCCACCAAACAGATGAAAACAGGTTTCAAAGTCTTCAGAAATATGATCTAATTTCATCCAAGTTTTTTTTTGGCACTGGAACTTGTTACTGTCTCAAGTTTTTTAAACTAAAACGCAATTACAGTGTCGCTATGGTCCCACTTTGACTCGATATGTAATGTGTGTAGTTGGTCAAAACAAGAGTAGTCAATATTTTTCTTGAAGTGATTGATTCTTGACAAGAAAAACAAAACTAATAAGTTAATAACTTATAACGTAAAATCGAAAATGTATGTAAAATTGTCGTCAAAATATGTAAATCAGCAAATTTAAAATTTTATACACTGTTGTGTAATTAGTGTCAGCAGTCACCGTCAGTTTAATAGATCAAATTAGTGCTTTAGTCAAGCACTCAAGACTTTGACAACAATTTTGTCATACATTTATGAAAAAAAAATTACCAACATTTCGTTCTCACTGCCAGCAAAACCTTAGTTAATAAACTTTGTAATTAAAAAATAATATGATTTATATTGTCTAACCAGAAATTTGTGATTTTAGGAACAATTCCAGAAGCATTGCAGAATGACTGTGCAAAATGTAACGATAAAGTTAAAAATAATATTAAGAAGGTAATCAAACATATTTCTGAAAATAAGCCTGATAGCTGGAATGAACTACTTGCTAAATACGATCCTACTGGAGAATACAAAAAAAGGAACCAACATATAGCTGACGAAGCAGGATTAAAAATTTAATATTTGCGATGAGATATGCTACACGTGTTCTGTAGAGACGTATAAAATATGTATAAATAGCTCTTGATCATCAATAAATTGTTGTTTTTATTGTACTAAATAAATCATTCAGTGCAGACAGACGGTTGAAAAATAAAATTACACTGCTTATCTGGATAAGCATAAAAATGTTATCTAATTTCTGTAAGAATTAATACCGCAAGTAGATGAAAAATGGTAAACAATTGACTCACGTTAGAAAATTATTAGGATTATATAATATCATTGTTTGAATACATCAGAAATGTATTTAACAACTGATATGTTCTTTCCAATAACATCCCGTTCTACAAAGTGTATAAGTAAGTTTCGTCATCGTACTTGCACTTGCATCTTTTTGTCTTAATCTTGCTTTTTATTACCTCTCTTGTCTAAATATTTACACTTCGTTGCCTGTGTAGGAAAATTTTCTCTTTAGTATTTTAACCCAGCTCTAGAACAGCTTTGTTAAAGGATTTTTAATATACCTATGTATAGGTAGAATAAAAAAAAACTTGCAAGGATGAATGACAATAAAGCTGAAATAATGTTTCTTAATATAAAATATAATTGCCAAAGAAACTTACTGAATGATCCTAGAAAATTTGGAAATGTTCAGATGAATAATGTGCTACATATAGCATTTGTATCAGGTAATGCTTGGTACGTGATATAAAAAAAGATAAGATTTTTATTACAACCGTCACTATATTTAAAATATGAATTACACTTTTCTATCTAGGGTAGAGTTGTTCATTGGATTACTTGTTCTTAAATTTGAGATGTCGAGATGTGCTATTTTGAAGTATTGATTTTCGTGGGTTTTTCACAGACATTCTTATTTGCTGTCTGTGGATGAATCAATACGTTTCACATTTTAGGTTGAACAGCCCCAGAAATGGGGTGAGTAGTTATCAGTTTTTTATTTCTATATTTGAAAATAACTGAAATTCGATCAACTGCTTCTTATTAATATTTGAGTCCTTACGAGCTCACTGTGTTTTATATCCACGGCATGTTTACTTTCGTATACGGTGTGAATTTTTAAATTTCTGATTTAGTTGGCCATTATGTGTACGTCAGCAGTACAATTGAAACGGCTGACGTGCACGTCATGAGCAACTAGAACAGGAATTTAAAAAAAATCGCTCGATATAATTTTGACGATGACCATCAAATGTTTGAAGGACAGTCGGACCAACACGTTTAATGAAATCAGTGTCGTGCAAAGAGTGCAAATTCTCATGAACGCTAGCGCGTCAGTGGACATAACTAACTATTAAAATTTCTTGCAGATTTGTAACTACAAAGAACTCTCAAGAAACTGTTATAATTAATTCTAGTGGTAAAAATCAATCCATTGATAAAATAAAATATTCATCGACCACAAAAACTTTGTAGCTGGATCGTTTTAAGCAAATTGCCTCTGGCAAGTGATAAGGGTTCTAGGCCAGGTCAAACGGGGTCAAAGTGGCGTGGAACCCCCACGATATAATAACAGTCCATACGTACTTTCTGATCTAAGCTGTAAAATTTTATTGTGTGGTCTACAATTTTTTAAAAATATGCATGTATGTCAAAATAAGGTACAGTAACTAAAATTATATGTATGTAAATGTAAGATAATTTCATGAAGTTTTTGGTGGAGGTGAACAGACAAGTTTGAATTACATCTACATATAGAATTATTTAAAACCACACGTTCACAACAATTAGTCCAGTATTTGTCTGTCTAATAAAATGGCCAAGACCACAATGAGAAGCTAGCATTTTCGTTTCTACAAAGTGTGAAGCGTCGAAAAAATATTAAACTAGACTACACTAGAAAAGGTAACTAGTTTCTCTAGTAAATTTCAATCGTATAAAGGGTGACTAATATTTAATTTGCAATAGGAATGACATTACAAAAAGGACAACGTCATTAAGTCTTTTGTTAATTAAGGTATTATAGAAAATTTCGATGTAGCTTTGTACAGGAAAATCACGTTATTGGAACATTAATTACAAAACACCTAAGAAATATCAGCAAATGAGCAAAGTAAACAAAGTAAAAAACAAACTACCAAGGAAATAGATCACCTAAAAAGGCAGTTTAAATGATAGCAACGGACATTGCAAAAAGGAATAAGACAAAGATTGAATGGCAAATTTGAATTCTAAAAATAACGCTGCCAATTAACTCCAAATGATAAATTCCAAGGTAAGCTAGCTGAATTTTACAACGAATTTCATTTTACGAAACACACAAAAACTGGAGAGACAAGCAATGCTCCACTAAAAATAAAAGAGTTCTTCTTTCGTCATAGGGACATGGAAAAAAATAAGTTTCGATCAACAAAAAACATCCTCTTAGTGGCGCCAACCCATCAAACTGTTTCTCTCATCAGCTGATACAACCGGGATGAAAAATATCAATTTAAAAATAATTTTGGAAAAAAAATATACGAGGTGTATTCCAAAACAATTAATCACGTCCATTAGAATGCACTTATACTAACAACAATGAGATACTCGTAGTTTAACGAAGTTGTAGATACTGAAAAACACAACTAAAGCGATAATTTATAACGACGTCTTAATTAGGCGGTTACACACGGTGATCTCATGTAAGTTTTACGATCAGTAATTTCTGTCTGAGATAAATCTTTTTTTCCACAAAAATATAAACCATTACGTTTTAGATATCTAAACGTGGTAAGTTGTCTGAAACCCTTATTTTTACAATATTTATTACATTTATTTGCTTTTTAAATGAATAATCGAATATAAAAATTCCTGTTTGACTAAAATAAATATTATAATTCGGCTTTACAAATTTCAAGGCAAAAATAAACTCAAATAAGTATAATAAGAATCAACAAGGTTATAGGAGGAATGGTCGAAGTTACAAAATGAAAGTTTGGGAACAACTGATGTTGTTACCCAATAGCCAGTGACGTTCAATGATATTTTTTGTTATTTAATTCGCAGTGTTTAATTTTTTATATTTTATCAAGTAAAATTCTGAAATTTGAAGACACCAATAATAGTCGTCAAACTTTGATCTTACACATTAAAATGTTCCACTGTTCATCAGGCAAGGTTACTGCATTAATTCTGCAAAATCGTTATCAATAACAATGACCAATTATGTACGTTTATATGCTAATATATAACCATGTCGCTTAGAATAAACTGTTTTTTATTTTCAATAAAACGACTTAGAATGCATTATCAGTCTCATCATCAGTACATAGTTAATATTTATGCCACGGACGTGGAAACTCGTAGGACAAACTTCTTGCAGCCATTATAAACAGGTTTAACGCAGTTTAACGTAATTTGTAAAGTACAATACATTTCTAACAAGTGATAATAAATTTGCAAACGTTTGTGACTTCACCACTTTGTCACTGGAATAATAATTGTCTGTTCACAAATATAAGCATAAAGTGTTTATTTTTACTTCTACATAACGTTTAAATGGTAAAGTTCTGGGAAATATTGAATAACAATTTTCCAATGGAAGATTCTGTCGACATACATTGCTTTTATTACAATGTTAATATTGACGTATTAAATTTCTGTTAAAATGAATAACTGCACTAAAAAATTAAAATCGGTTACGACGTAATACAGGAGCATTCGAAAAAAAACCTTGAATATTTAAATTCGTGTAAACGAGACTTTTGATAAAAATGGCAATTATTATTTAAGTGTTTCTATATTCCACCTTAAATGGCTCCTCAATTTGTGTTAATGAATGCATTTATGTACATTGTTTCACGAATTTTGGCACAACAACTTAATTTACTTATTACATCTTTCCTGTAATTACGATAAGCATAATTATTTTATAGTGTAAAAATTTTAAAACACACCATAACCCATCCTTTTGTTAGCTATAATTACATAGATGCTGTTTTAATAATTTAAGTTTGCGTCAGAATAAAAAACATCGTATGTGATTTCTTAGGCGACAAGGACCGAAAAAAACCTCTAGCTTATGACACCCATTGTGTTGATGTATAAATAAGGTTCCACTTCTCCACTTCTAAGCAGTTCTAAAATAGTATTCATCATGATTCCAACACTAATCTTAGTTCTTGCCTGCATACATGCTGCAGTTTTAGAAGAGCAGTATGTCATTCCTGACAACATCGACGTCGACGAAATTCTTAAAAATGACCGTTTATTGAAAAATTATGCGAACTGTGTTTTGGAAAAAGGAAGTTGCACCCCCGAAGGAGAACGTCTTAAAAGTAAGTTTTTTTAATTTCATCTATATTGTTTTTCAAATCTTATAGATGTATAATCCATATATTAAAATTATAATTTTTACTTAAAAAAATAATACTGTCATACTGTGTAGGACCAAAAACTAAAATGATGTTACTACTTACTTGTTAATCATTATTACAACAAATGGATAGTTTTTGGGCTTACCTTCTAAGAAAAATTTTTGTTAATGTATTACTTTAGTAAAAATGGATGTTAAGAAGTTAAAATTAAAAAATAGAGAAAAAACGTATATTATGCAACAGGTAAGTTTTTTACTCTGTTTCACATTGGTGGGCACGCCTAATAGTAAATTTCTCTTATTTACCTCCCATGTAAGGTACTTTTTTATTTAATTAAAAAGACAAAATATAAAAATAATGTTATGATTAATAACACCTTTCTAAATAGATCGATAATAATTATTGCAAACATCTTAATTATTATTATTATTCGAACTAATTAGTCTGTATTTATTTTTACAGAAGCCATTCCGGAAGCATTGCAGAACGAATGTGCAAAATGTAACGATGATGTAAGACAAAAGGCAAGGAAAATAATTCACCAAATCATAGAAAAACACCCGGATTTGTGGAAACAACTTGAGGCTAAGTATGACCCTAACGGCGACTACAAAAAGAAATACAAAGAGCTTATTGAAAAAGAAGGACTGCAAATTTAAGGTTTAGTCAATTGTTATAACAAAACCAAATGCTGTTGTAAATGATTACGTTTAATAAATACCTGTGTTAGTATTTGAAATAAAAAATATTTTGTTTAATAACATAAAAAATCAGTAATAAAATGTCTGAACAGAAGGCAAACAAATTAACCAAAAAACGGAAAATATTATGATATGTTCTTGTTAAGTTTAGTATTGTAATTATTAACTCTTAAATGAAAGAAGATCAAATCTCCAAACACACCATTAAATTAAACGACCAGACGTCAGAAAATTATTACGTTAAAGCTGCCATCTGTATTAATTCTTATATAATCTCTAATTGATTTTAAAAATCTTAGTATCGGTTTCTATAACGAGTAGCAAACGATTTTGGACGTATCCTCTCACTCGTTCCACTAGTTCGAGAACCTTACCCAGTTTCTCACCTTTTTGTAAATGTAGTACGCGCTTCAAGTTGTATTTTTCATAATAATAATAATAATAATAATAACAATGATTTATTCATGTTTATACATGACAACATGAAAATACAGATCTTGTATAACTAGACATAACAATGTATTTTGTATCAACAGGGTAGTGTAAATCCATGGATAGTAGTAACTAATATCACTAGATACTGGCAATTATAGTTTTGGAAATTTCATTCTACCCTATAAAATTTTATTGACGATAACGAGACGGATATGGTAAGAAATATTTATGTCTCACACAAGTTCACTCGAATTTGTCTGAAAACATTTAGCAGGTAGTTGTGCTCATAAAATAATGGTCATTTCCGTTCATGAGTAACGACGGTCCCTGTCCGGACCTGGATTATTCTGCTTTCTAACATTTGGGGATCACCGGCACGCGACAACTTAAGTTGTAAATATCTTTTGCTATTGTACTACTGTCCGTCTCGTTATTGCCAATCAAATTTTATAGGGTACAATGAAATTTCCAAAACTATACCTAAAACTGACAGTAAACTAATTTACTTTAATTTTTCTTTTACTTATAAGTAAATTTAAAACTAAGTTAATTATCTTATACACAATTACCAATAATAAAATAATTATTACTAATAGAAAGAGAATAATGTCTAGTCCATAAGCTTTGTAATATGGATAATTTCTCCCTGGAAAGCTTAAGAAATCAGCGCCACCATGACGTATTACATATTCTGTCCAGAAAACTGCTTTTTCCAAAGCTGTTTGCGGTTTATCTTTGTATATACGGGAAAGTCTTCGAACATTTTCAAAATATCTGAAATTACAGGTTTTAAAAAATACAAGTTTATAATAATAATGTCTATAATATAATACATATAAGCAGCAGTTCTGCTGCAGGTGTTAGGAAACTGAGAGGGTACTTAGAATTTTGTTTGTAATTTCACCAAAGGGCAATTGCTAATACAAAATGAAATCGCATTCGACGCCACGGTTCCCTTCAACGAGAATAATTAATGTAAGATCAGTTCATTACGTCAAATATTCATTATCTCAAATATTGTGAAGCCTTTGTCAATGCTGTCAATACCCATAATCTTGCCAGTTGGGTTTATTTCATATGAGCTTTGCTTTATGTGATAGGGGAATTCGGTCCACGATGCAGTTTTGACGAACTCATTTCAATTTAATCATTAACTTGAATGAATGCATATTTGAACATCATGTATATTCTTTTTTAGAGTTATTAGAATTAGAGTTTGTTTGCTTCCTTCCTTATAATTAATAATATAATAATATTAATTACAATTATTAATAATATTCAATGCGTTGTCTTCAAAATTCCACACCTAAATATAGAGCTCTTTCTAAATGTCATTGTTCATGTGCATGTTTATCTGAAATATAGGATTTTCGCCGCAGTCAATCGGGCCTTCGAGCTGGCTACTTCAGTTGTGAGGATGGAAGTAAGTTCGGGTTATTACCAATTTGTATTTAAATTATGAGAGTAAGTTAGTTTTAATTTTGTTTTCTATTAAAAAGAACACGAGTTCGTTCTATACTGATACGCGAGTAAATACCCTCTCTCTAATTTTTTACTGCAGATTTAAATTTGACAAAATATAGTTTGATATTATAATCTGTCACTTATAAAATATTGTAAAATATACTTACACTGGATTATCCAAAACTTCTCTTACAGTTTGTAAAACATAACCAGATGTAATTCGGGTGAAGTCTATTGAAAGACCTAATTTTTTTTCAATAATCAATTTTGCATTGATATGCTGATCAACAATAAATGGGACACAAATCATTGGTACTCCGTGATAGAACGACTCTTGTGTGCTTAAGGCTCCGCCATGACCAATAAACAATTTGACATTAGGATGCCCTTAAATACACTTATTCTAATACATTTATTACACACTCAGTGTAAACATTACAAACCTAAGGCATCGTTTTGGGGTAACCATTTTCTAACGATGACATTTTTCGGGAGATTTTCAATGTCACTTTCAAATTTCCAAATAACTGTTTCTGGAATTTTACTAAAAGCATCTATGAGTGCCCTTTGTGTACGTTTATCCAGTTTGTCAGAACGTATATTTGTTCCTAGTGAGAAAATAATGGCTCCATTTTTAGCATTATCCAGAATTGTTTTCAGATCCTATATTGTATTCTTTAATAGTTAAACGTGTCTAGGTCTACAATTAATTTGGACATACCGGAGGCAGTTCATTGGAACGGTGAGTATGCAGACCTCCTACAGATATAAAATTGGGTGCGAGTGGCTGCGGATAATCTAATATTGGATCAGTGTTAGTTAATACGAGAGACATATGACGCTCAAATTCTTCCATAGAAGGTATATTTTCTCCAAAGATTTTCTTCGTTATGTCGTGCTCCCGTCTATATTGGTTTAAATAGCGGGACGCTGTATCGATATACATGTACAAGACGTTAAAAGTTCTTTCAACGAAATTCATATCTGCAGTATAGGGAAGACCATACCAAGGAATTGACGTAGGGTACATGTTGTTACCAAAATTGTATGATACATATGACGGTAAAAGAAAAGCAGTGACGGCAATTGTAGGTGGGTATTTAAATCTGTGTATTAAGGGATACAAACAAGGGCCTGAAGTTACGTCAACTATAATAAGATCAAATTTAAAATCTGGAGGATAATTCAGTAAGTTATGGAGTCCTTCAGATCGCAAAATTTTATTGCAACCAAAAGTACACCAATTCTGAAATTCTATACTCATTCGTATTGGACTATAACTTGCCATGTCATTTAAGTCGTAACTGATGTCCAAACTTTCATACACTCCTGCAAAGACAACAATAAAAATATCTACATAGTATTAAAATAAGAGTTAAATACCTTCTAGGAAGATATGGGTGTAATTATCAGATTTTGGCAATTTATCTATGTCAGGATCTACAAGGGTTACGTTATGTCCTCGTTTGACCAGTGCCATGGTAAGAACACCATTCCATATATGATGGCTAGGAGACGGGATGGACGATACGTATAAAATATTGGCACAAAGCACACTTTTAACACTTGTTAACACTATCAGCAAAAATAAAGTACACATGTTTGTAGCGGTACTTTTAAAAAAATTGTAATTTCCGCAAACTAACTTATTGTTTTTAAATCGCCGAACATTTTATCAAGAGATAACGTGTGATTTGAAGAGTCATGTTACATTAGATGAGTTACATCACAGATAACCTTTATACTTCAAATGAATTAACTATTTAGGCAGTTCCAAGGACAAATAAAATAGTGGGTAATTTTACGCACCACTGAAACTCTATAAATTAAACTGTGATGTTTGATGACGAATCAGTTTGTTTTATTTATACAAAGATAACGGTGTAATGAAAAACGAGAGTGAAAATATTATTTTATAAAATTATACACGTGAAATTGAAAATAAAAGACGCTTTCAAGTCATTCTTAGTTTCCCTATTACCATAATTAAATCTTAATTATGGAAATAATCATATTTAAAAATTCAGTCCATGCAACAGTTATGACGTAGTCATTAGGTATAAAATTTTAAAAATACTCGTGTCACGACAAAATTAGTTTCTAGAAATTAAAATTAAATCAAATTAAAACTGATAAAAACTGGAATGATTTTTCGCATAGTGATTTTGTATGGTTTTTTTCAATACAATTCTTTAATGTAGATAAATTTTTTATCTAAATCATTTCACTACTCGGTAGAAAGTAAACGACTTTAAAGCAAAAAAATTCTGCGTATTAAAAATATCCCTGCAAAAATGAGTTGTTACTAATGTCACTTTTATAATTAAAGTTGCTTTTCGTACATAAATAGCAAGTTTCAAAATATTTATATAGAATAACCACCTGAAAAAATTAACAGTACTCCACTGAAATAGTGCATAGGTACAAACGATAAATATACAGGGTTAGTCACGAGAGAATTACTTCTGAAAATTATTTTTACGCAACCCAAAATACGAATACCATGTACCATTTGATACTAACTGAATTTAAAATGAAATGCTTAATCCATGATTGCTTTGAGTTTGACAATCTCATTTTGACAATTGTGGAAAAGGAGGTTACGCGAGTGTCAATGGTGGTACCGCTGTCAGTCGGAAATCTCCTCCGGCGCCGCTAATAAATTTGTCAGTGTGCCTCTTGATCTTTTGCAACCGATTAATCACGAGAAAATTATTTCTAAAAATTCCTTTTACGGCATTTTATTCAAAGATTACAACACAAACTCAAACAAGTAAGTAAATAATTTAACTACTAATCTGTTGAAAATGTTGGGCATTTTGGGGGGATGCTACGGCTTTTTTGTAAATGGATGGCCGAAGAAGTCCAGAGGTTGCAGATTTGCATTTCGAAGAGGCTCTAGGTGACGCAGAGATGGCGAATTAACACATGCACATTAGCGGGGGACAACATTGGTAGAGCACTTACGGCTTCAGTATAGCCCAGATTGATCTGACTGTATGTCGTCGATCCAATGGGGCTCTAGAGGCGAGTCAACGATGAAAAAAATGTTAAAAATTAATTAACGTCAAAGTGACACTGCCAAAGTCAAAGCAATCATGGATTAGGCATTTCATTTTAAATTTAGATAATATCAAGTGGTACAGGGTATTAGTATTTTGGGTTGCGTAAAAATAATTTTCAGAAGTAATTCTCTCGTGACTAACCCTGTATGTTGTGCCACCAGTGTCTCTAAATGATAGTAATTTAAGATATTAACCATAATATTAACGTAATTTCCAAAAAAATATTATGGAACTAATAACACAGGTTTACAAAAATCAAAAAAGTTTGGACTGAATATCTATTTATCATTTCTAGTGTATTTTCGCTCGCTGAATTCAAATCCGTGCTCAGTTGTTTTCCAGCACGTATAGATTTTGTGATTGCGCAAGGTCACTAATCATTGGGCTAATCAAAAATTTCGTTACTACGACAAAAATGGTGCAGCCTTTAAATACTTACTCTAAATTTTTCCAACGTTATCTTATGCCAAAATAAGAGAAGGTCCGGACATACGAAAACTGATTCAAGACAGCCAATTTACGAGATATTTGTCATCGTGCACAAGTTTCTCGGTATTAACAAAACTTCCGATTGCAAAGAAATTGTTGGAACATTATTGAAGGCTTATAAACAAATTGGGGCTCGCATGTCTTTGAAGTTACATTTCCTTTATTCGCATCTAGATTTTTTCCTGCTAATTTAGGCGCTACCAGTTATGAACAGGGAGAACGTCTACATCAAAATTTACACAGCATGGAAAAAAATTACCAAGGTTTTTGGGATGAAGGCATGATGAGCGATTATTGCTGAATGTTGTTGCGTGAAACCGATGATCAAACGTATGCTCGACAAAGTAATACTGGACTACACTTTCAATTTTAAAAATTTTTTGTAAGAAAACTGCTAAATATAGTAAAATTTGATCAAAACTTGTCATATTCAATATCTTAAAAACTTGACGTGATGGCGACAAACGGATTGCAGAATCGTGTTCAGTGTGGAAAATTGGTCTCAGAACACTAATTGGTTGCTTTGTCCAAAAACTAGTGTAAACCTGTGTAATTTGCTGAAGTCTATAGATAGACTAATAAAAAAATTACTACACCTTATAAATAAGTAGAAACAATCACGATCACAGCACAGTGTTTTTTTAATAAAGTATTTAAATTATTTAATATGTATTCGTTTGTAGATTACTTTAAATAATAATAACAAGTACTTAAGTATTTGTTTAGAAAAATAATTATTGTACGGAGAAAATTTATCATTCAAAAAAATTATTATCGGAAAGCTATGCACCACATTTAACACTAATACGAAATTAGGATTGCCTACCTATAACCCACAACAACTACATAAACTGACCGAAACGATGCTCTGTTCTGCCTAATGAGTGCATTGCTCTAAAACCAAAAATCATTAAGAAAAAAAATAAAAGAAAAGTTGGATATGCTAATTCTAATTCTGTAATCAGTTTTTTTTTCTGGCACGTCAGATTATGGAGATGATCGACATGACTACGTTCATGGTTTACAAAAATTTGAGGATGTTAGCAAATTACATGGAATTTCCGTTTAGTTTATTAATATTTATGGCTAACCGAAGATAATTAGTGATTAACTGAATTATAGGTCCTTGTAAAGATGATAATGAATTAATGAATTAATGTTTTATCTCGTGTAGGTACCTAAATGCCTTATTTTCCATGCATTTCTAAATAAAAGCATTTTGAAAAAACTATACATGCTACAAAAATCTAAAAGCAGATTCTGTTGATCACAAAAATGTTCACTTTGTAGACAGTGTTGTTTTGTCCTTCTTAAATAACATAAATGGGCAGTTTTACCTATGGAAAATAGACATAAACATAATTAAGGTTTATAAAATTTTAAAATACCCAATAAATCTCTGTAAAAATAATACAGACTTGATAAATAAAAATTAAGCATAATTATTCATTCTTTGCAGTTCTGTCACTGTAAGAATCTTAGTAATAATATATTTTTTTGACAAACGTAAGTCGCTTTTACACAAAGAATAATGATTGTTATAACCTTGAAGAGTAAGTAATAAATTAACAATTTGTAGTTAATTATATTTATACAGTGTTATTGATTGAGAACAATGCCATGATTTTTCATCAGCTAATGACTGATTAGTACGTCTATACCGTACTACAAAAAATATTGATTGCCATGATTATAGGGTTTCTATAAAAAAAAGTATATTCGCAAAATCAAATTTTATAATTTTACAAAAAAGCTGGATATGCTTCATTATACTTCAGGGGCGAGGGAAGTTCTGTCGAAATAACCTTTGATTATTTTTTTACACAACAGATTTATAGAGCAATAAATAATAAGAATAATAAAGACAAAGACAGAGACACACAGAGAGAAAATGTGTGTTTAAAAAGGTTGAAATTTTAAGGATTCTGTCCTGTTTTTAAGAAAAATACTTACACATAAAATTCGATTTGGGCTAAAAAATTCACCTTCGGAAGAACAGTTAAAATTTTAATACTTTTGATGGGCAAAATAATTTTTATGCAGTATTATTACACGAGATTGGGCATACCTTAGCTATTGAACATTCTGCAAATAATAATTCGACTATGTACGCCTATTATAAAGATGATCTTAATAAATTAGGACTCAAAATGATATGTGGGCAATTCAATATTTATATGGGAGACCTGTACGATTAAAATATGAATTAATACCAACAACAACTGTTAAAATATCAATAAATAAATCAGTTATTACAGAATAACCGAGTTCAACACAGGTTCATGACTCATGACCATGAGCCAAAGGCGAATTCTAGATTGGTGACCCTTTAGATCTTATTTTACCAGATTTATGTTCAATACATCATCCAGACAAGTTTTTAATAACTTCAAATCACAATTTGTATAAATTTCACAAAAAATGGGTTTGGATAATGGATATAAATGGCAAACGATACAGAGATCCGAAATTAATATCCGAATATTTGCCATTTGTAAAACAAATCTCTCACATTTGACCTTCTGGAGTAGTTATAATTATAGATGAAAATAAATAGGAGTATTATTTTATTGGTTTTTCTGGATTTTCAAATAAAGCATTTTGAAAACATTTATAAATTAGGAGTGTCGAGCAATTTTAAAATTTAAACTATTTTTAATTCATACAGAGGACGTACTTTTATCTTTTATGATAATTATTAGTATATTGAATTGAATGAATGTACTATGAAACCAAAACCAGACGGAATTATTAATAAACTATTTCCTGGTGTTTCATCTGATGTAAATGGTGTCTTTCAATATAGAAATGGAATATTGTACTTTTTAAAAAAGAAGGATAACAATGCGATTTCATAGGAATGTTTTAATTTATGAGTAGCTTATTTTGTAAAAAATTATCAAGATATTTAGGTTTGATTTATGTCGAAGGAATGTTAAAGAAAGCAAAAGAAAAACCATTTGAACAGATCCTCTCTCGTTTAAATAACAAAAATTCAAAATTATGTAATCTCCTTCAGAATAAATAAATATTTAATCGCAGGTAAAAATAGTGTGTTTGACTCATCATTTTGTGTTGTGCCAGAATATCAATGCAAATGGACGAGATGTTGTTCGTACAGACATAGATTACACAATTTATATGAACATTTCTAAAACACCAAATTTTTAAATTGGTTTAGATCAGCAACCATCATTTTCAAGTCAATTATGGATGAACAAATACAATATGACACTATTCCAGTATTCGAAATAGAGCGAACTCACCAGTGAATATGTAGGGAACACTAAAACTCAACTTTTTATCTCAAAGTAAATTTGTTTCTTGAGATTACTACAAACCTAAGCACAAATATATTACAAAAAGACGTCACAAATATTTTGATAAAACAAAAATAAACCAAAATTACCGAACAAAAAATTTTATAATAAAGTATAAAAAAGTTAGACTCAGAATACAACCAAAAATTCATAGTTTAATATTAGTTTCGGAGAATATTTGTCTAAAAATTCGAAAATCGATATTTTCAACCTGATTGAAAACGAGAAATGAACGTTTAATCAAAATAATCCTGCTAGAGTACGTTTATTAGAAATAAAAAACATTCTAAAGTTAATGTAAGTGAACCTCAAAAAACACAGAAAAAATATTCCTAAGATAAACCCAAACATTGAAGACCACTGTTTTCAGTTTTTAATGATTGACTGAAAATTTCTGAAATTTAAATATTTCACAAAACCAGTAGTGATAATTGTAATGATAATGACTAATGAGAATGACTAATAAATTGCAGTAATGCGTAAAACGTAAAGACGGTCGGTAATGAGACTGAGTAATGACTTAATGAGATAAAAATCAAAATTGGATTTATGGGTTTTCCAAATTATTTCAGCCAAAAATGCCAATTTTATAGAATTGAGTTCTTGTTGAAACAAACATATTAAACAAGTTGTTACGTAACGATTTGTACAATCCTTATTTTTATATGAGTTATGCAGTCCCTGATCAAATCAATAAAATAATAAAAGACTGGACAAATAAGGCACAATACATTGAATAATAGACCGATACATCAAGCTTAATCGCAGTACTCACCCTTTAAATCCTGATTTTTTTTTCTTCCGCGCCGATTCTTGCAGACTCCTTCCTCATGGGTACATCACAACACTCACCTTTCACTTTAACCCTGAAATCAATTTATTTTTAACAAAAGTTAACCACTTAAACAAACTAATTGACACAACACAGTGCCCGCACTCAACAAAGCCAAAACCGACAGAATTTCTTGACGTAACACAAAAAAATCAAGAAAAAATTCTCTCCGTACACCGTATCAGACATTTTTTGCAGAGTTTTTATTCATCGACACATCGACGCGCTAAATGAATCTTATTTAAAATACCACAACATTGTTCATTAACAAAACATAATTTTCGTGTTGTGTGGATCAATAAGAAATTACAAATGTTACACAGAATTTGCCAAAAACGAATTAGAAAGCCCAATTTAAATATCTGTTTGGAAAATATTTTATTTGTCAAGAGTTAATACCACGACACAGAATTTAAATGTTTTCATCACCTTTGCCAAAATACTCTTGTAAAAAAGATTCGTACGGGGTATTACAACGCTCAAAGGGCGGATAATTAGGCATTTTCTGTTGAATGTAGAAAAAAAACTTCAACACAGTCTAATAGAGCTATAATTTATAAGCACATATGTATTTGCAAACAAACAGAGTTTCCATTTAAGCATTATAATAGAATCCATTTGGCTACTTTCATGTTTTCCCGACGTTTCATAACCCCTAGAATATAAAAAAGAGATATCCCGTTTCCGTCTGTCTATCCGATGATAGTACACACATATATATTAAAAATATCGTGTAGATGGTAAAACACCAACAAAAATTTGCCTGGTTATCCTCTCCATGATTCGATGACGTCATTATTTACAGTTGTAATTCTGAAATAGTGAATATTAGTTTATAGACTGTCTTGGGATTTAGTTTTATGATGCCCGTTCATAAAACTTTTGATTCCTACAGGAAAACTATCTATACTCAACTCACTTGACATACACCTTGAAAAACTTTTATGACTAACGCGACTTAAGCCAAACTGGCTATTGTAAGCTTTATGGACCCAAACCGGAAGTTTTACTGTTCATTGTTGCCATAATGGAGCTGTAAAGTTTTACTAGATATATGTGAATTGAGTTAAGTTATACAATAGCCAGTTTGATTTGTAAGGGTGCTTTGTCAAGTGAGTTTTGTATAAGCACGTAATAATTTAACAAATTTGCAAGTCTGCCTTTCACCCTGATGAATTGTGTAAATTGTTGTATGGTACCTAAATACTCATTAGTCACTACCATCTTTTCAAAGATCACTATAACAACCTGCTGCATTCACTACAAACTTCAAATTATGAAAAGGAATCAGAACAAAAAAGTTCATATATATTTTTTTTGTTATATTATGACTTAAAAACGTAACATATAATTGTGGGCGATCTTGCAAATACTTTATTTTCTTCAGTCTTGTAGATAGGATCTATTCAATTTACATTAAGAACAGTTCATTACTGTAATATATGTGTTTGTCATTCATTATGTACCTATTAGTTATTTCCTAACTATCACGGAAATTCCTGAAACTAACGATTTGCGAAAAATATTGAGAAATCTTTGAAATGTGTGTAATTCGGCAGCCTATCTATCGCAAATAAGGCGCTATTAGGAAGAAAACTTTTACCTAAACATGATTTCCTCCTCTGGTTAGGAATACTCTGACCCTAATCATTAATAAAATCAATAATAGTTCTTTAACTGTTTTCGCATAATATATTTCTGACTCTCCAGAGAGTTTAGATAAAAAATTTTGAGCATTTGTTTAATAACAAAAAAAATTGTAATTTTCTTCGCATCGACATTAGTTTAAGTACTGAAGTATATAGGTGTTTATCATGCTTTGGAGATTTGGAAAAAGGTTAATAAACCTCCTGTAACGGTCAACTATAGGTAACTCAACATGTTGTACACAAAATCAATGACCAGAACCGTATTTACACATAGACATAATACGCAAATGCGGTCCTGGGTTTGACGATTTTCCAGTCTTCTTTGATGAAAGAAAATGTATCAACCGTGCATATTATTTGCCAAATTTTCGTCATTTTAACGTCTATTCTCTAATCTTTCCATTAGAAGACTAGTAATTAAGGACTATACAAAGTTGTATTTTGTCTACAATTACTGACTGATTGCTTTATTGGAATGCCCTTGAATGTTGGAAGGTACTACGTTTGAAGTTTTTTTGTACAGATACTACTACTATGTAGTATTTTTTTGTCGTTGTTGAATCGTTTTATTGTACACATTTTGTACATACTGTGAAGATTTATTTTGTTAGATTTAACATTTTCACTCTTCATTATGCATGTAAAGAGTCTCGTCTACAGCCAAACAATTATGACGTCAGCTTTTTTTATATGCAATAATAGAAGTGTGTGTGCCTAGTCATTAGTTTTTTTTATTCGATAAATGGTTAATCACTGCTCATACCAAGCTATCGGACACAAAAGATACGTAGTACACAACTGTTGCATTAAATATTCCTTGGTTTTAATGGATATTTTCATAAGTACAGCAAAAATGTCATCGTTTGCAAAGCTCGCTACTTTTATGTACATGTACAGCACATTTCTTACTTAATTGTGAAATAATTACCCTGGAGTCTATATAAAGACAAGTATTTTCCATATACCTTTAATGTAGTTTTATTACCCTCACGATGAAGGTACTTGCACTTCTTTTTCTTACTTTCGTTTTGGTCAAATGTGTACCTGCACCTTCCCAGTACACTACCAAATATGACAACATCGACTTGAATCAGATACTAAAAAGCGACAGACTTTTAAGAAATTACATAAACTGTCTTTTGGAAAAAGGGAAGTGTAGTCCTGATGGTGAAGAATTAAAATGTAAGTGTTTTTTCAATTTTTTTATTTTGTACATCAGTTAGTTGGTTTATTGACCTTCACGTTATTGATCGCCAAGATACGATTCTTGGAATTACCAAAGAAGTTTGCTGAACCAGTTTTGTTAATGATTACCTTAGGTTGGCAGCCATATATTTTTAGAGACCTGTTAGTAGTTCCACCAAAAAAAGATGAATCGAAAATTTTACATACATTATACAACAAGAACTAAAAACTTTCCATTATTTTTGTTGCTGGTTCTGAAAAATAGAATAATGAAATGTCGATGTTATCACAAAAACATTTTGAAGTTCTACAAATTGGCTTAATTATTATGTAGTGGATATTATTATATTAATGAGGTAGCAATTATGTTATTTATTATAAAATAATGGTTATTTGGATAAACTGTGTGTGTATCGAAGGGGTAAAAAACCATCAGTGACAATTTTGAGTAACATAGAATTTGAAAATCTTTATTTCGTTGAACCTTAAACTAATAAGAATGTCGTATTTATACATCAATGACGAGTTGCATACGAAATTCTGCTTTATAAAATACGATTTTTTTAATTTTTGAAAAATAGGAATATTTATCATGGTAGAAGTAATAATACACAGAAACTATGGGCATGTTTTTGAAAATAAATTATAATTGCTCTTTTTCTAGCCCACATTGAGGATGCGCTTCTTACGTCATGTCAAAAATGTAGCGAAAAACAGAGAAATGGTAGCAAGACCATCGTACGATTTTTACTGAAGAACAAACGCGACTGGTGGAATGAGTTGGAGGCCAAGTACGACCCGTCGGGAAGCTACAAAACCAAATATGCAGAAGAATTGAAAGCAGAGGGAATTGAGATATAAGATAGCGTTTTTTAGCCAGATTTATAAATAAATGTTTATTATTTCTTGAGAATATTGTATGTAAATATGTCGGTAATAATAAATAATTAAGTGGAAAGTTTTCGCAGTTTTTATTGTTAAAAACGAAGGTTAAACAGTTTTACATTATTTTTTTTATTATTTAATATACACATTCTCATAATCGTCACTTCTTTCTAGTTTTGTTTCCACTTGTAATACTAGTTCAGTTTTAATTTTTTAACGTTGATGGAAAACCCTGCAGAAATTACCATCAGGAACTTGATTGCCTTGTTTTGCTCTGCTATTCATCTCAGAAAAAATGTGTCTAGATCAGCGAATAAATAACTTCTAGGTGTGGTTCTTCGAGTGTATGGCAGCGGTACTATTTTTCTGTAAAATTCCACTGTAGAACGTGTTATTAATGAATGCATTTGTATTGTTTATCAAGATTTATAACATTATAACCAAAAATTTGAGTGTAATATAGTAAAGAAGCAGTTTTGCTGCTAAACAAAATTGATGCAAAGAACAAAATGCAATAAGCAAAAACTAATCATATTAGAACAGAAAAAAAAAGTATTTAAATTGTTCATTGCAACTAACTCTTAAAAATCTACATAATAATTACAAGTGTACTTTATAAGAAACCGCAACGCCACACTAAAAAGAAACATTTCAATCTCCCACAAGTTTAATTAATATCTTAATTAAAATATCCATTAATTTGTGCGGTAAGTATACTTCCTATAATTACCATCTCATTGTGCAACTATCAAGGTAGTTACTTTAATCATCTTTTTAACAAATGTTGAAACAGCGGAAACTAAAGAAATTAAGGGTTAGCACACGTAGCTGTTTGACAGTCTCTGTTAATCGGATTTAGAAATATTGTTTATTAAAATTTATGAGCATACATTATGTAGTCAAATACACTACGCAATCTAATTTAGTTCAATACCATTTTTTTATTGAATCTCACAAATATTTTGTAAGGGAGAAGTTTGGTAAAAGTTTTCATGCAGGTTAAACCCTATTTTTTTATATTATACCTAGATAATAATTAATAGAAGAAAATAAATACAGCACGTCTAAATTTCTACTGACGTGAAGTGACGTGATCACTACGAAAAAAGTCAACAAAACACTTGAAATAGTTTTTGCACGGTGACTTGTAAGTGATGTCATTAATCCTCTTAATGGTGACCTTATTTTAAGGTTGTGATTTTTATCACAATTCATAAATAATTAATTGGCTAGATTCTTCAGTGAAGATATTTATTTTTTCTGTTAAAACTTGAATTTTGCAAAAAGGTAAATGAATCATTGTTACAATTGTTGTTGTCTATGTACAATTGTGGAATCTAATCTTCACTCTCTAGGACCAATTCCAGTACTATATAATTTAATTTAAAAACAAAATTGAGTTATTATTAATATTTTTTAGTCAAAAGTAAATTTGCCTCGTTTTCTACCTATTTCTTCAATGTTTTTCAAATTTCACTTTACTTAGGTAAGTACGGGTAAAATTTCCAGACAAAACATCCCTTGTGTCACAAGAAAAAAAATCTTAAGTATAATTATTATTTAACGCACGCTTTCAGCTGCGTTTTGTTATTTTGTTTAAAATATTTTTTTGTCTTTTGCATTGTTGATATCAATATTGGAACCTTCGAAAATATATATGAAAGACAAATAAAGAAAGTACTTTCACTTCAATAAAAAAAAAACATTATTATTCCCATAATAAAAAATATTATTGTCAGAAAGTTTATTGTGCCTTATGTGATCATTTAACCTAACTTTACCTTAAAACCTTAAAAAAAGTGTCTTCGCCCTTTGATCTAAAAACACTATTCAGTTAATTTGAAAACAACTGGAAATTCAAATGCTTATTTAAAATTTATTTCTATATTTTTTCAATAATATTAATTTCTTTCAGGTAACATTATAAATTTTTTGGTGAGAATAAATAAGTACATCGATTTTGATGTAAGAGTATAACACTAACAATAATAAATCTGTTTTAAATTGTTAAATGTTTAATGTTAAACTCATTAACAAGGTTTGATAAAAACTTTCTTGATCACTTACTGCTGACAACCTAATTAAAATAGCAAACTACTGCTGCAACATCGTCCAAGATACATTATGTTAAAAACACTATAAATATACAATGAAGTTGTTTCAAGAATCAGTTTCATCTTTAAACTATAATGTTTTTAAAGGTCAATCAAATTATCCCAGTCGAACATGCTAACTTACACTTGTAAACACTAATTATTGTTATTATTTATAAACAATCCAGCTGCCAACAAAATATAACCACCTAAACCATATTTTTCAGTTTTAATTTGAAAAGATCTTACAGCAGTCACCGCAAAAGAAATGTCCAACACACGTCATTAAAAAGATTTAATCTCATAAAAATTACACTCCTTCACAGCGAACTTTCCACTTGAATTTATTTGTACCATAAATAACTGTCAAATTTGGGTATGACACAGAAAAATGTTTGAAAGTGCAACAGATACAGATTGAGATGAAAGTGATTTTTAGGACTATTTTTATTTTTTTATTTTGCTTTGGCCACATATATTTACCCTAAATTAAAATACGATATTTACATAAAATATGGAATAATTTTTACACATATTTATTGTTGAAGAGATCTCCATGTCCAGGTTAAATTTAGATATTTTACACTATAAAGTTCTATACAATTAAGTGGAACAAAAATTATAAATAAAACAACTTTAAAATCTAGCTACCAACATTGGTAATTAAATTTTTGGTTTAATTAAAAGTAAGCGTTTTCAGTACGGGTTGGTTTTAAGAAAAAACTTGACAAAATTAGAACATCGCTTTCAAAGTTATGACGTCATCAACAGATTTTGGACGGTAAAAGTAAGATAAAAACATAGAAATCACAAAAGCGGTACATTTACAACAGGTTTTATTACTCTGTAATAAATATTAACATATACATATTACTCCAAAAAAAATATCTATTAAAATGTAGTTTTTTTTTAACAGACCGCGTCATTTCCGTTTCTAATTCTTTGTGTACAATTTTACACTAATATATCTTGTTTTTACCATATTATAAAATGTAAGTTTTGTCATAAAAACACCAAAGCTTTACATTTACTAAAATTGTTATCATTTTCTATAAAAAAAAAATGCCAACCAACTCTGTGTTAAATTTCATAGTAGATATTTTTAATACAACTTTTTTTTATCATTGTATTAAATTTGAACAAGAATAAAAATCTTACCAGTTAAGCTAAAAAAAGTAACGCAGTTATAATTTTTTTTTAACAAGCGGTAATAAAATTAACAGTTAAAAGCTGTAACTCATTCAGGATATTTCGCCTTTTTTTTTTGGTTGCTTCTAGTTATGGAAAGTTATTGTAGTATTAATTTCAATATAATTAATTTTCCATCTAAGATTGTGCATCAAAATATTTTTTAACACAATGTCAGAATACAATAGAAGACCAGCTCCCAGTATATTTCTAGACTATATGTATTTCTGTGGGATTCTCGGATATCTCTGACGTTTGTGACGCCTCTTTACTTTTTTGTGTATATTCTTTAGGTATAAATTAGTGCATCGAAACCTTGCCAGTCAGATCTACCAGAACATCGACCCGAAACTGTGAAATAATGAAGACGTTCATCCTTATTGCATTGGTTGCCGTCATTGGCGTCGCCTGGGCTCGTCCGGACGAGAAATATACCGAAATTTACGACAATGTTGACTTAGATGAAATTTTGAACAGTGAAAGACTTCTGAAAAATTACTTCAATTGTTTAATGGACAGAGGCAACTGCAGTCCTGACGGCGAAGAACTTAAAAGTAAGTAATTAATATTTGTTACAAACTGTAAATTTTCCTTTGCTTTCTTTTTTGTAGAAGGTTATTAGAATACCTATCCAATGAAATTTGTGTTTTTCGAAATTTTAATTTGAATTCTAGTTTAAACGCACTAATATTTTTTTTTGTTATTTGCAGAGGCGATACCTGACGCTCTTCAGAACGAATGCGCAAAATGTAACGAAAAACAGAAAAACGGAAGCAGAAAAGTTATTCGCTTCCTAATTAAGAATAAGAATGATTGGTGGAAAGAATTGGAAGCTAAATACGACAAAGATGGAATCTATAAAAAGAAATATCAAGCGGAATTGGAGAAAGAAGGAATAGTGTTGTAAACAGAAACACTGAATAGTTAGCACTTAGTTAGAAATACATACGTTATTATGAATGTAAATTTGATTCGACGAAAATAAACACTTAACATAATTAATGTGATTTAATTGTGGCTAAGCTGGTCCAACCTGTGCTCAGTAAAAAATAGAAGTTACAGCAGATTAATAATAAATGATTTAGCTAATTCAAAGTACATTGAGGGACACCTTGTATCTAAATGAAAACCACGTATTAAAATATTTTCTCTTTTCTAAAATTTATTACACGAACATGGCACGTTACAATATTAGCTTTTATTTTTTTGTTGAGGAACACTGAGTTTGATTTAAAATTATAAAGTGAGAGTTATAGGAACGTTGCTTGGATAAAATGTCTCTTACTTTAAATCAAGTGGGTATAATGATTCTTCACATTTTTGAACTGGAAAATAAATATTAAAACTGACGAGGATCTAAAGTTTCGTTGACGGTTTGATTATACTAAACCTAGTTATAAAATTGTTGTTATCTAATGGAGGTTTTCAGATATCAGTCTCCCGATCACTTAATGAAATTAACTATTTGTGAAATTACATTATTACAATACTTATGGGAAGTCAAGTCTCTTTCAGTGGCCAAAATTTATCTATCATCTACAATATGTCTAAACAAAAATGTTATTTGCAGCGAACGCCTTGTATTTTATTACAACTTCTCCGGTAAGGTTTGCTCGAACGAATAACTACAAAATTAGAATATCGCTTTCAAAGTTATGACGTCATCAAGAGATTTTGGATGGTAAAAGTCAGATAAAAACATAAAAATCACAAAAGCGGTACATTTACAACAGGTTTTATTACTCTGCAATAAATATTAACATATACATATTACTCCAAAAAATATCTATTAAAATGTAGTTTTTTTTTTTAACAGACCGCGTCATTTCCGTTTCTAATTCTTTGTGTACAATTTTACACTAATATATCTTGTTATTACCTTCTTCTAAAATGTAAGCTTTATAATAAAAACACCACAGCGTTACATTTATTTACAGTTTTAATCAATTTGTGTAAAAAAATTGCAAACCTACCCCTCTGTGTTAAATTTTATACAAGATACAGAAATTTTAGTTTTTTTTATCATTGTATTAAATTTGAACAAAAATAAAAATCTTACCAGTTCAGCTCAAAAAGTAACGCAGTTATAAATTTTAACAAGCGATAATAAAAATAACAGTTAAAAGCTGTAACTCATTCGGGATATTTCGCCTTTTTGTTGGTTGCTTTTGGTTATGGAAAGTTATTGTAGTATTAATTTCAATATAATTAATTTTGCATCTAAGATTGTGCATCAAAATATTTTTTAACACAATGTCAGGATACAATAGAAGACCAGCTCCCAGTATATTTCTAGACTATATGTATGTCTGTGGGATTCTCGGATATCTCTGACGTTTGTGACCCCTCTTTACTTTTTTGTGTATATTCTTTAGGTATAAATTAGTGCATCGAAACCCTGCCAGTCAGATCTACCAGAACATCGACCCGAAACTGTGAAATAATGAAGACGTTCATCCTTATTGCATTGGTTGCCATCATTGGCGTCGCCTGGGCTCGTCCGGACGAGAAATATACCGAAATTTACGACAATGTTGACTTAGATGAAATTTTGAACAGTGAAAGACTTCTGAAAAATTACTTCAATTGTTTAATGGACAGAGGCAACTGCAGTCCTGACGGCGAAGAACTTAAAAGTGAGTAATGAATATTTGTTTCAAACTGTAAATTTTCCTTTGCTTTCTTTTTTGTAGAACGTTATTAGAATACCTATGCATTTAAATTTGTTTTTTTCGAAATTCTAATTTGAATTCTAGTTTAAACGCACTAATATGTTTTTTTTTTTTTATTATTTGCAGAGGCGATACCTGACGCTCTTCAGAACGAATGCGCAAAATGTAACGAAAAACAGAAAAACGGAAGCAGAAAAGTTATTCGCTTCCTAATTAAGAATAAGAATGATTGGTGGAAAGAATTGGAAGCTAAATACGACAAAGATGGAATCTATAAAAAGAAATATCAAGCGGAATTGGAGAAAGAAGGAATAGTGTTGTAAACAGAAACACTGAATAGTTAGCACTTAGTTAGAAATACATACGTTATTATGAATGTAAATTTGATTCGACGAAAATAAACACTTAACATAATTAATGTGATTTAATTGCGGCTAAGCTGGTCCAACTTGTCTTCAGTAAAAAATAGAGGTTACAGCAGATTAATAATAAATGATTTAGCTAATTCAAAGTACATTGAGGGACACCTTGTATCTAAACGAAAACCACGTATTAAAATATTTTCTCTTTTCTAAAATTTATTACACGAACATGGCACGTTACAATATTAGCTTTTATTTTTTTGTTGAAGAACACTGAGTTTGATTTAAAATTATAAAGTGAGAGTTATAGGAACGTTACTTGGATAAAATGTCTCTTACTTTAAATCAAGTGGGTATAATGATTCTTCACATTTTTGAACTGGAAAATAAATATTAAAACTGACGAGGATCTAAAGTTTCGTTGACGGTTTGAGTATACTAAACCCAGTTATAAAATTGTTGTTATCTAATGGAGGTTTTCAGATATCAGTCTCCCGATCACTAAATGAAATTAACTATTTGTGAAATTACATTATTACAATACTTATGGGAAGTCAAGTCTCTTTCAGTGGCCAAAATTTATCTATCATCTACAATATGTCTAAACAAAAATGTTATTTGCAGCGAACGCCTTGTATTTTATTACAACTTCTCCGGTAAGGTTTGCTCGAACGAATAACTACAAAATTAGAACATCGCTTTCAAAGTTATGACGTCATCAACAGATTTTGGATGGTAAAAGTCAGATAAAAACATAGAAATCACAAAAGCGGTACATTTACAACAGGTTTTATTACTCTGTAATAAATATTAACATATACATATTACTCCAAAAAATATCTATTAAACTGTAGTTTTTTTTTTAACAGACCGCGTCATTTCCGTTTCTAATTCTTTGTGTACAATTTTACACTAATATATCTTCTTATTACCTTCTTCTAAAATGTAAGCTTTATCATAAAAACACCACAGCGTTACATTTATTTACAGTTTTAATCAATTTGTGTAAAAAAATTGCCAACCTTCCCCTCTGTGTTAAATTTTATACAATATATAGAAATTTTATTTTTTTTATCATTGTATTAAATTTGAACAAAAATAAAAATCTTACCAGTTAAGCTCAAAAAGTAACGCAGTTATAAATTTTAACAAGCGGTAATAAAAATAACAGTTAAAAGCTGTAACTCATTCAGGATATTTCGCCTTTTTGTTGGTTGGTTCTGGTTATGGAAAGTTATTCTAGTATTAATTTCAATATAATTAATTTTCCGTCTAAGATTGTGCATAAAAATATTTTTTAACACAATGTCGGTATACAATAGAAGATCAGCTCCCAGTATATTTCCAGACTATGTACGTCTGTGGGATTCTCGGATATCTCTGACGTATGTGACCCCTCTTTACTTTTTTGTGTATATTCTTTAGGTATAAATTAGTGCATCGAAACCTTGCGAGTCAGATCTACCAGAACATCGACCCGAAACTGTGAAATAATGAAGACGTTCATCCTTATTGCATTGGTTGCCATCATTGGCGTCGCCTGGGCTCGTCCGGACGAGAAATATACCGAAAAATACGACAATGTTGACTTAGATGAAATTTTGAACAGTGAAAGACTACTGAAAAATTACTTCAATTGTTTAATGGAGAGAGGCAACTGCAGTCCTGACGGCGAAGAACTTAAAAGTGAGTAATTCATTTTTGTTATAAACTGTAAATTTTTTTTTGCTTCCTTTTTTGTAGAACTTTATTAGAATACCTATGCATTTAAATTTGTTTTTTTCGAAATTTTAATTTGAATTCTAGTTTAAACGCACTAATATTTTTTTTTTTCTTATTTGCAGAGGCGGTACCTGACGCTCTTCAGAACGAATGCGCAAAATGTAACGAAAAACAGAAAAACGGAAGCAGAAAAGTTATTCGCTTCCTAATTAAGAATAAGAATGATTGGTGGAAAGAATTGGAAGCTAAATACGACAAAGATGGAATCTATAAAAAGAAATATCAAGCGGAATTAGATAAAGAAGGAATAGTGTTGTAAACAGAAACACTGAATAGTTAGCACTTAGTTAGAAATACATACGTTATTATGAATGTAAATTTGATTCGACGAAAATAAACGCTTAACATAATTAATGTGATTTAATTGCGGCTAAGCTGGTCCAACCTGTGTTCAGTAAAAAATAGAGGTTACAGCAGATTAATAATAAATGATTTAGCTAATTCAAAGTACATTGAGGGACACCTTGTATCTAAACGAAAACCACGTATTAAAATATTTTCTCTTTTCTAAAATTTATTACACGAACATGGCACGTTACAATATTAGCTTTTATTTTTTTGTTGAAGAACACTGAGTTTGATTTAAAATTATAAAGTGAGAGTTATAGGAACGTTACTTGGATAAAATGTCTCTTACTTTAAATCAAGTGGGTATAATGATTCTTCACATTTTTGAACTGGAAAATAAATATTAAAACTGACGAGGATCTAAAGTTTCGTTGACGGTTTGAGTATACTAAACCCAGTTATAAAATTGTTGTTATCTAATGGAGGTTTTCAGATATCAGTCTCCCGATCACTAAATGAAATTAACTATTTGTGAAATTACATTATTACAATACTTATGGGAAGTCAAGTCTCTTTCAGTGGCCAAAATTTATCTATCATCTACAATATGTCTAAACAAAAATGTTATTTGCAGCGAACGCCTTGTATTTCATTACAACTTCTCCGGTAAGGTTTGCTCGAACGAATAACTACATGTTTTCACCAATTAGATGTTATAGTAATGTAATAAAATTCAGTCTACTGTAATTATTTTTAATGAGACCCTGTAAGAATTATATGATGTTCCATGAACAAACCAAATGAGAAAGGCGACAACTTGCAAATAAAATCGTCCTGTATAAATACAGTACAATTCTAGTCGTTGAATTTTTTTTTCTAAACCAAATAAATAAGTAAAAATGTTAATTATAATTTTTCTAAATAAAATGTAAATGTTATTTATTCTTACATACTACAGATTATCATGTTTCTTTGAAAGTAAAGCATAAACACATACGTACAGAGTGTTCTGCACAAAATTCATCCGTTAATTAACCTCTTGAAAAGTCCTCGAACAGGTCAGTTGTATTTTTTAAAATGGCACTTGTTTTTTTTAAAATGGCACTTGTTGACGTAAAAATGTATTTTTTGTAACCAGCCGTTTTTGTAGTGACGTGTTTAAGATTCTTTTAAATGACATTCCAACTTTTTTTTTCGAATTTTAGTAGACCTTTATATAAGTTAAATGGTCGTAGAAAAAGTTGAAATATTGCATATAAGCAAACTTAGAGAATTGAAAAAAAAAAGTTGAAAACAATCTTTTCATAGTTTATTTATTCTAAATTTTGCAGAGCTGCAACAGTGTGTTGTGACAGGAAAGTTCCGTCATCACAAAATTGATTTTAAACTAACCAGTCTAATTTTGGGTAAAAACCAGATATCGACTGACGTAGATCTTTCATCTCTGCGACCAAGATGGCATAGGTGTGACGTACGTACAGTTATATAATTAATTCTTTATTCTACTAAATATTAATAGCGAATATTATAACCAAATAGCGAAATAAAATCTCATTAAACAAATCAAACGTGGTGCACTTCTTATGACCTATTTAAATACCACTGTCAATTAAAATATACTTACGTCTGGATAAAATTTATTCGATCAATTTACTATAAATGACTAATTTCTCCTAAAGAAAGTAGAGTAATTTGGTTTAAAAAATGTATAGTGCTCCGAATCTTAAGCACGTCATAATTATAACAGTATTATATTATTAAAAAAGTCCCATAAAACACAAATATAAATAGATTTTTGAAATGTCGCTAAGTTTTAAATTGTTATCAAAGCAATGTGAAATCAAATTTTACACTTTTAACATTTTTTTAGTAAGATACCTAGTAATTAATATTATTTTTGTAGTGATTATGATTGCGGAATACTAGCAACATTTTGTTAATTCATTGTATCGAAAAAAAAAACAGGCTTAATTAAACATATGCGTTGAACTGTGTACAGAGGACATAAAAAAATAATCAAATTTTCTCTGACATGCATCAAGAATGCTCCAATGTCAAGAAAGTTTGACGTAAATAGTCACATCAATTTTTAAGTGGGATAAAACTTGATTGTTACTTCCTCTACGGAAATATTGTGACTGGATTCATCTGGCGAATGTATACTTTCTTGTTTTTTCGAAGTCTGACTGTCTGCCGTTTGTTGTCTGTTGTTTGTGTCAATTTTTATTAAACAATCGCTGAAACTATTCAACTAAAACTACTAAAACGCTAACCAAAATTTATCTGATCATACCTATCAAGAATATGATGACGTCATCTCAAAATTTTGTATATTAGAAGTTTTTAAAATTACAATTATAACATAATTGCCGAATAAATTCTGTCTAAAATGTGCAAAATTGTGTAAGTCTCTACGTGTGGTTTATCAGTGTATTCATATTTTTTGGAATTATTTATACTAGATGACTTAAAAAAATTAAAAGTGAGGTAATTTATTTTATTGCTCAAATCACGAACGGTTCACCCCAGATAAACAACGAGAAAAAGTATATTATCAGTATTTGGTTAATTTTGATTGTTTATGTTTATACATCGAAAGAATGCACGATTAAACAGGTCGTAAGTTTTCTCCTTAAAATCGAGGAGGTGACGAAAAAAATTATTAATTATTAAGCTACTGTATATCTTACATGTTAGACCATTGTTAAGGATCAGCCACGGAGTTTACCACACGTTAGTGCCCTTGCATTGGTATAAAATGTAATTGCGCAGTTTTGATTTTTTCACGAAAGTGTGGATACTTAGGGTAAAAAATCAAGGAGGATTCATAAACCACAAGTATAGGAGTATGTTATTTACAAAATTGTAATGACGTCAACTGCACAAAATTTTGAAGGGACGTCATAAAGTTGTTGTTGGAGATGACTAACCAATTTATATACAGATAAAATTTTAAAACAAAATCTTCGGTAATTTCGAAGATTATCTGTTTAATAAAAATCGACAGAGATAGACGACAACAACAGACGTCTCTTTTTGGGAATACAGTCTGGTGAGAAGGATTACAATTAAAAATTTTTTGCCACTCTTTTCGAATTTTTTTAGCAATTTTCAAAATTTGGTGTATATGTACATTTAGCATTAGTTAATACGTAAAACTTACAATATTTCAGTAACCCTTTATAAACTACAGATTGTGTAAAATCTAATTTTATGTAACATTAGAAGGTTAAAAAAGTTGCAACTTTGCAAGGCGTAATTTCAATAAACTCATTATTCCTTTCAAGGTATGCATGAATCAGTCTTCTTATTACTCGATGGCGTGAGATCATCCCCTCCTAATGAAGTACATTTTAAGTGAATTGATTTTAATATAAATGCTTCAATTACACCTTACCTAGATAAGTACGAGCGTAATTGTTAATCAGTAAAGATGAAGAGAGTGGCGTTGTTATTTCTTTCAGTGTTTGTTATCAGTGAGGTTTGTTCAGAGTCGTCAAAATACACAACAAAATATGATGACGTTGATTTGGACGAAATTATCAAAAGTGATCGACTTTTAAAAAATTACGTTAACTGTCTTTTAGAAAAAGGCAAATGTACTCCTGATGGTGCTGAACTTAAAAGTTGAGTTTGGTTTAAAGCCATTCGTGTTTTAATTTTTTTTTTTTAGAAGTTTTACCTGACGCATTACTCACTGAATGCTCGAAGTGTAGTGAAACTCAAAAAAATGGCAGCAAAAAAATCGTCCGTCACTTGATTGATCACAAACGCGATTGGTGGAACGAACTTGAAGCGAAATACGATAAAGATGGAACGTACAGGAAAAAATATGAACAAGAGGTGAAAGAAAAAAAGAGCAAATAAAATACAACTCTTAAATTTTAATTCAGTGTGAAACTTTAATGCCTTACTGTATTTCAATAAAACAACAATAAAAGCAAACAATTTGTTATGACTGTATTTTGTAGTCACCTTGCCACCTATACAGACGTTTAGATAGAACGATTTATGTAAATTAACACGATTTAAATTAAGAAGCAATTGCGTCACGACCCGTGTGGTTAGCCTACCGGCTACATAAAATTACTGAATATTTACGACGTCAGTTCGGGCACTTAATTTTTTTTGGCTATGCTTCATATATAAACATGAACAAATACGCTTCCAGTATCCAAACCTTCGAAAACATCGAACTAATACAATGAAAAATTTGGTAATATTTTCAGTTGTGCTCTTTATTGGTCTTGCTTTTGCTCGACCAGATGAAAAATATACCACAAAATATGATGATATCAATATTGACGATATTATAAAAAATGATCGATTATTAAAAAGTTACGTTAATTGTTTGATGGACAGAGGCAGTTGTAGTAACGAAGGTGCAGAACTAAAACGTGAGTAATTTTTAACACAATTATTTATTTCTACAATTTTTTTATATTGTACCCGTACATTTCCTTTTTTTGCAGGAATAATACCTGATGCCTTGCAAACAGACTGTTCAAAATGCAGTGAGACACAGAAAAACGGCAGCAAAAAACTTATTCATCATTTGTATGACAACAAACGTGAGTGGTGGAATGAGTTGGAAGCTAAATACGACAAAGATGGTATTTACATTAAAAAATATGCATCCGAATTTGACAAGAGTGCATGAGAAAGCTAACATAAACTTGGCGCCGATATGTCAAATTTAAAAACTAATTGTATACTATTATTAATAAAAGTATGTTTAGGATGTGTTTATTTAAATTTCTATTATCCATTAGATCAGATCTAAAAATCTGGGAGTACATACAATTATCTCTCTAATTAAATACGGTTAATTAAACTCATGACTTTATATAAGTATAAGTTAATGTAATTATTTAACACACATAACCTGTCTTACAAGAAACAGTAATAAATTATGCATGAATTGTTATTTTTCTGTACAAAACGGAGCAAATCAATTTATTGTTTCTTAGAACAGTGAAATTAAGTCTACTAAATTTTTACATTCAGAGAAATAAATAAAATAAAATAAATTTACTTGTTTAAAAAAATTAATTATTTCAGTAATATTAATATTAGGTTGATTTAGCAGGACTAGTTTTTCTCAACATTTTATAATTAATTTGGGAAACGAGTTACTACTGGAATAACTCTGGTGGTCGTTATAATTTTTAAAGTACCACTTATTCTTGAAAAACATCAAACAAAAATGTGGAATATAGGAAAAATACTAAGAAAAAATTTACACTTATCGTACTGATTTATTACTAATTTAATTTTCGTTTTTAGTTAACCGTGCAGAAAGAATTAATGCTCACAAAAAAAATAAAAATTCCCTCTGATGACATATTTCTCTAAATAACCGAAATTCTTTAATGAATTTTTGGGAACTTTCGTATATCAAATCTGTTCCGCACACTTGGCGTGAATGCGGTAATCTAATAATATTGCATTACCAGTATGGTATTGGAACTCATTACACCATTACTAACACAAATGCATGGAATAAATCAGAATTATTTCCATGTCATAGGTAAAATACCTCTGTAGCCAGTTGATGACGTCATTTTACAAAATTATTGAATTCATTAAAAAACAAGCTTAGTTATGTTGTTTGAACTTGGAGATACTTTTTTTTTTATTTGCGTATACAGGAATCAACGAACTAATGCATATTCAATATCTAATACATCTAATTTTTATGTATCTATATAATAATATATACTAAATGAAGTTCAGGTTACCTCAACCTTGCTTGTCCGTTAAATTTGCCACTGAAAACAACAGAACCTGAATATGGCCTTGTAGCCAAAACAAGTTAATCGATAAAAAAAGGCCTGATTGTTCAAGTGTTCTTCGATAAACAATAAAATAAAGGAGTAAGTGTTGTCATGTTTTAATGCTGTTTTCGTTTTTCTAACTTTTATAAAGAATGACGGTGCTTTCCGTGCTTTCATCTTGAGCGATTTTTGCAAAAATCGTTGTTATTTTTGCCCTTTAAAAATTTCGGTACTCATTTATCTATGAATGAAAGAACACTAAGATAAACAAGATACGTCTAATGATTAAATGAGCTTTCGCCTATGAGATCAGACAAGAAAATATTTTTTGTGAATTTTGGTTCTGTATAATCCGCTATATCCAAGGATTTAAACTTTTTAATTAGCTCTAGGGGTTCAACATAGTTTACCCTTCCCCAAGAATATGATGTGCATGCTATCACAGCGAATTTTTGACTTGGCTGTATATAGCTAGGTATATTTTCTAAAGTTGTGTAGTATGTAAATCGTGTAAATAAGCTGGCTGTTCACAGTTTTTATTGATAAAAATTAATTTAGAAATTTGTGCATAAACCCTTTAAAACAGAATTGGCGGGTTTATAAAGTTAGCAACAAATAAAAATGAAACTTATAAGATTCAGAGTAATTATTCTAGTTAAAGTGATAGTTTTGTATTATAGTTAATTGTGTATTTTGCAGCAGATACCGACAGTCGAAGGTCAGCTGGATAATTGCCATTAAACCGTATAAGTTTTATTGCGTCGCATTAATTACAACATAAGAAAGAATATAACAATAAATGAAATAAATGCACACTCATTACTCGCATGCAAATATGTAGGTATTTGACACCATGGAGCAACCTTAAAAAAGGAGTTATCAAGCCATCATTCAAAAAGTTGTATTTTTACAAATACAATAGGTACATTAAATAAAATTTGTATTACAAAGTACGAGTATATGAAAAACATAGCTTTATTAGTACTACACTGCATCTATCCAAACTAATAAACGTGTCCTTGCAAAAATGTTAATGACGTCATCACAAAATTTTGTAATAGAAAAATTCACTTGTCGTCATTAAAAAAATAAAATTCGCAAAATCAAATCTTTTATTTTTTCGAAAAAGCTGGATTTGATATAGGTACTGTACTTTAAGGGCGAGAGAAGTTCTGTTGCAATAATATTCGACCAATTTTTTATATTCTCTAGGTTATGAAACGTCGAGAAAACATGAAAGTAGCCAAATGGATAGACTGTGTTGAAGATTTTTTTCTGTAGTCAACAGAGAATGTTTAATTTTCCGCACTTTGACAGTTGGAATACTTCGTATGAATTTTTTTTAAAAGACTATTTTGGTACATGTGGTAAAAAAAGTTTTCTAATTTGCTTTGCAACATTCCACATAACGTGAAAAGTATGTTCTGTTAATGTTGTAATATTTTAATCGAGATTCATTTATTGTGCGATGTTTCGAGGAATAAAAACTCTGCAGAAAACGTCTGATCTGGTGTTCGGCGAGAGTTTTTTTTTGTTCATTTTTTTGTGTTAACGCAAAGGAGTTCTGTCGGTTTTGACTTCGTCGAGTGCGTATGCGGTGTTGTCAATTAGGAGTAGTTTGTTTAACTGGTTAATTTTTATTAAAAATAATTTGGTTTCGGGTTTAAAGTGAAAGGTAAGAGTTGTGATATGCCCATGAGGAAGGAGTCTGCAAGAATCGGCGCGGAAGAAAAGGAAATCAGGATTTAAAGGATAAGTGTTGCTATTCAATGTATTGTGCCTTATTTCTTCAGTCTTTTACTCTAAATTCAATAAAAATAAGGATGTTAAGGGAGAATTAGTTGTATTCTACAAATGCCCAAAATGCTTTGCAGTTTTTTTACAATAACTAAAAGAAGTAAAATTTTAACAGAAAACGAAGAGTGGCGCCTAAAGTAGAAAAAAATTCTCTATCACCTCGATATTTTTTAAAAGCACACCGAGTTATAGTTTTCGCTAAAAATCCGCTGGGGTTTTACGCACTTTATTTTTTATTTTAAAAACTGCTACGTTTTTTAAAAAATACACAAGACGCTTCCTTAAAGATTTTTATGTCATGAGCACGCACATGTATCGCCCTGCTCTTCAACTGTTAAAATAAAGGCGCAAAATGGGTTGGCGTTTTGCCTTATTTTGGCATCTTTTAATGACTGTGTGGCGGAGCCTTAACTTGGAAATATTCTTTTCTAAGTGTTTATTGAAGTTTCCCTTAAATTAACTTTGGAATGTTCTTAATTTCCAAACATAATGTAGCAGGGTTATTTTGATTAAACTTTAATTTCTACAAAAGTGTCGATTTTCCGTGTCCGTTTATCTGTTTGTTCACTAATTTTTAAATAAATGTAGTATAGTAATAAAACTTGCAAGTAGTTAATATATATATATATATATATATATCTCGCTCATGACCACGTTTAATTACCATGTCATTTAGTATGTAGGTACAAAGATATGGTTGTGTTGTTTTTGTAATAATTTGATAAAATTCGATTTGACAACAATGCCTGTTAATGCCTGTTATAAAGCGGAGGTACAAATCAGCAAAAATCGAATAGACATTTAAAAATATTTGACGTATCAAAAATTCTCAAAGTTTTCAAAACCATACGTTTAAAATGTTCGCAGTTTATGGTGTATTATTTTGGGAGCCCATTGAGATTTTTTTTGTAAATTATTTAAAACAGCTTTGGGGAACTTGGTGTTCTATTTTGGTGCTTTTTTTTTTTGAAAAATTTAAAGCAATTTTGAGGTTCTAGGTATTCCTGTTTGGAAAGTGCTTTGGAGCCTCTAGTGTCTTTTCTTATAATAATTTAATTAAATTTTTTAGAGGATACGTCATTTGTTAAATCAGTCTTATATTAGCAGGTACTAACCCCACCCATCCGCCCTTTCTTTCCTTAGAGGGTATGTCATTTGCGAAAATTGGTCTTATTTTAGCAGGTACTAGCGTCGCTCACCCGCCCTCACTTTTCTTAGAGGGTAAATCATTTGCCAAAATCAGTTTTATCTTAGCAAGTACTAATGACAAACTTACAAAAAATGATCGAAACTTAACGTTTAATATTTAATTTAATAACGTACTGAAGAGTTAATCCGCCATTTTTCAGGCACCAGGTATAGATGGTAACACTAACCAACTTTTTTCTGTTCTTCCTCACCAAGAATCGCATGATGTCTTTATAACATTTTCCTGAGAATTTATATTGTATTTTCAACTTTTTCTGATTACTATTTTTTAAATCTTTTGTATTTAAACCTAACTGCGCAATACTGATTTGCACTGTTGTTAAAAATTGGGCTGTATAAAGTTGATGTTAATTTCTAAAATATTTTTTGTGTAGGTGTACTTACGAAAATTTCATGTGGTTTTTTGTTGCAGTGGGTTCGTAAATGAAGAAGAGGGGATTCGCTAAATTACAGCAGAAGAAGAAGCCTAAAGGTTAGAATTTAGCATTAATTTTAAATTGGGAGTTGTTTTTTTTTTTAACTTTTTATACTTTATTATCAAGTTTTTTTGATCGGCAATTTTGGTTTATTTTTGTTTTATCAAAATATTTATTTTGACGTATTTTTGTTATACATATATTTGGGTTCTGTGTTGTGGTGTGTCGTGTACATGTAAGACTGCGCTTAAACTTGTAGTAATCTCATGAAACAAATTTACTTTGAGAGTACCTTGAAAAGGTCTTTAATGTTACTAACAGTATCTATAAATAACATAAAAAAATCATATAAAATAGGTGCAACAACTTTCGTGGTTTTTCATAATAAATATGATTAGGTTTGAAATTACTGACTTTGTTCCATAACGACATACTTATATAGTTCCCACGCTGTATAATATACCTACATAGACACTAACATAGTTATAGGTGAAAAAGGAAGAAGTCTTGCTTCTGTCTTTATTATAATAATCTGAAATTTGTCATGTTTGTTGCTTGCTTATAAATTAATTGTGGAATCATTAAGTAGAAGGTCCACGTACTGATAATCCTAACCATCCAAACAAAACTTCGCTGTCGTATCAATTGACAAGTATGTATGTCTAAGTTTCAATTATAATATATAAATTTAAGATGAAAGTATGTCATTTTCCAACCGACGATCCACAACTACGCGGTCGTGGACTACTATAATCCAAAAAGTTTTCGATCACACACTATTTATTCTCCTTACACTTTTACAGTGATTTAAAGGACTCCAATCTATCATATTTAATTTTCCTAACATACATATATTACAAAATATTTTGCTCTACATAAAAGTATATACTTGCATACCTACTTGTTTACATAGCTACGTTATTTCAGTAACTAAAAGTACGGACTAAACATTTAAAACTTTTTAGATTATCAGGTACAATAAAAATTTACCATATAAATATTTACACCACATTTATTCTAAATATCTGGCTTTATTATATACAGACTTTCATTCATTATAAAAAGTAAGTATTTATATAAACAGTTCATTCCTAGCTTAATGTACAGATGATAACTGCATATAAATTATATATTATATACATACTCGTGACAAAATGTATTAACTTCAAGAGTTCATTTCACGTTGTACACCATAAAAAGTTCTGATTTTTACACCGCGAGACAAAAGTACAAAAATGATTTATTAAAACTAAAAAAAATCGCTGAAATCAAATAACTTATCAGAATAACGTAAAACGTAATGCTAATCTTCTTTACGTTTTTTATTCCTAGTATTTTCCTCATTAACACGCTTTCTTTTCAAACCGGGTTCACTGGTTCTAGTTTCTCTCCTAACAGGTGTATCAGCTTGTGATTGTGCTTGCAAAAGAATCTGAATTTGTTGTACTGATTCTTGCTGCATTTGTCTCGCCATATTATACACAGTGTCATTTGTTTTGTTATACATAATAGCATTGTTAAACATTAAGAGTACATCTCGCTGAAATTCTTGAGTTGTTCGAATGACTCCATTTTCAATATTTTTTCGAATTGTTAACAAATCCATGGGTCTGAAGACGACACCATGGTAACCGGGAGCTTGATCATCTGTGATAGGTTTTGAAAAGAGTGATGCGTATTTGTTTGCTGCCAGTCTACTATATACAAGCATTACAGACTTCTTCCAATTTCTATATTCACGATCGTCATCATAGTAATAAATACTTGAGACAGGTGAATTTGGAACTGAGTCAATTGGGGTAGCGGGGGTTGATAATCTTCTCCTCGTGCGTAGAGTTGAAGCATCTTCTTCTTCTGTCCATGGACTGTTTGATCTTTCATTTTCGCTTTTAATTCTAGACTTCACATCCTTTCTTTCCAATTCACTGTAATCTCTATCTGAAAAACTTTCTTCAACAGATTCACTTTCATCTCGATGAGCTTTTTCAATTGCTAGAAGTACATCAAATTCCTTTTCATCTTTTTTCTTTGTTCTAGAGTAATCGCGTTTTGCTTTACCACTTTTATCAACTTTAACTTCCATATTGATGTCATCATATAATTCTTCATTAAATTCTGTAGCAATAGTATTTGTTTCAGAAGATGTGGGGACATCTAACATGGTTTCAGGTTCTTTCTTATCTATTTCCTCAGGTAAAATTTCTTTTACTTTTTCTGGTGATTTTGGGAGGTCTTCAAAAACCTTAGATTCTGTTTCTTCTTTAGTTTCAATCTCTTCTTTGACCTGTTCTACTTCTGCTTGAGTTTCAACTTTCACAGAGTGAACTATATCTTCAATTTGTGATTTATTTAACTCCTTGTCAAGATCTTCTTCTTCCATGACAACAACTTCTACAATTTCAACAGATCCAGGTATTGGATTTTTTTCTTTTTTGGTTGGATCATCAACCGGCTCTTCTTTTCGCCCAAGTTCCAGTTCATTGGCGGAAAATTTTGATGAAACTAGAATTTTACTGTCATTAGCGTCGATTTCTTCTAAAGCCTGTGCTGGATCGTCATTAAATTGATTTGACGTTGATTTACACCCTTCTATTGACTTGTTTGAACAAGGGGGTTTTGTTCGTTCAAACACCTCTGGTTCTTCTTGAAATTCAAATGGATCAACCGTCGGTGCTGGTTTTTCTGGCTGCTTTTCAGATTCTTTTGGTTCTTCTTTGATATCAGTCTCATTTTCTTCAAAATCCTCTAATTCCAAGTTTAAATTTATATCACCATTTCCATCTAACTGTAAGTGCTGCTCTGGATCAGCTACTATATCATGAGCATTCTCAATTAGATCGGATATAATAACATCTACATCATTTTTCATTTCTGGTAAGGGACCATTTTGAATTAAAATACTACTAGCTAAATCATCGATTTTTAAAATTTGTAAATTAGCGTCATCCAAAATGTCATTTGTTGGAATGTTCTGCTGTGAAGTTTCAATTTCTTCCACTGTCGGTTCTTGTCCAATTGCTGAACTAACTAGTTGTTGTAAACCGGGAGACACAGTAGTAACTCCAGTTGATGAATTGAGTAAACTGGCAATCATAGGGCTGGTATTTGTGTTTGTGCTAGTTGGACGTTGATTTGTAATAGCTGAGTGCAATATTGATGATGTTGTTACATTTGGTACTTGTGATGGTGATTTTAACAAACTAGTTAAGAGAGGAGACAAAGCTGGCTTTGCTGGTTCTTGCACTGGTGTAACTTTTGGCTCCTCCAAGTTTTCATTCTCAGCAGCACCATCTATCGTTTCAGAATTTTTGCGCTTCTGACCTGTAATTATTGGTGGATGTGTTGGTTTCACAGGCCTCCACGCCCTCTCGATTTCCTGTTTACGTAACTCCCTCTCTCGTAACCACTGTTCATGAGCAATTGCTTCTTGCTCTTTTTTCTGTTCCTCTTCATCAATTTCCTTACACCAAATATCCAATTGTTCCTCAGTGACATTACCTACAACAAATTCATTAATATTTCATATTTAAACACGATAATCACAACCTGATTGCAACAATGCTTTATCTCGCTGTAATTTGTGATATTCAGCTTTTTCTTCAGCAAGTAATCTTTTCAGTTCAGCTTTCCTCTCATTTAGTAACTTACGAAGAATAGCTTCTGCGGGTGTTTCAATAGTTACTTCACCTCCCGACGTTCTTTTTTTCCTTTTTGGTGTTTCCACATTAGCCAACAAAGCCCCATACTGAGCAGCACAGTTTTTTTGGTGAAACCAATCCGGAGGTCGATTTGGTTCACCAAAAGGTTTCAAAGCCCTACTTACTGATGTCAGATTTTGATCGCTATTTCTGGCAACGGCCAAACATAACTGTTCGCGAATCGACCATTTATCGAGGGGTTCTCGTTTGATTTGTAAGCGTTCCTCGATAGATGCCATTTCTAGGTTATGTTGTTGTCAGTATACACACTATTGTAGATATTTGCTTTTAAGTATATGCAAACTGTCCACGCAAGAATATTTTGCAGGTGAAATACTGGTTTTATTCTGTTTACAAACAAAACTTATTTATTATTATTACACTTTTAACAAGATGAATATTTTGTTTACGCTGCTGCACCATAACACGCACCACAATAGTAAGTGACAAGTGACAGGCAGGTTATGCATCATTTGTCTAGTTTCATTTGTTAGAAGTTAGGTATTTTACTGTTTTAGGTTGGTGATTCCTGTGAAGAAACGCCAACATCGACCAATCAAAACACAGAATCAGTTTAAAACTTCATTTTAAAAAGTCCGGTTACCATAATTTTTTTGACAGTGGCAACGGTCAGTCTGAAAAGAAATAATCTTTTACTGTTTTTATAGATTTTTTTGATATACTAAAAGAATGTTCAGTCAAAAAGACATAGACACCATGACTTCGCAGTATTTGAAAAATGCCAAAATTCCGCCTGAAATTAAAGAACCAACTATTAACTTGGTAGAGAAAATGATGTCTCACGAATGTTACGGAAATCCTGAGTAAGAACGCGGTATTTTCATAAACATTTTTAACAATACATTTTCAGCTATAAATGGTCTTTGGACGATTTTGAACTAGGCGGACGTTTGGGTCGAGGCAAGTTTGGTCGTGTTTATGTAGCCAGAGAAAGAAAGACTGGTTTCGTGGTGGCATTAAAGACACTATTGAAAAGAGAAATCGTTAAAGGGAATGTAGAAAGACAGATTTTACGTGAAATTGAAATACAGAGTCATTTAAAGTAAGTTTCCACTGTTTGCTTCTGTTGACTTAAATTATGCAAATTTTAGGCATCCCAATATTTTACAACTTTTGTGCTGGTTTCATGATGGTTATAGAATTTATTTGGTTGTGGAATATGCAGGAAAAGGAGAGCTTTACAAGCACCTAAAAGCAAGTCCTGGAGGGCACTTTAATGAACATCAGTAATTTTTAAGTTTGTTTTATTATGATTTTAGTAATAATTGTTTGTAGAGCTGCTAAGTACACATACCAAGTAGCTGACGCTATCAACTACTGTCATACTAATCAAGTAATTCATCGGGACATAAAACCAGAAAATTTGTTATTAACTTTTGAGGATAACATTAAGCTGGCTGATTTTGGTTGGTCTGTTCATTCACCTTCATTAAAACGGAATACAATGTGTGGTACACTGGATTATTTGCCACCAGAAATGGTTGAGAACAAAGTATATAGCAAATTTGTGGATCACTGGTGTTTGGGAGTGCTTTGTTATGAATTCCTAGTGGGTAATCCTCCTTTTGAGAGCAAAACTAGTGATGAAACTTACCAAAAAATAAAATCTGTAGACGTGATGTATCCAGAAACTGTTCCTCAAGGAGCTCAAGATCTGATTTCAAAAGTATGTATTTATACAACATATTTTATTCTAGATAACTGACAAATGATTTTTAAAATTAAAATCCATGAAGTTTATTGTTTTCACATTGTCTTGAATTTCTAATGAAATAAGTAAAAACTGACTGAAAAGATGGCCTTTTTTTGTTCAACAAATTATTCTATTTACTTTTTCAATTTCATGCATTGTAGAAAAGGTAACCTGACAATTAAGCTATTGAAAAACTTATAATTTGTGAAAAATGTTGAAAAAGAAAAGATTATTCTCATTTCATGTATGGCCAATTTTTACAAAGTGCTGCTGACCGTTTTAGTGTCCTCATACTGAAGTAATTCGTGAAAAAAAAATCTCCGTTTAACATTTTATATTTTTATTTACAAAATTGTATTTTTATTTCCAGCTCCTTATTCATACAGGTCGCAAACGATTGACTTTATCCCAGGTTATGCAACATCCATGGATTACTGCTAACAAATAGGTTACTTTTTTCTTTGAAATAATTAAGCTTTGATAAATAATTGTAGACAAAAATAAAAATGGTTGATACTAATGACAGTGGCGACTTTTTTCTTTTTTGTATAATTTTCTATTAATGTATTCACGCAAAACATTTTTATTCAATTTTGACATTTTAAACTGCGTTTATTAAATCCTTAGCAAGTCTGACAAATAAGTTGTTATCCACAAATGAATTGCAAAATTACAAATACATTACAATTATCCGATAAATTATTATTTAATTGCATTCAACAGTCTGTTGTGAGTTTGAAAGAGTTTCGTTAAATAATGGTTTATAAATAATTTTACGTTGAATTTTTACTGCTTTGAAAATGTTTTAATGTGTTTAGAAAAGAATTTTTGAATAGAAGTATGTATCTCTGATATGTATTTACATTATTTTCTAGTATAATTATAAATTAATCCTGATTTCATTCGAAAATCGCAGTGTCCATACTTCCTTTTATCATTACCCCGTTGCGCATGCGTCATTGTTCACAGGCATTTATTGGTGGTCAAAAAATAATCGGGTGAGCATGAACCATGAAACATCATTGTCAAGAATCATTGTGCAGCAGTCAAGCAACAGTTTGGTTGTGTTAGAATTAACGTTCTGTGGAATTAACCATGGCGGTAGACACATATACATATTGTCTTTGCCATTTCTATTGAAACACCACCTGTTGATTTTACTTAAAATTTAGCAATTGGTAACAGTTTTCGGTTGATTGACAACGACTTTTAGTTAGAAAATTGTCTGAATATGAACGTTGCCAAATTTACGATCAACAAGTGGTGTTTCAATAGAAATGACAAATACTATATATGTAGAATGATTTCCATGGGCCCATGGAATTAACTGATGTTTTGTATGTATGATAACTTTTTCGTTAACTTCTCACTTGAATTGTTTTATTATAACAATAGAAAACAAATAATAAGCAAGGAAAAATTCTTTAAAAAAAGATGTAAAATAGTTTCTGTTGGTAGTTTAAATTTTCGTTTTTTCTGGTATCTGGTTGTCTTCTGGAATTGCTCGCGAAAATTGGTTTTCTAACCTTACTTTCTCCTCATTCAGATGGAGTGTCAAATGATTGTTGATATCGAACCAAAATATTTGCATAAAAGTGTTCAGTTTATAAGGTAACCAGTTCTTGTTATTTTCAAACGAGTACAGATCCAAAAAAACGTGTAAAGAGCAGTTTTGCTTAAAATGTTGAAATGAAATAGCTCTTCTAGTATGTGCAATTTCTAACTCGAGATGAGCGTTGATGGTCGAATCAGTTATTACATCGATAAGTACGGTGTATTCCACAAAAGTTCGAGAAGAATTGTAAAGAAGAAAAATGCCCCTTCGTTCCCTGACAGTGCTAACCCAAAGGCATCATCGACTTGGTTGCGGCTTATTATTATGTTCTGGAACGCAAGGGTAATGAAAGCGGCTTTTCGATTTGGTGTGGCGGCAATAATCATGAACCAGTATGAAAGACTTGGTTTCGCACTGCTTTTGTTGTGTTTTACAGTGTAAGGTTATTTATTATGTATCTTCAATGAAGTATGTAAAATAAAATCTGTGTTGGAAGGTTAAAAGTTGTTTTTCGCCAACACGATAATGCAAAGACAAGGTAACTGTAAAAATGCAGCTTTATTCAATTATAAACCAAATTATAACAACAGTTAAAACATTAAATAATTTAAGATTACTCTAATAGTTGACCAAGAGGGTAGCAATGCGCAATTTAAAATAGGCACTTTTCTACATTTATTTACATGATTTTCAAATAAGATCCTACTTATAAGGTGAATGATAGTGAAGAAAATTTGTTCTCAATAATTATAAATTTGTGACAAACAAAACTGCTCTCTTCATCAAAAGCTTTTCTCAAAATTACATCACCTAATTTGATAACAACAGCATGAGCACTTTCGGTAAAAATATAACAGACTTCATTACAGAATTGCAGTTTAAAATCTAAAGTGTGTAGATCTATTATTTTTACAACTAAAACATTTCATAATACTACTTGTCATTATGTAACAAAGCAATTTTTAATTTCAGTCTAGGCTAGGATTCATCATGGCAAGAATTTGTGAAACCTATTTTAACATAAATTATTATGATATAATTGATATTCATTATTCTTTTACATTCTACTTATAAATAGGTATTCTATGAATGTTGCATCGTGAATGAACAAATAAAAATAAAGCATAATAATTTACACTTTTCTATTGCTATTTAACACTATTCAGACAAGATGAGATCATCCTCCCTACTAACGCCATTCTTTTATCACTAATCACAAAATTCACTTAAATTAAAAAATAAATTAATCGTCTAAAACTAACCGATTCACTGATGCAACATAACTAAATTAACACATAGTTATGTTTATTTAATAATTCAGTCAACTACTCATTAAAAAATCACTGTACAATATTAAAACAAAGATATACAATTTACAAACAAAATAATCATTTATGGCATAAACTATATAAACGTGGCGAATCTATATGTACCATGGTAACAAAACAACGTTATGGATGATTTTTTTTTGATTTATGTTTTTACATAAAAACTGGGATGGAAATGTAATTGAATTGGTTGTACCATACATTTTTGTCAAAAGTTTAACTTTTGCAAGCACACAATAGCTGATTTAAGTTTACGTGAAACTAATTTTGATCCGAAATATATTGTAACACAAAATGAGTGGTTTATTTTCGTTCATTAAATAATAAATAGACCTTTTGTTTAATGATAAAACATCCATATTGTAGATCACAGCTAACAGTGTAGAGTCTCCTTCATTACATCATTTTAATTATATTATACAAATTCGATTTATCCACACGAACCTTATTTTTTCTTTAAAATAAAATGAATGTACTGATACATGTTGTATTTAGAATTTTGTGAAAATATATTTTGCGGTAACTTACAGATTAACTATATTTACTACTTAATTATTTAAGATGAACATTATTTTCACGTCCTTTTTTCGTTTTAAATGCATATTCAGTCTGCCAATTGCTTGTGTATGGTCATTTTCTGTTATCTATACTAAGTAACTTCTAACATCTTAGCTCTGCTAAGTCTTTAAGTTGAACAAAAAATTATAAATCTAATCATCGCATTTTTACAACAAGAGAAAGTTAAAGTCACATTTATAAAATCACAAACCTTTGTTTAGTTGTGGAAAGATCAATTTGCGGATTTAATTTACTTCTAGTAGGAATTATACATTAAAGATACGCAGATCGCTACGAAACCAATATATTATGCTAATGACAAATGTACTTGCATTTCATGATTTGATAAAAATACCTCATTTCATTTTTAAAATTTAATCGTTAGCAAATGTTTGTCTTTATCTTGATCAATGCGGAACTTAAAAGGCGTGATGGTACTTGGAGTAACTTAGTCGTATTTTTTCATTCTACTATAGCGCACTTACTAATGCTACCTAATCATTATTTTAAGTTAGTTTACAACATGATCAGTGATTCAAAAATTATAAAATGTAACACATCAAATTTGTATTACTAATAACGGCACCTGGAAGTAATTACACAATACGCGTTTTGTCTCTCATTAAAAAATAAATAGAATATTTGAACACATTGTGTAAGTCTTCCAGTCGTCCGTCAGCAAACGTGGCGTGGACTAGGTTTTGGAAAATCGTCGGTCAAGTTATTCGTTAAGTTCATGTGGCATATATTCAATCGTCTTTAAGATATAAATGGTCCTGCAAACTCATAGATTAGTAAGAGTTTTTATTCTTAGGCCTAACTTGCACTTTTGTCTATCTCGCTATAATTTATTCTAATATACTAGTCTGCAGGATACTTCATGCATTTACGTTTAGCAAACACGTGACTTTTTGTGTGCCGAATTACCACGGTTCTTGACTTATTGGCGAACTTCGGCAACCGCATTCAAATCAGAAACAACACTTGTTGGTTCGGCGGATAGCTTAAGCAGCTGGCAAATTCAACCGATGTGGACGCTATGTTAGGATTACGCAAGAATTACCACCCTTAAATTGCGGTAACTTATAACAAACACCAAACAGGAACTAGGTACGAATTATGTAGAAAGTACAGTTTGCGTTGTCACATGTGCGTCTGAATAATATTTATGCCTGTGTACGAAAAATAACACGAATATTTATTCAAGATGCTTTGACGTACTGTACCATGCGTTTAAGTTTAGGATAAATAAAAAAATATAGCCCTGTGGTGATTGTAAAGAACAGTACGTTGTTGCATTATCCTAACAGAACTATTCCATGCCAAAACGATCACTCAAAAATTTCAATAACTCGATTTTTTCTAATCGGTTCAAAAAGTGAGTCATACATTAAAACGATTGCTCAGCAGTTTGTCAAAAATAATTCGTTCGTAGTAAGCCAGTTTGGAGAAATTGAAAAATTAATGTTTACGTATTTTTAATAATGCACATTGTGTTAAACTATTAGAATTTAACAAAACATTTTCATGTCTATGGTACAAATTTAATAACAAAACATAAATGGTCATTTGAATAAAATTTTAAGGCATTATAAAATTCACAATTTTTGAACGCACAACATGGAGTAACAATAATTTTCTTACAAAACTGATGACTTCTGTCATACAATTTTTGAAATGCATAGTGAACTAGTTTAGAGTTAAACGTTTTTTTTATTTGAGTATCCTTTTTAATACCCTGGTTAATAAGAACAAAATCGAGTTATTCACAACGTACAAGATACTATAACTTTGTGTGAAATTCATATAACATATGTACTTATAACATGCGTTCAAAAATAATGTATATGATTAATATTATATTATATACGTATTTTGTCTAGAATGCTGAAGTTGTTTTGTCATATTTTTTGGCTGGAGTTTATCTAATGAAACTGACAGGAGTGACTGTAAATAAAGTACTTATGTATTATTGAACTTCCACATAAAAATATAAACGTAACTATGACCACAGCGTGTAAAATTTTCAGTGGCAGATTAAAATAAACATATAGAAACTCTAGTCATGACTGTTAACAGAATATGAAGAACTTGCCCAAAAGAATAAAATGTTCTAGCTGCTCTTTAAGGCATTAGCGTTAGAATATAAAATAAACTTTATTTGGTTATGTTGGACGACTCGCTCTTAGTTGTGACTAGTACATCTCTCCAAATTCTTTTATGCAATCCTTGATCCCTGTTCATATAAAAGGCGTTTATTGTTTTAAGTTTAATATCCAGGATTGACGTCCATGTGAAGTTGGGCTTGCAAACAGTAGCATCATCTAAATTCAACAAATCATGAAATATCGCTGTGCTAAAATTTTATATTTTCAGTGGTACAATATTCACACGACGTTTAGAACAAAATGAAGACAACTTAAATTGCTTGGTATTTGAGCAATCGTTTTCTGGCAAAGTTAGAACATAATGTGAAGTATTAAAAGTTTTTATTATCCATTTTGGCATAGAATGAGCTAGAAACAATCTAAGGAACATGTTGCTCATTATAGAAATTGACTCGAATGATTTGCTTCATTGGCAAGCGGCGTAAAGGAGAAGGAAGTGACGTCCCACTATATGAATTCACAAGAATACATTATACAAAATAAAGTGTGGTATCTCTAAAAATATGATATGATCGTGGTAGTCTACGCTTGTCCTTTGCAAATTTGCACCAAGTCTGGCCGATTTCCACGGCACAACGAGTAAGTTTCAGACGGCAAAATTCACCTGCTGCCGCAGCGGTTCGGCCAAAAACCGGGCGGTGTTACTCTAGGATAATTAAATTTATTGAGCACCTAATAATTAAAGCTAACTTAACGTAGTATCTAATATTGCACAATTCTAGCGTAGTGTCCGTCGCACGTATTGCTTAATACAAGACACAGCAAAGCGGCACGCACCAGCACCCCCAGTGTGTATCAGCAGTTCAGCGGCGGTCTGTGCGAATTGCCAGCGCTGCCGTGGCGACCTGCAGCACAGGCAGTTGGCACAGCTGTCCGGTTAACACCGAGCACTAGTGCGTGGAGTGGCGTCATTGGAACGCCGACTCCTTGTGGAACGTGTCGGACTTGTGGAAGGAGGGCCGGCCGTTGTGCTCGCCGCCCCGCGTCATGGCCATGTCCTGCGACGCGAAGTTGTTTTCCGACTTGGGCCGGGGCAGGGTCAGCCGCTGCAGTGTCCTGCCGAGTTCCTGCAGGCTGCGGTCGCTGGCGTGGAGGCGCGCCACCTAGCACAAAACAATCTGAGTACTATGGTTCATAACGTGTGCACGGAAAGATAACACTGTACGACCAGAGAAAGAACTGAAGGTAAGCGAAGAAAAATGTTGCTGCCTACCTCAGTGGGAATCGAACCACACGTCACCCGCTTGCCGGGCAGATGCCCTTACCACTAGACCACGAGGCAGCTTATCTTTCTCCGCTTACCAACGTGTTATTGTGACGCCACAGAACAAAACGCAGCGCCTAGGAATGGGTTTCATGAAAACCAGTAGAGTAAATACGAAGGCTTTTTGGTTAGACTGCAATTACGATTGTGTAGAAGAAAGTTGCAACACTTGGTAGTATATCATATAAAAGGTATCTGGTATGTTGCCGCATTTACTACATTTTTCTCTTCTTATTACGACTGCCTAGAAATTTCAAATTATAACTGACGTATTTTTAACGACAAAACTTCAAAGTTCGAGATTACAAAGTGGCTACCTCAATGAAATAATGATTGTAAAATCTAGCAGAGAACAAGATCTTGTGCCCACGAGAAATTACAATGATGCCTTTTTACAATAAAGCACTATTAGTTGGCCGTTTTGGCTAGGGAGCGATTTTCTTTTTGGGTTTAGTAGGGGGCTCAGCTGTGAGTAAAATTGAGTTTTCCGTTTACTTATACTGACTGCCCTTAGTGTGCCCTTCAAAATTTACTACCAGCATGCTCTTAATGTATGAGACATTTAGAGCTAACCTCATAAACGTTAAAATGTTATCTATTAATTATAGGAGGAGAGCATGAAAAAGGTATGTTCCCTGTGTAGAGGAAGTGAGCGTTACTAAGACCCGCAGAAAGACGTTTTATTATAAAGTTCGACTTGCGCAGTAAATCAGCGGATGTAGTGCAATAATTAATCCACTATTTATGCAGGGTAATTCACGAATAACATCAAGTTTAATAATTGTGTTTATGTAACCCAAAATACATTCTCACAGGTTTCGTCAATTAGAAGCAAAACTATGGGAAAGTCGGCCGCTTATTAAAAAATCCAGAGCTCAAGTTGCTACTAAACCCAAAAAACGAGGGTAAAAGTCAGAACATCCAGTTGCAAGTCAACGGGCAATTGCAAGAAATGTGGAAAGTACTCAAAGTTCGGTACCGAGGATTTTGTGTGCTAATAAATTCCATTCGTACCATATTACATTAGTTCAAGAATAAAAGAGACTAATGAGTACCTTAAAAGACTTCAGTTGTATGCCTTTTTTTGTGAGCGTCTGAGAATTAATCAAAATTTTTAAAAATTTGTTTTATTCAGTGACGAGGCTAAATTTAATAATAATGGATGGATTCATAACATCATTTCGATGAACGTTTGGTACGGAATTTTTGGGGATAGAATTATTGGGCCAAACTTTTTGACTGGTGGACGTTATTTACAATGTATCCGAGACATTTTACCAGAATTGTTAGAGGAGTTGGAAATTGACATAGACTTCAATAAGATGGAGCTCTATGCGAAGTAACATGTGACAATGTTTTTTGAGTTGTATAAACACAATTATTAAAGCGGACCCTATTCGTAAATCACCCTGTATGTATTGTCTTCCCAGTTTAAAGTGGTTTTTATGATAGGTCCATTGTGTCGAAGTTGATGATGGGGACAATGGAGTAAATCCCTAGCCATAAATAAGACAGTGGTCGGTTTCTTGCAGGGTCGTACTTTGTTATCCAACTCATATTGTCCGTTGTGGGGTAATAATGATGTTTATTGTCTTGTCATAAAAACCACTTTAAACTGGGAGTACTGTACGTGTATTTTTTTTTAATTTTGAAGTTTTTGGAAAGCACCGATTTCTATGTTTTTTTACTATACCACTGAAATAACTTCACAAAGACCTTCTACAATCATCGATTCAATGGCGGGAGGTCCGTTTTTTCAAACTTACATTCTTCCCATACTATCCTCCTTTGAAGCATCTTCTTATTCGTTTCTAATATAACGTAGGTAGATTTAGGAGAACCAATATTTGTGCATACGGAGGACGTTGAATATAGTGGCGTTTGAATTTGAAATTTAAATTTCGCGATGAGAAGAAATAAAAATGCCGCGAAACCACATTTGAAAAATTAATATTAAGAAAAATCATTCATAAAAGGCAATTGTTTAAACAAAACTGAAACGTATTCGATGCCACAGTCCACCCTCAATGACTGTAATTAGTGTAATATCAGCTATTTAATGATTTTATAATATAAAATGTGTAAAACTTCAATTACTCGTCAACGGGTGTTATTTTTATTTTATTGTTTATAAATTCACTGTTCATTTTAGGATTTTGAAGTGTTTCTGCTCCTGGGGTGGGATTTTGTTTCTACCGATGCGATACGAAGCGATAAATGACAAGGACGAAAATATAAATTTCAGATGCGAAAGAAAAAGACGACCACATTTTATCGGTACCGATATTTTACCGTTATAGACACAAAATCCCACCCTTGGTGCTAATGGCAGTTCAACTGAAATAACATGTTCATGGACAGGAATTTCAATTATTGAGGCTTCACTCTTTTACCTATCACGACATATTTAAGGTTATGGATGTTTTTACTTAAGTTATTAGTTGTTACACTACTGACACTTCATAACTTCGTACTCGAGATTTATAATAATCATTTATGATATTTAAATTAATCTTAAAAGTTGGTCCATTTTGAAAGAAAGGATCTTCAAAATTATCATCAGTTAAATTAATATCATTGCACACTCGAAATAGGAGGTTTGTTTTATGTTTACCTTGTTTCACAGCTTGAATTTCGACATTTATTCTTGAATTATTCTTTTGATTTTGATTGTATTTAATATGTTCGTGGTTGTGATGTGTGAATTTGTTGAGTCCATGATGTAATATTGATGAACTAATTTTGATTTAATTACAAGTTGAATTAGGTAATGCATAATTTGACTCTATGTAAATTCTTTGTTGGTTAAAGAAGACAGTATGGTGTAATTGATTCATTTCTTCAAATTCTAATGCTTATTCAGTTACCATCATAAATAGGACATTTTTTAAATATTTTTTGATCGAAAAAGAGCAAAAGATCGAGTGGCGAAAGCGGAACACACAAAGCTAACCGTTTTTCTCTCATGTCATTTGCTTTTAATAAATGTTGAATTGTAAACTTCATGGAGAGATCCGAGTCCGCGTGAAACACATATGTATTTTGGTAACAGCTGGCTGTTTTACAAAGGCAGGGTAGAGCGCATAATATGTGGCAAGTTTTTTAGGCATAGAGATGTGGTGTGTGTTATACCTGTCAACCGGGCGTTTAAATTTGCGATATTCAAATACATATTTGTAACACTTGGATCACATTTTTGAAGGCTAGAGATTTTTGCAGCTAGTTTTCAGATTTTCCTTCTCCAGAATGGAGAAATACACAATTTGCGGTTCACTACTTCACATTCGAACGTGTTTCGCTATAAAAAACACCGCACAACGTAGGATTCCAGTTTGTTGGCATTCACAGTGCAAGGCTAAATTTTGAATTTTTCGTGGGTCTTAAAATTTTATAGACTTACTTCTCTAATTTTTGGCGGGATATTTAGGGGAATCGACCTTCACTTTGTTGTAGCTAATATCGTTTGCAAATATGCGATGAGTCCAGGACGAAGTTGCAAATTTTGATGTCCTCTATATAGAAGACACAAGCTGAAGTTTATGCTTTCTCAGGTCAGCGATGTAACGGATAAACTAAAAGAGATCCCAAAACGGACCCTAGTTCGTTTAGTCCCAGTAGAGACTTGCTTAGAGCATCACCAACTCTGAATTAAACAATCGATTTGGAAGAAAAGATTCGAGCCATAATAAAAGATTCCAAAGATTCCACACCACTCTAATTTTAGCAAGAGCTTCGTGCGTATACGAAATATTACAAGAAAAATTAACAAATTTTTAGAACGGTCCCAGATATTTCGTCAGATCCAAGTGATGTTCTCCTTTATTTTATTAATCATTAACAGAACATTCTTCTCTGAAAATTCAATATTTTTCAAGTTTATAATACTCTTAAGCGTGTCAGAAACTTTCGGAAGCAAAATTACTTCAGCAATAAGAACTCCATTAGTATCGACAATTGTGGTGTTGATATCAGACCATTAATGTTAGACCTGATGTATTTAAATAGTTCGTTGGCATCTTTCAAATTTGCAATATTTTTTCGCAAAGTAATCATCGCGGATTGTGGTTTTGTGTTCATTTAAATGTTTTCCATAAACAATGCTTTTCTTTGATTATTTTCAAGATTTACTCGATATATTTTAGAAAAAATAAGCCAAATTATCTGAATCACATAATTACAAGAACGTGTATTGAATGACCACCTCAAAAGTGAAAACAGTGGATCACGTACGGGTACGTAAACACTATTATTTACCCGACATGTTATGAAAACTTTATCAGATATTTCAAGGTTATAACTAGTGCAAACAGCGTTAAACAAATTTCCCTAAGCTTTGGATTCATAATACCACTGACAATGGGACTTAAAATGGACACTTTTGATAGGTAGGTATTCCTATGGGTTGTAGATATGATTAAACAATGAATAAAAGTTTTCAGCAAAAGATTTACGTTTTCATGGTACATATCTAGTTTAGTTTTAAAATGAAAAACTTTGCAGTGTTTTTTCTCTAAAGATTTTTATGGTTGCGTTTGTCCGAGTTTTTGTCACAGCAGAATTGGGAAAATCAATTTTAGACAAAAAAGTAAACGATTAAAAAAAAAAACACAGCATGTTTCTGTAATAGTTAATCAGAAATAATATTTAACACAAAGTGTCAATGGTATTTAGATTTATTTCATAATGTTAAGAAATGCTAGGCAATATTTTAATGTCTACATTTGAGTACTTGGAGGTGTCAATTGTAATTTAAAGATTGATTAATGCAGACATATATTCACCATTTATATTTCGCGTGCACACTGTACGGTGTGCCGGGGATATATTGGAAGATTATTTTCCGAGGAAAATTTCTTTCCTTTCATCCGGTATGATTTATTATTCTGGAAAAAGCAAAAACTTATTGCCTGCCAGTCAAACAATTTTATATCAACACGCACAATTGAATTGCACACCTGAAAATAACCAAAACCGAACTAAACACCAAGCTATCCAAACAACAATACACGTAAATAAGAGATATCCGATATATGTATTTGACAATTTTTTTATGAAATGTTTAATAATGGTGTTATATTATTTTAAAGTATTAAATCAGCTACAACAAGTAACCAGTTTTAGTGACATTAACTTGGTGGTTTTTGATTTTTTTTATGTACTTTGGAGTCTCAAGTTTTACGTGTACTTTGATCCCCAATCGTTTGAAACTGAAAGAGACGTATTATTTTCAAACATGCTTGAAATGGCTCTTAACCTTTTTGGGATGGCTTGTGTAACTGATCGGTGATCCTCCAGGAATTTTCGGGTAAACAACTAATTCAGCCTTTTCACACCTGTCTAACATGGCGTAAATTGTTGAGAACGAGTTTTTATTCCTCTTTGCATTGTTTAAAGTAAAGTGCACAACAATTTGTTATTTTAAGAGGAAACACAATCTCGCAGTGAACTTCAATAACCGCCACGCAAATTTCATTTTAGTCGTCCCAGTGTGATGAAATTTACCAAAATTAATGGTCATATCTCGTCGAAGAGGACAAGTTTTCTATGGTCATACATTTTTATCTCTCGTGCATTCAAAATTCATTTTTAATTTTGACAATTGTTGGAGATTCTATATCCAATTTATCAACCAAAAAAACCACCAACATTATTTTCTGATGAGAAAATGTAACCTGTAATAACGCGAAGGTGATGAAGTTTATAAATCGCTATTGGAAATAATGTAAGCAGTAAATAGTAAATAATCATATTTATTATTGGAAATAATGTAAGTAGTAAATAGTAAATAATCATATTTATTATTTACTTATTATAGATAGAAGTTTCGAAAGAACCTTGTAGTTGTTTTTCGGTTGATAGTGATGCCAACTGCTTTAATTTTACATTTATAAACAGAGAATACTAACCGACTCGTCCGACATATTTACGTGGTCCGCCTCGGCGGCCAGGGCGTTCACCACGGCGTTGATGGTCTTGCTCTCGCTGCCCAAGTCTTCTTCTCTGTGCGCTAGTAGATTGGGGTTCTTGCCGATCTTGTTCAACCTGAGGAACAGGCGCGGTCAATGCGACTTTTACGTCACGCACACGCTCAGCGATGCAAATTAAATTTGAGAAGCATTAAAGATTCAAAAGAAAACTCCAAGTGGCTAACTTCACAACCAATTGAAAATTGTGTTGTTTGTGTGTTTTATTGAATTTCATTGAAAAGATCGCCGCTTCTTCTAGTCGTGTCTATTTGTGCGTGTCTGTGTGTGCATGTGTCATACTTTAAAATAAGTTCAATGATTATGTGAAGAATCGCTCGCCCGGCGCATCCACCAAATACAGTAGAATATTCGGTGTCTGCAAAATATATTCATTTTAGAAAAAGAATTTTGACTAGTGTCCGAATAAAAGATTTTTCTTTTAAAAATCAGTACAAGATTTATTTTAACCCCAATAGTATTACATTTTAGATATTAATAATTATGTACAAAATTAACTAGGACGGACAGTTTTTCCTTAGCAGGTACTGTTTTATAGCATCATCGACATTTAAACACTCCATACGGTCTTCCTGAAAATAATGGGTAATTCAAAATCAGCCTAATGGTAATTATTGTCTCAGTAAATATTTGGTGGTAATTTCCTTTTATTAATTTTGAAAGAAATTAAATTGCAAACGTATTCACCAAACATTTACATAAAATCGATTCATATATTTAACTATATTTGAGTAACACAAAACATATAAAATGAGCAACAGATGTCACCACTGATTTAAATGGATTTAAAAGAACAGTTAATGTATGCATCTGAAAAGTGTAATTTAGAAAAGACCTCCCAATTTTAGTGACAAAGTGTGCATTATGTGAAATTAATTTTTGTTTTAATTTTTGGCATGAAGCGTGTACCACATACCTTTGTTGCAATTGCTGTAACTTTACTTTTTATCTTATTTAATCATATACTAAAGTGTAAGTGCTAACTTCAATAATAATAGTAGTATTTGTTTTACATATATCGACTTTTTTTATTAAATGAGTCCAAAACAAGCAAAGAAAATAATTTTTTTCAATCGCTATACTCGAAAGGTCATAGAAGAGTAAAAATATACGATCTGACTGATGCCTTCCAGCACAGAACATTGACGAAGTGAAATTCATATATTTTCTTTTAGTTTTACTTTTATATTCATAAGTTCAAAGAAAAAGTGGAAATATATCAATTCATTTTGCCATCTTGGTGTCGTATGTGTCCAAGGCTGTGGGTCACCTTGTATCTTTTTATAATAACAATGAATAATTTGTATATGTAATATCCTTTTCAGAGCTTATAAAAATAGTAACAATAACATTTACTTAGTTTTAATTTTAATTCAAATAAAGAGAACGTTTTATGACAAAATTTAAAAGCTTAGATGATTATACGTAGTTTTATTCTGATAAGTTTTAGATTGTTAGAGTCAATGCAATACTTTACGGATAGGTTGGTAGCACTTAACTTTTTTTTTAATTTCTGAAATAAAGTAAGCAGGCAGCTCAACCGATTATTGATCGTTTTTTTTTTTCTAATTCAGTTAACCCTGAGTCTTTTGCCATTTCCAAGATTACAATAGAGAGAAAAGAAAAGACGCTGCCCTGCTAGGATACTTGAATGGGAATGTGGCTTTTGTTTTTCACTAAACCCTACAGCTATATCAAACTTCACTGCAATCCGCTAAAGCGGAATACAACACAATGATCATTTTGACCTTACTTAAAAGAAAATTGTGATTACCATGCAATTTCGACGTATGTGTGTCCCAGTAAGCAAGAAATGAGATTGTTAAAACCCATTATTCCAACACATAAGATTCGGGGTAAAATAGAACAATATGTAGAATGACTTCAATTTTGTTATTAACACTTGATGTTATTTTAAAGTATGACGTGGTGTGTGCAAACAAAAATTCTACAACATGTCAAGACAGGGAAAAACGGATACACTGTGAATCGTGAGAAGGGAACAGTCACCAAATGATGTAAGGTATTCAGACGTCCACAAACAGCGAAATGTGTTGAGAAATGAAACCAGCGCACGGTAAAGAAGCGATGATACAAAAATAATTCAATAAAACCTCCTCGGTTTTCTTATACCAACCAACGCACTGACCTCTCCGCGGCGACTGATTCCATTGTGCGTCGCATTAGTGGATACTGATCGAGTACTGCGTTAAAATGATCAACAGATAGCGAAAACAAGTTGCAATAAGTTTCGGCTCTCACAGAGGCTACTCTTCTTGCATTCGTCAACAGGCAAATTTCGCCGAAATATGAGCCGTCGCTAAGGCTTGTCGCCACTTCTCCGTTCGCCATTACAATATCGACAATACCTTCTTGAATGAAGTACATTTTGGAACCGATGGTTCCCTCTTTTATTATAATATCACCTGAAAAAAAAGAGTTTGAGTATGTGTGAACAGTGTCTGGAGTAGGGAAAACCTTGGCGCACTTCTCCATAAACCACTGTAAAATTACACCAGCTTTCACCCGAGTTTTGTAGTGTGTGAAAATTACAGGGTTGTTAAAAACTGTACAAATTAAATAGAAAATTATAACAAAAATTTTTAACATGACACAATAAATGTTTCAACATCGGTGTCGAAATTTTGGACAGCTCTAGGAGGACAAATTTGTAGAAACAATTATATAATTTTTCATATCCATTTTCGTGCTATGGCAAACGTTGCAGAATTTCTCGGCAAAGCTTCATCTATGAGTTTATTCTGACACATAAGGACATATGTATGTACGTGTAAATAAAAATTGATACATGGATGAATGACAGTACTGTTCTAAAACGACATATTATACCTCTAAATTGAGAAAAATAAAAAGTTTAGATGAACTTTAATTCTTTTTTATTTACACTCCAAAAATCGCACAGAACTTATTCAATTATAGTAAAGTAGAATGTTAACGCTGCAGATCTTGTGGCGTAAGTAAATCTCGCTTAATGCGGCGCATTAAGTTATTGCGAATCGATCGTAGAAACAATAGTTTTTGCACAAACAGTTTTGAAAGTTGGATATAGAGAGGTTATTTACAGAGCAAAAGTTTTGATCTGACAAGATAATACAAAATATCGATCGTTACACAAAGAAAAAATCTGCAAAATATATACCGGAACCGTGGAATTTATTTGTATTTATTTGATAAAAAAAACTATTTTAAGAGATGTGATTTAAACCGATGTACTAATTACAAAAGCCGTTAGTATTTCCTATACAATTTCTCTGTGTTTCATTTGTATTAACAAGATCTGCACAGTGAGCCAGTGAGTAGGTGGAATAACGTGATATCTTAAATAGATTTTCATCCTTATTCAATTACGGCCTGCGTGCTCTCTGAACTTACCTGGTTGGAAGACTTCATATTTCAACTTAGTAACAACATCAGAAACGAAATTAGAGTCAGCATTGGCAAAGAATGGAACTGACGCCACCAACGATCTGCAATTGTAGTTGATAACATCTTCTCGAAGTTTTTCCGAAAGCTCGCCGAGAATACATTCTTCGTCAAAGAATTTGCCTTGATAACGATGTTCGAAATACTCGGTGATCCGCTGCCGCATCTCCCGAGGCAGTTTGCGGTATGCCATATACTCCTCCACTTGCTTTACCTGTGTGTTGTAGATATATTATGTGCATAAAATGATATGGGCTCGGGCTGCAGTTTTAATATTTACGAACCAGAATTGTTATCAATGGAATTGGAATTTACATGAAATATTTTAGGATATACACCCCATTTACTACGAGAGCTGGCGTTTTTAAATCAGTGTATGGAGAACTAATAATGATCATAAAACTTAAATACCTGGTCACAATGTAGTGTTTGTGTGTAATTTGCTTGATATTAGTGTAACGTCAGCTTTTGAAAATAAACGAGGTATAAATTTGTGAAGATTCATTGAATAAATATCAACATTGTACCTAACGGAAGGCTAAATTAAAACGATTTAAGCATTACATAGAACTATTTCATGTTTTCATTTAATTGTGTAACACTGTGTAGTAATTTACGAGAAATTTTAATTAACTTCAACTAATCTTATTCCCGTCTCACAATATTCATCCAGCTAAACTGCTTTGGAATTGAGTGTACATCTTGTGTAAATTTAAACGTGCATTTTATTCGAATGTGTAATAATGTTCCTTGAAAGAAAGCCATTATGTTCACTTGGACGTAAGTTTCGTAATTGCATAACACTGTTTCGCATGAGAAACGTATTCAGAAAAGCGGAATATCAACGTTGTATTAAACTTAATGTATTCCGAGAAGCTATTTCCATACCGTTTTCCTTTTATATGCAGGTGCCCAATGTCCTTGACTTCTTTCTTTTGGTAGAGAAAAGGATGATACTCTCTTTTTTTTGACAAGTTAATACTACAAAATGCAGAAACTTTAACACGTTTGCTGAACAGATAGCTAGTTTATTAATTTTTATTTGTTTTAGTCAATTTAAAAAAACGCGTGAACTCCAAAAGTTCTACACTTGTTTTTAAAATAATATCTTGATTTAAATGTTAATTTGGTAATATGATTTGATTTTCCAAATTTTTCACGTCTGTGAAAGGTACAAAATGTACCCTTTCTTTTATTTAAGGCTGCAATAAGGAATTTCGTGGTGTATGATCCTGAGATCTTGCAGGATGCGAATTAGTTTTACCATTCCTCAGTCAACAGAAACCGAAACAGTATTTGTCAATTATTTCAAAATGATAAACTATTTAAGGTACGTTTTAAATGGTGTTGATATTTACACCGATCCTAAAAAAACTGAAGCCGTTGAAACGTTTACGGAGTTCGCAACTTTTTGAGCTTGTTTACCTTCGGAGACACTTTGTGAAGTTTCATTTGGCTGAATAAATGGGTAGTCTGTTGACAAACTGAAAGAATTTTTAACGTCGTTCTGGTAACAAAAAAAGGTAGCTTTTATGTGGAGAGAGAAGAGCATCTAATTAGCAGATGGAAGAGATATCAAAGACGAGCTACTAATAAAATCTGAGCTGCGGATAAAAATTAGCCGGGTATGAAATGAGAATCATTATGAGGTACATTTGTGCATAGCGACGTTGAATTACGCGAAGATTTAAAAGACGGGAGAATTTATTTAGAATTATACCTTGAATAAGAGAATTTCTTAAATTAGGAAGAAAGGATAATGGACGAAATTTCCAGTTTAAAGATAAATTATTATTAGGTCAGATGAGGATAAGTTGGCAATATGCGATCATGTAAAAGGTAGACACAATTTCACACCAACGGGGTCAGAGATTTTCTAGATGAACAGAAAAAAATTAACTTATACTACTGACACAAATAATTGAACACATTTTTTACCGCATTAGAAAAGATTCATAGACAAAGTGCTCGCCTTTGCAGGACAATCAAACAGTTCCAACATTAAGACAAGATCACTGTTGTTCTTAAGAAAATGAATAAGATAGAACAATATTTTTAAATGGAAGCAGAATTATTGATGGAGCTGTAGATATAGATACAGAAGAGTGGAATGGAAAGCCATTAAATAAACACGATTCGTGCTTACTACAAGTTTTTTTTACTCGTATAACATCATTTATTTAGGTGATTTATTTTTCTAAAAAATATGCGATAAATATAGTCATTTCTAGTAGAATTAGTAGCATAGTTCGAAACAAAAACTTGCAAGGTTTTATATCTTCTCGTGTTTTGTGTTTATTGTGCAAATTCACTCTATGTACTGCTTCTGTTTTTACCAACATTGTTCATATTGAGAAAAAAACTAACGTAACATTTACATTAAAAGCTATAAACATGCAACGCAAACAGTCACAGCAAAATATGCATAAACAAGACCCCATTAATTCGTGCAACAACAAACAGATTCACAATACAACAATCCATTACGTTATAAATCTAGATTATTCCATAAGACAACATATTAAATACGTACTAGAAAAAAATAATTGTTACAAGTTACAAGCAAACACACACAAAAAATACATTAGTTTTTTGCCAAGTTTGTTACGATACACACAACTTCTGAAATGACTAATTACTCCAAAGTTTTTGAATGCGGTCAAAAATGTAGCTGTCATGAAAAATGTGTTTATAATAACCAGAGAAAAACACTTATGAGAAAATTTAAAGGTCCAATGAATTACTAAAATCTAACGACGTGATGAGATCGTCAAAATAAATTTAAGAATGAGAGTGAAAACCGAATTTTGTATAAAATGAAGTATTACTAGTTAAAGGTTATTGAGCGTGTGAGGGCGCTTTGACATTCCCTAAATACGAGCAATGCTATCTAACACAATCAGTTGAACTGTGCGATTTGGTGCCAAAATTGGCCGCTTAACAACAAGCTGAACCGGTATTGTCCGATTAGATTAGTTCGATGTCGGTGGTCAATGACAGGTCAAAATGAAAATTGGACAAAAAAAATACGTTAACATCTAAAAAATTAATCTTTTCGTTATCAACTGCAAATAAAAATAATCTGCAAATGCACAAACAACTTTTAAAAATAATACATTATATTAATATTTTACTTCTGACGAACTTTTTAACACAAACTATTTTAACAAATGAAAATTGACGTTGTAAATTAGTTACTAATGTTCTTTGAAAAACATTTTTGACCGCTTTTTAGTAATCTCATGCCAACAATGCAAAAAAAATATATTAATTCCCATTCCATTAGAAATAAAACATTAACAAAAAGCCCATTAAAACTGTACAATTTCATGCCTAGTTACAATAATCCACAACATATAGACAAACCGCAGCCACTAGGAGCCTTATTTACCTTTTCTCGGTATTGTCTTCTCGAAGAATCCAAACTCTGAATAAGGTTGGTAGCGTGACCAAGGAACAGGGCATAGCAGGTGGCTCCAGATATCATGGATAACATTGTTAACCACATATCTGTCAACGACTGGGGTGGAAATCGGCCGTAACCAATGCAAAGCATGTGTGACATAGCTTTGAATAAGGCCCACGAATACTGCTCAAGCCAAAATGCCTCCTGTAAAAAATGTTTTAAATCATACCGACGATGCTAAATCAGCTAATAGCAAACCTGTAATTCGTTGATAGCAACCCAAGAGTTTGCAGGAAATCCTTGGAGCATGGGTACCAGGAATTGTAGACAACCAGACCAGTGACCAATCAGCAGCATCATACATATTAGATTGAATATCCTCATGAAAACACTCGCCATATTTAAAAACTGTAACATTATTGTTGCAATTCTTTAATGGTCATTTAAAAAACAGCAAAAAAATAGTCTAAAACAAGGCGAAATTTGTGCTTGTTTTAAACGTACCTAAACTACATATAAACTTAGTGGTTAAAACGGCATACGCTGTAACACAAAATAGAAAAACGAAAATACACAACATAAAAAAATGTGTAAAACAAATCTCAAAGAAGCGTTGTCTCCTTTGTCAGTCTAGGGAGCTGATTAACCGAAAATATAGCTTTAAGCCATTTCAAAGCAGTGCCTTCAATAAAAAAGCACAAGCAAACCTTAATGGTAAAAAATAAGCATGTGGTTGTTAATTTGAAGTAACGTGAGCTAAAATTCTATGTACCCAGCACCTCAAACCAAACAAATAAATATTATTTAATAATAATAAACAACGCTATGATAATCGACTCCAATACGTTTATTACATGAAAATTGTACTTTAATATGTACTTGGGACAAAAACGTAAAAAAAGTTATACTGAAGCGATTTATATCACTACGGCACCTCTTAACTTACCTTCGCATTAAAATAGGTCATGCACTTCAACTGAGCTAACGTTTCGCCACTAGAGTACCAGACAAAGTTCCATTTTCTCAAATGAAGTCACAGTTTACCTACCAGGAACCCTCAACCACAAATTACACCATTCTTGTCATACGGAACTTAACGTTTAACTATTTGAAACGTGCAGTCGCAAATTTCCTAGCATTGCAAATAATGTGCAGCTGTTCTAGTCTATCATGAATCCAGCAAAACAAATGTGGTGGTACAATTTGTGATTGTGGATCATATGAGGAAATTATGATTTCTGTAAACAGTCTGATCTCTAGATGGCCGAAACGCAATGTCGCATGCAAAGCATTCAGCAGAAACTAAGGGTAGGTTAGGAGTGAAGCAGGTTAAAATAAGCGATTGATATTCTGAACGTGGTATTCCGTGGATCTGTGGGCCTAGGCGGAAGCAGAGGCGCCGCGGGTCGGTCATGCGCAATGCCAAGCAAGCCCAAAGCGGGTTACCTTAAAGATGAGATTGCTTTTGGTGTAATTAGACTTGTTGAGGTCCGAACTGAGGCGCCCCCTTCGTTCCGTTCGCTTTTTTTGGAGATTCTGCAAGATCTAGAAAAAGCGAAGAACACAAGGTAGTAGAGAAAAGCGTGGCACACTAGTTTCCAGAAGAACGACTTAAATAGAAAGAGAGCATGAAAGTTAGTAGATTACAGTCGGTGAATAGAACAGAGTGCAGTGCGAAGCTAACATGGACAGAGCTACATGCCACCACGACGACGATGAACACTTATACAAGCTTGGACGAGAACCAAATGGATGAGATGAACGTGATTTTATTAGGCAGTAGTAATCCTACCGACACATTGTATACTACGTACAGGGAATTCTGCCAGAAAAGACTATTTATTAATGTTTTAGACGTCAGTGGTGGATTTCTTGTAGAACATCGTCAGGATATAGGTGTACGTAGGTAAGCTTCACATTACGTCTACGTATACTCCATAAATTTTAATTTTACATTAATACATTTTAAAGGGATCTACACTATGACTAAAATAATTTTAATTCCCTGTACTGGCCTGCAGACTCAAAAACCAATTAGAGAAGGTCACAGAATTTACTGAGTGGAATTAGGTCTTCTTATTAGTAACATTAATTAAACACTATTTTTAAACATATGTAATTTAAAGAAAATCCTTAATTTATCCAAAACCTAGTCTATCGTAATTAGGTAATTAACTAAAAATATCTAACATGCAAATCTAAATGATAAAAATGTCATGCCAATAATTTATATTTAACTATTTCAGTTTTCTTGCTCTTAAGTATAATTTTCAGATGTTATGTTTAACAGTTCCTTTAGATATTAAACATTTCACGTAATTTTTACAAATATGTTTAAAAAATACAATTAATAGTTGATTTAATTGTGGCCGACGAGGATTCTCTAAAGGATGAATAGCTATGGAGAGAGTATTGGGTGCGTTCAGCGTGCAGAAGAGGGCATAGTGAGAAAATCACGTGAAACTTACAAATTTTCAAGGAACTGCAGAAAAAAAAAAGAATAAAAGAAGAATAGTAAAATGGAATTGTAGAATATAATATATACAATGTATAGTGGTTCTTGGAAAGTGACGTGTGAGAGTATACCTACCAAACAATTTAAAACTGAATCTGAAATTTGTGTTTAAACGATGACTAGCATTTTTTTGTAGGTCGCTATGGAAGTCTAACATAGAACATCAAATAACTTACTTAAGCGCAGATGTGTCTCAATGATAATTTATCGATTTGGCTACCAGCTTATGACCATACGCTATAAAACGTGCTTGCAAGTACCGAGCAAAGAACTATGTCAGAAGTGTTGTGCATTTGATGCCGAAGGATGACGGATTTAATTCTACGAAAGCGATGAAGGTGGAGGATTTCACAGAAAAGGCCACATCGGAAGACGACGACAGTTGTTAACGAAGAATTTGGGATCGTACTCAAATGCACAACAGACAATTTATTCAACAAAAACTAACGTCAACGACATTAACGCGCTAACATTGACATTCCCATGTCCGAGCTACCGGCACAGTAATCGGTGTCGACGGCTCGGAATCAAATAAAAACGGACAGACAGGCAGACAGACAGACAGAAAGAGTTTTGAAGCACCTCGGTAGTCCTGTCTCTAGGTGGAAGGATTGGGGTACCGTCGGGAGCGTACTCTGCCTGTCGCCCAGGCGGGTGCTGGTACATAGGTATCTGCGCAGCCCAAACACTTCTATATGTATATTTGGAAAAGGCAGCCAGTAAGCAGAAAATCGCTTTTGCCACACAACACTCGAATTGGCTTTCTAATAAGCCACATGCAGCAATGCGCAGCAAACGTTTTAATGCGTATGTACAAATAGCGCAAAAATTTGCCAGTGTGTTGGAATTTTGCTGCGTGTACCTTATTAAAACGTGGAGAGTTGTACACTGATAAAAATACTACAATAAAAGAAAATGCTTTGGATTTGTTGTGTGGCAATGTAGGCTAGATTTAAAAAACAAAAAGTTACATTGAATGAATGTTGTATTTGCTTTTGTGTATTGGTTTTGTTATTTAGGTGTGATCAAGTAAAATAATAGTAGAAAGGAAATGAAACTGTTTTAGAAAATTCTAATCAAACTAACTCTATGTAGACAATAGAATAGCTTAATTAGACAATTTAGAAGAATTTATCTACAAAGAATAATTTGTTTTATTTCGAAAGGAGATAACGTCACTACGCTAGTTTGGATAATGACATAAAATAATGATTTTGCTCTTTCTGGGTCAATGTTATTGCCTATACCTATCGAATAGTTTTGAAAGTTTTATCGTTATCTGATGTAACCTTTCGTAATAAAACATTTTGATAAATTTGTTTTTCTTTAGGACGAGATTGAGGACCTTGTCTTAAGAATAATGAAAATTTCGAGGCAATATTGTAAGCTGGAAAGTGCAAACTGTATCAATGATAGGGTGCTGTAAAATAGCAAACTTAGCCTCATTCCAAGCACGCCTGAGCTTGTTGCGGAAGCCCAAAGCTCACAATATAATTCCTGCTTTCGCCTTCCCTAATCTCCCACTTCAATTTTTATTCGAATCTAAAAACACCTTTCAATTCGTTTTGTAGCATCCGTATGAAGCGACGACTCAATTTTAAAATTGAAAGATACATTTAGATAACTCTCTTATATTTAAGTTTGTATTTTATAAATAAAACAAAACGAAACTTATTTTAATACTTAAATTAAACAAAATTTCAATAATAAAACTTCTTGTACTATTAATTACTATCGGTTCGCAAAATTGGTCCAAAGTTTTATTATTGAGTTTTAGGCAATGAAATGGACTGTTCACAATGCGTGAAAGCATGTGCGCTTCAGTGGCTACCACGAAAGCAATCCTACTTACATAAACTTCTTCCCATTGACTGACGTATCTTACAAGACGGGATAAACGCAGCAATCGCACAAGAGATAACAACTTCGCGAGCCGCAAAATTCGTAATGCGCGGCCCGCGTGGAGGATCTGGAAACTGTCGCCGTAATCCTGGAACAGAGGGTTTAAAAGTTTCGGTAATTCGCTAGAGTACTACAACACCAATTGATCTACACAAAAAAGAAAACATTAAACATACATATATGACGATGCGGTGTCTAAACGTATCAATTGTAATACCACCATGCTGCTATAATCCCGAATTATCCATTACACCGAGTTCAGCCTGTGATTAAAGTATACGCAGGTGAAAATGAACTCTCATCTATGTTAACATATGATCTCTTAAGCCAATATAATGCACGTTCATTATAATACGCTGTAGTTATCAGTTTTCAGTAATACTCACTTATTGACTTTTTTTTTAATTTGTTGAGCAACTATATTATCCAGTTATGCAAGATGCACATCTAAGAAAAGGCATGCACGTCTAGGACTTATAAAAATTCACGGTCACGTCCTCTCTAACAGTTATGAGACCCTGTAAAGTGAATTTTTATAAACTCGTCCAAATTTACTAAAGGAAACGATTTAAAATGTGTTCAAAATTAATTAGATTGATTAGATTTATTTCATTTCAATAGACATTTTTATGACTGTCCGTGTAAATACAAATTTCGCGTAAAAAAATTAGGCCAAACATTTCGATCATTCAGGTGGTGGCAGCTTAAAACCATGTAACCACATCATAAATGATCAGGCAATAGCTGAAATGACAATTACATCCGGTGTGACCTAGGTGTTATTGTGTTTTTGTCCATATTTTACATACATCAAATGCTGTGCATTCTGCTCCAGCATGATAGCTGATTTAGGCTAATGGAGTTATTCATGTTTATGACATTTGAACATTCAGTTTTGTTGTAGCAGCGACACCAGATTACTAATTCAAATTTTCTCTTTTTTTCAGTTTTCACAACTCTACATTTTTCGAACAGCGGGTACATTGCCAATTGTTTGAGAAGTCAAACTGGATTTGATTTTCTAAAAAAATCTAAAGCAGTTAGATGTCAGTACAACTTTTGTCTTTTTTATCTTTGCTAAATAATAAAATAACCTGCATTCATTTATTTTTGTTTTGTAAAAGAAAAATTTGCAAAATTTTTGTGAAATTGTATGCAAAACTCAATGAATGTATTCCAATGCAACTTGATTGGCATTTATCTTATATATTTTTGTATTAATATACAATTGTTTTTATTTGTTTTGTTTTGGTGGTTGCATGGATGAGCAACTTATTATTATTGTTTACATCATTACAAATCTCTGATTTGGTGTGTCTAATTCTGGACTTTCAAACCAAAGCTGTATTATTAAATTCTGAGATCCTGTTTTATTATTGCCAATAGATATTATTATATGTATACAGACACTAAACCACTATTAGAAATCTGTTTTACTTTTCTCAATCCTGCTCTATCTTTAGAAGTTAGAGTAGTATGAATTAAAAGTATTTTCCTATCTCATACAAAAAATGTCTTCTAACCTGCTGTATACTTATTTATATTACAAAAACACAATAACCGGAATACGACAGACATTTGTATAATTTTACATGTGTTTCGCAAATTTTATGCCTACATTTATTGACAAATCGTCATTTTGTTACTTGGTTGTATTTGGAACTGCGGGAGTCATTTCATGTTCACTGCACGTCGCTATAAAATTTAAACCTTATTAAGTTATTAGTCAACGTATTAACAATATTTTAATCCCGGTAGTTGATTTTTCTAGAACAGTAAACATGCTATTTCAAATGCCCACAAAAATGCAACAAATAAATGTAAATATAAGACACATGAATGAGCAGATATTTATAATTCATTAGCCTAGTAAAAATAGCTTAATCGGTTGAACAATAAAATTACCTAGTTGTTTTCTTTAAAATTGTTTGGACTATTTTTATGATATTATGACCTTGTGGAATGAATGCGTCTCATATGCTCGATGTAAAATTTCAAAACAGTTTTTGTTCACCCAACAAATAGATGATTTAACAAATATACACAGTGTATTTTACAAGGGGTAAGTATTAATATTTTTATGAATAATTGACTACTTTTTATTCATTTCGTCACTTGTAATATGATATGTGAATTGACATTATAATCGACACGTAAATTTAAGACCGTTCAACTTCAGTTTTTTAACAATTATAATTTATGTTAGAAAATTTTTAATCAAAAAATCAAAAAATTCAAAATCATTTCGATTTTCTAGAGTATTCACTATTCACAAATGATTTGTCGTCGAAAAACGTAGCGCCATTTTAACGCCGGTCATAAAAGTGGATAGCTTGTGCATTAATTCCCGCGTAACTTTTAGAGTGAATGTTTCAAGACACACTTTAGAATCAACATTTCATTTATTGTTCAATAATCGTTGAAAAAACTTCCATTATCGTAAATTTAATATCTGTCATTTGCGTTACAATTTGTTGTATTTTTCTTGAAGAATAAGAAAGAAGTAAATTCATATTCACAATGATCAGACCGAATCCTCTCTCCATTTTTTTAATGTTGCCGACCTCAAGATAAATTTATTATATCATTTATATTTAAATCAACTAGAAATGATAACTAAAAAAATTAAAAGTTCATCATAATACGCAATTTATGATGTGCAGTTTACTTAAATAATCTTTTATTTTCCGATAAGAGTAACAATTTTTTTCTGCTATATATTTTCCGCATAAAATAGTGTCAATAAATTGATATATAGTTTAGATTCATGAGAAAAGACAGGCTTCGAGGTAGGCACACAAAGAGTCTAAACGAGAATTCGATCTACAGATACGGTAGTTTTGAATAAATTCAGCATTTCTGATATCCAAATGTTCCTTTCGTAAGTCCAGTTTCACACCTTTCCGTTTCACAATTTAGTTAAACTGATTAAAAATCCAAAGTACCCAGTACGATTTGTTGGTCTTATATTTGCATGTTACGGAGACCGACATCCAAAGTACCTAAATTAAACTCCACTTACTTGATTGAATATAAGAAAAATATAATCTAAAGGGATGGACGAGATGAGGTCGAGGAAAAACCACGTCCTCAAATAGTGTTTGGCTATTAGTTTGGGGTCTAAAATGACCTGTTCAGCGTTATCTTGCTGCATTATCCCTGAAAAACGAGCGAACTAGTAATTTATCACTAGCATCCGACATAATCTCACCTGTTCTAAAATTGACTACAATATCAATTAGGAATATTGTATCGGACAGACAGTTGAAGGCAATCCAGCGGGTGCTCAAGTCATCGTTGAAAAAACTTATAGCCACTGGTAGAATTATAAGGTTAGCCACTAACAGCAGAAGCATACACAAATCCCAGTAAAACCTGCAACAAAAAGAAAATATGTTAGAAATTTCAATTATTATTATTTTTTGAATTTATAACTAGGCAAATATTTTCACGAATGGTTAACTGATGGTTAATTTTATCATTTTTATACCTTCCACAATTTGTAGAATAAGGCAGTATGGTCTATTGATGGCTTTATTACAAATTTTATCTATACTTTAAGAATATCGTATACATGGAACAACGCTAACGAAAATTTATCTTTTCATCTCCACCAAATATTTCATCAGGCTATCTCATAATTTTAGTAAATGAATTTTACTATTTTTTTTAACTGACAAGACACTAGACTTAACAAAATATATTTTTATTTTTTTGAGTTATTTATAGAGGATGTTCCCAAAAAGTAAATAGAGCATTTTATCTAATTGATTAAATTAATCAAAACCGGCTTATCTAATTTATCTAATTAAACAAATGTTTATATTAAATTTATTACATACTAGCACAGTCAAAAAATAAACATAATGTATGCAACGACATAAATTTTGCTATAACTCCTCCTTTGTGCGACCGGGTATATGCTCATGAGGGTAGGTAATGTATTGATTTTGGTATTACTTTTGGTTTGGATACATATCATGTATCCAAATTTTTTGAATTTAAATAGTAATCAGAAATCTTTTTGCCCTTTGATTAATATTTTTCAGGAAACTGCAATTTCAAAATGTGGTTAAACAATTTTGATTTTTTTTTTTAATCTGGATACCTAGGGTAAACATTTAACACGGATTCATAAACAACAATTGCAGGTGTACGCCATTTTATAATTTACATAACATTTACTATCGTAAATTTTGGGGATGATGTCATCTCATTGTTGGCGAGGTGAAATTTTGGTTAACATTTATTTCAAGATATCCTAACATACGCGTATTTTTTTTATTGAGAAAAACGCGTCTACCACGAAGGTCATTAGCGGTTGTAAAGTACAGCATGAGGTAACTATAATATAGACGTGACAAATTAAATGTACCTGGAAAGTCCGGAACGACGGAGGAATTGTAGAAGGTTAAAATTTAAAATTTGACAACAATTGTTGTGGTGGTTTCGAAGATTATCAGACAGATAGAAAGACAGAGAAATACACAGACGAAAACGGGAAATCTATGTTTTCATACTCTAGGGGTCATTAACGCTGAGAAGACATGAAAGTAACAATTCGTTGGATGAACTGTACTACAATACTTCCTTAGGGAAGCAAAAGCAACAAGAAAATAAAAAATTTGGCTGAATAATAGGTAATAAAGTCGTTACTTTCATTTTATAAAATGGTAAATGGTCGTGGCAGAGTAGTTAGATATAAAAGCCTTGTGAGAGGAATGTGACAATGAAAATGGATGTGAACAAACAGATACAAGGTACTGAAGATTTATTGTAATAACAAATTTCCTTTCTTAGTTCGAAGTAGTGAAATCATTTGTTCTACGGAACACAAGATTTTATTAGATGGACAAACGTGTAGGCTGTCTTCCAATAAGACATACGAGTACTATGGTATTTGAATCCTTTAAACCCCCGGGTAATCCGAGATCCTGCCAACTGAATTAATTCGATGAAGTCGTCGTGAGGCTGTTAACCTATAAGTGCTATTTTGCTTTGCCCTGTTCGTCCCATTTTGATATTGTATTAATAAAAAATAAAATAATAATAACATTACAGGTTTCCAAATTTAAATTGGTATTTTTGATATATCTTCTTCATTCGAGACAATTTAATAAAAATAATCTTGAAATTACCAAAGCTTACCTTCTTGTTTGGTTTGAAATGGATACTCTTTAATTTAGTTCTTTTTAATTGGAAAGAGTAGAGTTTCATGACAATAGACAATCTGATTATTAATTTTTGATACAGATGACTTACGAATTCTGTTATCTATTACTACTTTAATCTGATTTAAACTTTAAACTTTTTTCTTTAAAACTTCTTTATAATCAATACTGTTGGTATGTATTATCATGAAAAATCTAAAACAAAACTAAAAAAACTTTTTTACAACGAAAATGCAACAAAATTTGCAAATTATTTAAAACCCAAATTTAATAAATAAAATTAGAACAGCAGCTGATAAGGACAAGATTGACTTTATTAAAAATTCTACACGATTCATGTACCGAGATCTTCAGAAAATTGATTTGTTTTTAATAACTGCCACGGCCTCGAAATTTCTCCTTTAAAATACATATAAATGGGTTTTACACGTTGTCAACTTAAGCTAGATTAATGTATAGTTAAATTTAATGCAAAGATGTTGAAATTCTTCTTCTTTTACACAAGTACGTTTTGTTAGAATCCAGACAAAACATTATTATGACTATTTATATCATAACGGTAAAAAAACATATGGCGTTATTGATAGTTTATCCTTGTGTGACATGTAATCAGTACGCCCCTTTAGTATTTATTAAATAATACAAACACAAATTAGTTATCAAGATGATACATATGGTGATTTAGGTTTCGCTGTCATAAACTTAACCATGTTATTCAACAGAGTAAGATAACATGGTGTAGACAATTCGATGACAGATTTATCTAAGAAAACTTTTGAATCGGGGTCAAATAATTTGCATATATAGTACTAAAACTTACGTGTTTTTTGAATAGATAATTGACATTTCGTAAAACTGATTAATAGTGTTTATAAACATTTTTGCAATAATTCATTTTTCTTGGAAGTTATCCACGTTAGCAATCAAACATCTCAAAATAACGATTCCAGGAATAGCCGCAGAATACGGGTAAAATACAAGCGATATTACGTAATGTTGGAAAGCAAATTGAAAACAATTTTTATTGGCTTTTTTTTCTGGGCGATATTTATTTGCATGCTTGAGTTTAATACAAAAAAAAAATAAATAATCGAAAAGCACCAGTTGTAATAACTTAACGAAAATGTAATATAAAAAATCTTTGGATTACCTCTGGATATTGGTTACGATATCTTGGGTTTGTGCCTTATCTGTTTACATTGGTTGGATGAGTTAGTACTTTACCACTTTGCATCCCAATATAATTTAATTTGTTATGATAATAAAAAACAGAGTTTAACTATTCTTAACACTTTTCGTATAAATAAATTTGTACGATTATCTTATCTGTTTATAAAGGATATAAATAAACTTCAACCGGCTATTCGAATCAAATCTCTCCGAACAGTCGCCAGAAAAACGTCCTCATCTAATCATGGTCTTCGACATCAAAGGCAAAATTGCGTTAGTGACTGGAGCATCTTCCGGAATCGGTTTCCATTATGTGAAGGAACTTCTTAGTAATGGAGCTAAGGTACATTTTTTAATTTTTTTTTTCAATTTTTTTTCACTGCAATTCTATAGGCTGTGACCATTGCTGACATTGATGTCACGAAAGGAGAAGAATCGGCCAAAAAGCTTAACAATGAATTTGGCGGCAACAAAGTCATTTTTGTACGCACGGACGTTACCAAAGCAGATGAGTTAGAAGGTAAGAATTAATTTGTGATGTTTTTAGCAATAAGCGAAAGTTTAGAATTCATTATATTTTTATATTTTTTGCTGGTATTTATCAACCAAGCGATCCTCCTAGGCCTCGAAGATCCAATAAAACTTTACCTGGCACACAAACTTACTAGGACTTTGCAAACTTTTATCAATATTAAATTCATGTTTTCAGCTGCCTTCAAGACAACCCTAAACACATGGAAAGGCCTCGATATCGTTATAAACAACGCGGGAATCATGAACGACGCCAATTGGGAACTTCAGATTGCAATTAATTGTGTAAGTAATTGTTATTTTTGTAAGACGTTGATGGCGTATATTCAATTAGCCTTCAGTTTATTTAAGAAAAATGAAACCTATTTTCAGTAGTAGTGAATATACATTTATCAACGCCTGTTCAGTTTGCTTAAAACATTTTCCAGAGCAATCAAAGTTGGCAGTCTTATTAATCAAGCAAAATGAATGATTAAAACTTGAGTTAATTAAATTTAAAAATGCTGATTTTACAATTAATAACGTCTTATATAACAATGGAAGTGGTTATTACACTCGTACGTAAACGTAAATAAAAAGCGTAGAGAAATAACTTGATATTGTGGACAATTGTTCATGCTTTTACAAGATATTGAAAATAACGTCTATAAATATGACATGTTACTCTTAAGTTTACATAAGTATTAGCTTGTGAAAAGTTTAGTGATAGAACTAGTCAAAAAAAAAAAAAAATCAAAAAGACAATGTGGAGCTAACTAACTATTCGGTTAGTGTTATGTAACCGCACCACCAATTACACTAAAATTTTTGATATATTCTTTTTCTGTTGCTTTTTTTTTAGTATACTCGAATAAAATAGAACAGCACTACAAAAAACAATAAATATTAAAACAAAATAAAATGCATTTTTTGGAAAATACGCCCGCATGCATAGAGTACTTCAGAAATGAGGAAAGTTCTGTGCAAATAGTTTTTTTTTCTGTTGTTTTGGTAAGATTATTATGCTATAAATAAAATAACACAAATTTTTTAGATCGGATTATGTAGCAAATTTGCAAGTAAATATACGATTTGCAAAATTTATTCATGTTTCTAAATATGTAATTATTTCAGTGATTGTTAACAACCATGTGAGCATAATTTCGTTTTATTGCATTGAGAACATAACAGTCCTTCCAAAAGTCTGCAAAAGACGTTTAAGGAAAAAACGTTTTTTTCACTTCTGGTGAAACTATAGATTTTTCACCGTAAAATTTATTTCTTATAATCATAGCAGTTTTAAGAACTGTCCATTATCCACTTCCAAAAATCAGTAAAATTGGTGCAGTTATAACGATTATAATATTTAATAATGAAAAAAACCCCAAAAATACATGGATTTTTAATTTACAATTTTCCTATTAAAAAATACGGATTGGAGAGAAATCTGAAAATGATTTCTCTGTTTTTTCAGAATCATGTCGTCAATGGAAGTCTTCTGGCCATAAAGTACATCGGCAAAAATAACGGTGGCAAAGGTGGAGTCGTGGTCAATATTGCTTCCATCTTAGGATTGCAAGAGCTTGCTGGTTGCCCCATCTACGTGGGTACAAAACATTTTGTCGTTGGTTTGGACCGCTCTTTTGGCACTCCATTCTTTTACAATCTCACGGGAATTCAATTCTTGACTATGTGTCCAGGAGTTACTCACACTCCTTTGATCAGTGAAGCCGGACACTTTGCTTTGCCAGGACTGGGAAATCTAGCGAAGGAACTTGTAGATGGACTTGCATCAATGCCTGGTCAAAAGTAAGTTTTTCTCTGTGTGTACGTACTTCTAAAAATTTATATACTGTGATCATTCTAGGCCAGAAAGTGTGGCGAAAGGAATGATAACATTGATAACACAAGGCGAAAATGGAAGTGTATGGGTGGCTGAAGGAGGTGAACCTATTTATGAAGTAACCATTCCTCAAAGACAAACGCTTCGTAAGAAGTAAAGATACTTAAATATTTACTGAATATTACTTACGTTTTTAATTTAAACAACTGCTTTATATCTCTTACCTACTAATGTCATATATATGTTCAACTTTCTGACATAGGAATTAAGAGCTACTTTTTATTCTGTACGTGTAAAGGTTCTTTTTTGAAATAAATCACTTTCTAAGACAGTGTATGATTAGTACTTATTTTTCAATAAAAAAAATGAACATGTTTCATATGCAATGAGTTGATGCTAACTCAAACAGTGCAATGCCACTTTGAGATAGATCGCAGTCAGTCATTCGAACTGAATTATTCGTTGCCTACCTATGAGACCTCAAACACGCTGGCGAAACTTTAGCTATTAGATCATCACAACGAAGCGGCAAAATTCACGAAATTTCAAAGCCAACTTGATGCATTATCTTTTATAATTACCTTGTGCTTTGTACCGTATGATCCCAAAGATTTCAGATAAAGGAAAGCTGTGATGAGAGTACTAGTTAAAAAAAAAACTGCACAGATGAAAGTCTTATTGCCATTGCTTTTCATTGATCTATTTACTCATCTTGTCCTTTTTTTTTGAAAAGAAATAGGATAAGCTTACGCTGTTGTCTCAAAACTTTTGGATCGTACGGTATCGTACACTATTTATATAATTTCTCATTCAAATTAATTTATAGCTCAGGTTCTTATCCAAGTTTGTAAAGATTTATAACAGTAAATAAATAATAAAAGATAATATAGACAGTTTATTAAAATATTATCGTTCTGTTTGCCCTGAACATCAAAGAGTTCAGTCCATATTACTGAATATTTTGTTACCATGGTATTCTTTAGGATCTGTATGCGATAGCTCTTACTGCACTTTTGACTAAATTTTGACGCAGTGAAAAAAATCGTTACTATACTTTTCTAGTCAGGCCAAAACAAAAACGTACATAGTTTTGAAGAATGTTCAAAATTGACTGTTATTTTTGAGGTTTCCTTGAATTTTGTGGTCTGCTAGTGTTTTAATCGTTTAAGCTCGGCCTACGTAACTTTTTCCATAAAAAAAATCTGCTTTAGTCTAGTTCCTACTGTTGTTTAGCATCTTCGAAAGGAATGAGCCAAGAGTCTCGTGGTTCTATTTGACCTCCTGTTTATGAACTGCGCCGATTAATTCCACTTATAACCAACTTAACTTAAAACAACGAAGAAAAATTTTACCGTTACAGTTGTTTTTCCTAATATTGCCATTGTCGAAAACATTTCAGAGAAGCCTTGACCCAGTAGCGCTTTATTAAATGTTTGTAGGCGCCTTTATTAGACAGATAATCTCCGAAGTGCCAAATTTTAGGTGCATATATTAAGACTGTTCTCTATACGACAATGATAAAAGACTAATCAAAATTTATCTGTGCGTCTCTACTAAAGATTTAATGGTGTCATCTCAATACTTTGCAAAGTAAATTTAAATTGCCATTTATATTGTAACATGCTAATGTGAAATGTGTCAGTTAAACGCGATTTGAAAGTATTCGTGTTCTATTCAGCACGGCGAAGGGATATCGGTCCTATGTTTTCACTTGTTAGCACTTTGAAATTTCATGAATAGACACGACTTTTTAAATCGTTAATCAACGCAGACGATGTTCTCTTCAATACTCTGCTTTTAAATCATGTAAATCGGACATAATATTTTTTGTTTTTATTTCTACGAATAAAATGTCCTCAGCGACAAAAAATGACCAGTTTCACATAAAAATCGTCCAATTTTGGCCACAAGAGGGACTAGTAAAAATGGTAGACCATGGCCGACTCCATTAATCTCTAAAGAGATATGGCCGTTCCATTCGGCGTTTATAAATTGGCTTTCCAAACAATTGAAAAGTTCTCTAAAGTGGTGCCATCTGACAATGGAAATGTTAATAAAATACAACCCCGATTGAGTTGCCATATTAAATTTTGACAATTTTTAATTTAATAAAGTCAAATTCAGATCAGGAATGTTTATAACAGAACTCATTTTATTAAATCAAATGGAATAAATAAAAATAACAATGGAAAATTCTAATCATGTTAATGTAAGTAGATATACCTGAATACCTATGCACTAAATAATAATAAAAAGAAAATTACAACTTTAGAACCTTTCTGCTGACTGGTTTGTGCTGCAACAATTTTGCCTTGACTAAATCTGTGGTTTCAAGACATATGTTGTCCAAAACAGGTTTTACAGTTGTTGTTACAACAAATTTACAAACTAAACGTTTATGTTTTTCACATTTAAATAGAGGGTTCTTCTCTAGGTGAGGAAATATTATGTTCAGCAACTGTTCACAAGCTCTTTCAAATTTTAAAAGTGGAAACATTTTCAGTGCAATGTCCGATATTTGTTTCACAACCTCTACAAAATGAGAATTTGAATAAGTTTTAGTCCTCCGCTCAAATTAGGATAAAACATCAATGTCAGCAAATAAAGAAATCTGTAATTAAAAATTAATATGCGTAAGGACCACCAGAGTCCGACAGTTTAGGGTCACTTCATGGCATACTTTCCGCACTTGCCAAAAAATACCGAATGGAACGGCCATATCTCTTTAGAGATTAATGGAGTCGGCCATGGGTAGACGTGAATTTTATCAGTGTACGTATAGCAAACTGCTTAATTGTCGATCAATTGTCAATAGAAAATTTAATTTGTCATTTTGACAGTTTCAAGTTTTGCAATAGAAATCTAAAAATACCTTTAACTGGCTTTCAAAAGCATAGAATTTTATAAGGACTTGTAAAGGGAGTTCATCTAAAAGCTACTGGCGCAGAACTGCAGCGTTTATTTTGTTCATGCGTTGTCCATTTGTCATGGTATTTAACATTTTTAGTTTATTCATATTTTCTTTTGATAGTTTTGTACCAATTTTGTAAGTCCACCGTACAGTCGGTTATTTTAGGACACTTAGGTTTTCAGCAGATATGATGAAAATGTGGTGAGATGATGAAAACAGAGTATATTTTTTAGGTGGCTGAAATGTCATTAACTCTTACTTTTATAGTTGTCAATTTATGGAATATAATGGCTTTAATCAGAACGCTTACAGTGAAAAAACTTGATAGTTCTCGAGTATTCTACGATAAATTTCATTTTAAAAAAAGATTCAATCACTTAACACGAACATCTACAATATGGAATCGTGAGATGTCCTGCAAACGTTCAAAACATCCGGTTAATTGTAAAATTGCCCTAATAACCGGAGGATCCGTTGGTATTGGCTACGAATTTGCTAAATCTATGTTGCAATGTGGCTTAAAGGTAACTTTAAGTATTTTAATTAAAAGTGTCTACTCGTAATTACATTGTAAAAGGGAGTGGTGTTGGGAGACGTTCGAGAAAAAGACGGTAAAAGAGCAGCAGAAGAATTTAATGAAACTTTTGGTGAAAATAAAGCTTTCTTTTTGAAATGTGATGTGACCAAAGGGGAAGAACTGGAAAGTATAAGATTCTTATTAGATGTTAAACCACGAGAATAGTGTTTATTTTAAGATTTATTTAAATATTGCATTGATAAATACAAAACCATAGATATTGTAATCAATAACGCTGGATTACTCCAAGATAAATATTGGTCTCTTGAAATTGACGTTAATGTGGTAAGTTACATTTTTGTCAACAGAACTACGCTATTGTTGCATTATTTAAATAGAAAGGTGTGATTCATGGCACATTACTTGGTTTCGAATATATGGGAAAGCACAAAAAAGGTAAAGGAGGAAGCATTGTAAACGTTGCATCAATTTATGGTCTACAACAAGCACATGGGTGTCCAGTTTATAACGGTACGAAGGCCTTTGTTATACGTTTTAGTGATGCCATGTCGAATGAATATTATGAAAACTTAACTGGAGTCAAAGTTTTTACCATTTGTCCTGGTGTAACGGACACTAATATGATTGATGAATCTGCTAAATATGGCTTGCAAGGGTTTGGTGATGTAGGCAAAATACTAAGTGACGCACTGGCTAATTTGCCGAGTCAACCGTAATGAAAAATAAATTGAAGGGTGTTGTTGTGGTGTAACGATATTCTAAAACTTTATCAATCCCTATTTTCAAATTTGACAAAGTACTTAGTCATGGAAGCTTCAGTAGATTGTGCTACACCAACACCCTCACCTTGCTATGCTAACAGCTTCACATATTTAAGGGCCGAAGCTTGTGGAAGATGTCTACTGAAAATGTTATGTGCCGATGAAAATGGCAGCATATGGGTAATAGAAGAAAGTGAGTGTTACGAAGTTAAGCTTCCTGATCGTCATACTCTTCGAGGTTGTGATGATGATTGATTTGTTAAATGATATGTAATTTAATAACATGTGCAAACAAAAATTAAACTAGTATCATCAACTTGTGATCATTTTAAGATTTTAATAGAACGTCGTTTATCGTACAATGGCAGATATTAAAAAAATCAAAATAAATCTGTCACATTTGGTCGTTCAAACTGTCAAAATTATGAAATATTTTTTCGTGTTAATTTAATAATGTTTAGACTATTGCTATACAAACATACAAAAGAACTGATTACCACCTTTTCAACTAACAGGTTCCAACCACATAGGTACTGTAAAATTTTCAAGTAAGGGCACTTATTCCTTCAGTTTTTAGAGGTATTTTTTACAACTGTGCGCTGTCAAAGAAAAAAACTTCATTCATCTCAAAAGGCAACAAAAAAACAGATAAGGCGAGTCAAGAAGTGTTTTTTCCTTCATTGAGAAACGAGAGCATAAAAGACAAAATAGCTTTAGTAACTGGAGGTACTGAGGGAATTGGCTTGCAATGTGTCAGAAAATTGCTAACTGGCGGAGCCAAGGTAAGGATCAAGAAACAAATAAAACAACATCAATGACGCTGTAAAAGGGGGTAATGATTGCAGATACGAACGCAACCAAGGGTTACGATACTGTAATGAAGTTCTCACAGGAGTTTGGTCGAAACAAAATTACTTTCATCCAAATCAAAGCCGCCAATTATGTATTACTTAAAAGTTTCAAGTTTTAAACAACTGGAGATTGCGTTATACTAATTAACAATTTTTTAGACGCTTTTATATCTACTATAAACTTCTACAAAGGTTTAGATATAGTGATCAATCATGTTAGATTTCAAGAGAAAAATTGGGAAGATCAAATAGATGAAAATATTGTAAGTTTACCAGATACCGTTAAAAAATTCTAGCACTTTTGGCATTTTAGAAAAGAGTAGTTCTAAGTACCCAACTATGTTTGGAGTTTATGGGTAGCAACTACGGAGGAAATGGTGGTATACTTCTAAATATAGCTTCCAATTATGACGAAAGAACAATTTCTTGCCCCCTACGTCTCGCTATACAAGACTTTATAGTAAGATTTGATAAATCGGTGGCGAATGCACATTTTGATAGCTCTAATATCAGAATATTAACAATATGTAAAGCAACGTAAACTGATTTACGCTTTTACAAGCATGCAGTTTATTGTTTTTAATTTTAGGTTTGATAGTATTGGATGCGATTTGTCTACAATTATAAGCAAAGGACCAAACGGATGTGTGTGGGAGCCTGCGTAGTATTTTAACAACTGATACCTGTCTGTTCTGTCGTCTTATTCTACAAAGATAAAATAAGTCTGCAATAACAATAATTGTCTGATTTTTTAAATTTCGAATACGTTGCAATAAAAGTAGTAAATACATGAGCGGACGTAATTTTACTAATTTACCTTTTCAATTTGCACTCACCTAACCCACAATTAAAAATTGCTGATGCAACATAAGATTATAACTCTTATTTTAACTTTTTCTTTCTTATAGAATATTAAAGATAGAATCAAACTGTACTTTACTTATCTAAGTCCCTAATTATTCATAGGAAGCAGGTTAAACGCAAGCACACCACCAAATTTTTGTACAAACAAAACCAAAAAGTAATTTACTTCAAATTACAACTTTCTAGCAAGGCATATATTCGTTACTGGCACCCTTAAATATTAATGAAGCCGAGCATTCTCTTCATATTTACGTATTTATGTGTACAACCGAGAAAATGTCAGTCCGTTCCGAGGGCGCAAAATGAGATTTTAATTTTTCCGGAATACAATTTCGCACTAAGTGTATTTTTGGGTGAACCTGTCTTTATCAGAATACAATTTATGTATTGCTTGTTTGTAAATTACACACTGTCATTTGATTAAAGTCATAAACTTGCAATAATATTAATTTAGATAAAACACAATTGCTTGTCAAGTTGAATCATGATCGTAATTATAGATGCGAGAAAATAAAAAATTGTATATCTACTGACAAAAAGTATACTTTTTTCTTTCTCAAAATATTGCGAACGTGTTATTAAGTAAGTCATTCATCTGAAACAACTTAAATTGCTAGATTAAGTATTTAAAGGAGGCCTGAAACTTGTTAAAATTTCTTGATTTACTCTGGTAATGAATAATAGTCTGGATGAACCAACCATCTGTAATGTTGATTTTTTACAACAGCAAACAAATATATTTTAGAGATGTGGGGAAAACCTAACAAAAAGTAAATTTGTTCGGAAGTTTAAATGCACATTAAAAAATTATAAGCTCTAAGCTCAATGTAAACATACATAATTATATAATTTAATGAGTTATTTTTTTGTGTCTTCTAATTTAATTTCGTGTTTTTATATTCATTATAATTTAAAATACGTCATATAAGCAACATTCACAGTGCACACATTCCAATAGAGTCATATTTGGGTAAACAATGTAAAAATGTACCCAAAAACTTAAATTCAGAAACTGTTCTTCATTCTAAATCTTATCCCACGTATTTCCTAAAACTAAGTTTTAAGAATGAGTGGAGTGGATCATTGTTCAATTCTCAATAAAATTTTTCCAGGAACCATGTAATCCGGTAACATATGTTCCTCGTAATTTTTTATGAGATAATAAGGAATTGGGGAACGTCTTCGCCATAAATCCCGCACTAAGAACGAAATTATTTTCTCTGACACAACGACTGCTTTAGTATTGCGAACTAGCGGTGTCGTGTTAAAAAAAAAATTAAAATGTTTTTACAAAAAACATAGATTTCAGTATAGTTATGTATTATGTAATATGAAAATTATGAATGTCTGTTGGCGATTTTAATAGATAGACAAGCGAGACGAAAAAATATGTGAAAAAGGCACGTATTATTCAGTTGTCATAGTATAGTTCCGTTGTCGTTAATTCTTTCCTTTTAAATTTATCAATTTATTAATTAAAAAAAAAAAATTAAATTCGTTAGGACATTTATATAAAAAAATTGCATAGTTCTCCCTTATTTTACGATTAATTTCCTATCCAATCATTTATTACGAATGATGATGAAAACCGTCGTCTTCGATGAAAACACAACAATAATGTTTTTAGGTGGCTAGAATGTCATTAACTCTTTCGTTTGATACTTGTCAATTTATAAACATATAAATTAAAATGGCTTTAATTAGGCCACATATGTTGAAAAATTTGGGGAGTCTTCGTTTATTCTACGACAAATTTCATCTAAAACAAAATTCGAATCATTTGTCCAGTAAAAGTTCAAAACATCCGGTTAGTTGTAAAGTTGCCCTAATAACCGGAGGATCCGTTGGTATTGGTTACGCGTTTGCCAAATCTATGTTGCAATGTGGCCTAAAGGTAAATTTAAGTACTTGAATTAAAAGTGTCTAATCGTAATTACATTGTAAAAGGGGGTGGTGTTGGGAGACGTTCGAGAAGAAGACGGTGAAAAAGCAGCAGAAGAATTTAATGAAACTTTCGGTGAAGATAGGGCTTTCTTTTTGAAATGTGATGTGACTAAAGAGGGAGAACTGGAAAGTATAACATTATTATTAGATGTTGAACTATGATTATCGGATTTATTTTAAGATTTATTTGAATGTTGCATGGATAAATATCAAGCTATAGATATTGTAATCAATAACGCTGGATTACTCCAAGATAAATATTGGTCTCTTGAAATTGACGTTAATGTGGTAAGTTACATTTGTCAACATAACTATATTACGCTATTGTTGCATTATTTAAATAGAAAGGTGTAATTCATGGTACATTACTTGGTTTCGAATATATGGGAAAGCACAAAAAAGGTAAAGGAGGAAGCATTGTAAACGTTGCATCAATTTATGGTCTACAACAAGCACATGGGTGTCCAGTTTATAACGGTACAAAAGGCTTTGTAATACGTTTTACTGATGCCATGTCGAATGAATATTATGAAAAATTAACTGGAGTCAAAGTTTTCACCATTTGTCCTGGTGTAACCGACACTAATATGATTGATGAATCTGCTAAATACGGCTTGCAAGGGTTTGGTGATGTAGGCAAAATATTAAGCGACGCACTGGCTCATCTGCCAAGTCAACCGTAACGAAAAATAAATTGAAGGGTGTTGTTGTGGTGTAACGATGTTTTAAAACTTTATCAATCTCTATTTTAAAATTTGGCAAAGTACTTAGTCATGGGAGCTTCAATAGATTGTGCTACACCAACATCCTCGCACACCTTGTTATGCTAACAGCTCGACATATTTAAGGGCCGAAGCTTGTGGAGACTGTCTACTGAAAATGTTATGTGCCGATCAAAATGGCAGTATATATGTAATAGAAGAAAGTGAGTGTTACCAAGTTAAACTTCCTGATCGTCATTCTCTTCGAGTTTGTGATGATTGACCTTTTTTGAATGATATGTAAATTAATAAGTACCTACGAATAAAATTCAAAGTTGAATTATCAGCAACTTGTGATTTTTATAGGTGTTTATTGAATATGTTGTAGACCCCGTACAAAGGCAGTTATTTTAAAAGATCAAAATAAACCTATCACATTTAGTCGTTCAATTTGTCAAAATTATGAAAAATGTTTTCGTGTTAATTTAATAATGCTTAGAATATTGTTATACAAACATATAAGAGAACTGAGTGGCAGTCCCTTAAAAGTCTCCAATCACATTGATATCGCAATTTTTCAAGTGAAGAGCACTTATTTTTTCAGTTTATAGAGGTAGAAGTTTATTAATATAAAAAACAACAAAAAAAAAACAGATATGGCGAGTTAAGAACTCTCTTTACCTTCATTGAGAAACGAGAGTATAAAAGACGAAATTGTTTTAATAACTAGTGGTAGTGAAAGAATTGCCTTGCATGTATCAGAGAATTGTTAACTATCGGAATTAAGGCAAGGGTCAAACAATTGGTCCAATGTTATTTAGACCTCGTACCTGAGGTAAAATTATCAAACAAATTGAATGTCTTAGAAAAAAATTCAATGCTTTAAATCGTGTTACGTGCAACGTGTGGCAAATATTACAGAAACATTTTTGTAAAGTAACTGTGATTAAAAATCAAGGTGGATTCACAAAGTACAGTATTCTATAAAATTTAAATAGTATTACTGTTGATGTGGCGTCATCAGATTGTTGGTGGGGATGATCAGACAAATTTTAGTTAGCGTTTTACCAGCTCCACACATTAAAAAACTTGACAATAATCGGCCCAATAATTTCGGAGATTATTATCTATCTAATTAGAATTGACACAGGCGGCAGACAGACAGACGGAAACAGGAACTTTGTTTCGTCCTCTAGAGGCCATGAATCATCGGATGGACCACATTTCAATACTTCCTTATTAGTAACTAAATTTATTCCAAACTTTATGGACACGTTATTATTACTAAGTAGTTACTTTTTTTTATTTTCTAGAAACAATTCTTGTTCTCATATTTTTCTTTCTCGTAACATTGTTACTGTTATTCGTATATAACATAATTTAATGAGTTGCTTTTTTTGTGCCTCCTAATTTAATTTCTTTTTATTTTTATATCAATTGAAGTTTTAAACACATTATCCATAATTATACAGGGTTAGTCACGAAAAAATTACTTCTGAAAATTATTTTTACGCAACCCAAAATACTAATACGCTGTACCACTTGATATTATCTAAATTTAAAATGAAATGCCTAATCCATGATTGCTTTGACTTTGGCAGTGTCACTTTGACGTAAATTTTTTTTTTTTTCATCGTTGACTCGGCTCTAGAGCCCCATTGGATCGACGACATACGGTCAGATCAATCTGGGCTATACTGAAGCCGTAAGTGCTCTACCAATGTTGTTCGCCGCTAATGTGCATGTGTTAATTCGCCATCTCTGCGTCACCTAGAACCTCGTCGAAGTGCAAATCTGCAACCTCTGGGCTTCTTCGACCATCCATTTACAAAAAAGTCGTAGCATCCCCCCAAAATGTCCAACATTTTCAACAGATTAGTAGTTAAATTATTTACTTACTTGTTTGAGTTTATGTTGTAACCTTTGAATAAAATGTCGTAAAAGGAATTTTTAGAAATAATTTTCTCGTGATTAATCGGTTGCAAAAGATCAAGAGGCACACTGACAAATTTATTAGCGGCGCCGAAGAAGATCGTCGACTGGCTGCGGTACCACCATGGACACTCGCGTAACCTCCTTTTCCACAATTGTCAAAATGAGATGCCAAACTCAAAGCAATCATGGATTAAGCATTTCATTTTAAATTCAGTTAGTATCAAGTGGTACACGGTATTCGTATTTTGGGTTGCGTAAAAAAAATCTTCAGAAGTAATTCTCTCGTGACTAACCCTGTATATGCACACATTCCAGTAGATTCAGATTTTTGTAAAAAATGTAAAAATTGATCCAAAAACTCAAATTCGGAAACTGTTTTTCATTCCGAGATGTACTGATTCTCCGTTATTTCCTAAAACTAAGTTCTAACAACGTAGTAGATCATTCCTCAGTTCTCAATAAAATTTTTCCAGAAATCAAAATCATGTAATTCTGTCATATGTTCTTCCTAATTTTTTACTAGATAATAGGAATTGGGGAACGGCTTTGCTACAAATCTCGTACTAAGAACGAAATTATTTTCTCTGACACAACGACAATTTTAATATAGAGAACTAGCGGTGTCGCCTTAGGGAAACAAAAATAATTAAAAAATGTTTACATACAAAATGGTGGCTTAAAGTCTAAGCTAGAAGAAATCTGAAGTTAACAATAAGAGTTCAGTGTTTTATTGTGCAAATTTTACAACAATGCAGTGTTCTTAAAAATATGTTATCTAATCAATAAATGGTACGTAGCTGCCGATCAAAAATAGTAATCAAATGACGACTGATCAGTTTACTGTAATGCACCAACAATGAGGAATTTAGAGGCAATGTTCAACATACTTAAACAATGTTCGTAGTGTTCACAATTAAGTATGGAGGTATGCAGTCACAAAATCGAAAACACAGAAGTATAATAAGTTGCCTATTCAACGGCGATTACAATATTATGAATTTATAAGCGCAGTACTTGCTTCCATGTACCTCAACTGATTCATCAGAATCCTTTTGGTTCACTTTTATTCTTCGTAAATTTTAAACTTCAATGTTCTAATATCAACATAACATACGAGCACATCTTTGGAAAACACGAATGATCGCTTAGTTTTCTGATAATGATGCTGAAAAGAAGGGTATACGTAAATTTTACATCCGCATAATTAAAAAAAAAAAAACAATATATGTAAATATTATCATTTTAAGAGCAAATAATGTAATCGATTGAGCGTTTCACACAACGAAGAGAAATTAAGTAGAAACAGAGTTTTGAGAAAAAAACAGTCCTTTTTTTAGGGACGAAAATCATAAATACCTGAGGACTTTTTTATTTACTAAAATGAGAAATGACTATATAGTATAATTCTAAATATTAAAAACAAAAAATAATTTTTGTATAATTTAGAAGCCTTTTTGCTTAAATAGAAGACTACACTGTGCAGAATTTACGCAACAAATAATATGATTATCAACATATTGCTTTAAAAACGAAAACACTTACTTTTTATATCTTATTTTCAACGTGTACGACAACAGTAGTCACGTTTGGTTTAGTTTAGTTTATTGTTCAATTATTTTGTAAGAGGTAGGTACTACAACTAAAACTGAATTACTTGTCGAAAAAATAGAGGAAAATTATGCAGAAACGTACCTATATATCATACCTACGATGCAGAGACTGTCGTCAAGAAAAAGTTGTCACGTCAGGAAGGTACAGCGTTGAATTGAAAATTGCCGCCAACTTTGTTTGTGCTGCACGTTTTTATTTAATACATGCTGTAACTGATTAATTCTATTGAATAAATTAATTTTTTGCACTATGACTAACAAAAAGAACTGTTGTGTTTTGAGCGTAATATTTGTTAGCCTAAATTTAACTTCTTTTATGTCTTTTGTTTCAAGCCAAGAAACGCAGCGTTTATGACGAATTGTGTTAAGAAATGCAATACAGTTGATTTAATCATGCAAAACAACGTAGTTGTAAAAAAAAACTGTGCATGTAATGCATGCGTGAGATGCAATGCTTTCAGTCTGCGTATCGTCAAAAAACTGTTCTGTCGTGAGATATAATACCAGTGCGGGTACAAATATAAAAACCACCATATTAAACCAAGTAAATGTCAAATAAAATTTTGTTAAATAAATAACAACGGTGACCTTTCTTAATAAGCTCCACTTTTGTGTAATGTCAGTAAAATCAAACTTAATGTCAGGTGAAAAAGGGGATTTGTTAACTCCTCCAAAGTCTCAGAACAATACATAATCATCTATCATTCCAGTTTCCTTCTGTCAAGTATGAGCTGATGTAAATGCTGTGGACTTTAGTATATCCCAACTGATCAATATCAAAGCATAAATTCTACACTACGTTGGATTCTCTCGAGATTTCTCGGATAGAATTATTATAGGTAGTGCGAGATGTTGTACCTCCATCTTTGCTTAATGCAAGTCTGGCCCAAATCTCCCTGCAACGAACTTCGCGAGAATTGGCGGCTTGGATTATGTCGGGAATATAAAAAACATAAACCTTTGAATTTTACAGGGGATATATTTTCCGGACCATTACTTTACGCGGTATGTGCACTTGGAGGATTTAAGTGGCTTAATCCTTTATCAAAATCATTCATGCGGGAAATCTGTAAAACGAACTGAAAACGCTTATATTGCAGGTCAAAAATTCTAGATATGCGGTAAATACAGATTAGGGATGTAATGTATTTAATTGAATCGAGGAGTTAATAGTTTTACTTTGTGTACTTTGATCAGTCGAGCTTTCGTGTAGGAGGGGAATTCCGATGGAAGTGCATGAAAACATGATAATATAATGTTACATTAACCTATGAACTTCGTTTAATGAATGGTGTCAAGCAGTCAAATGATCACACTCGTGATTCGCTATATCCTAAATAACACACCCCAATGATTTTACGGTTCATAGCTGACTAAATAGATAATCCTGCTAGAAGTTTTTGTGGGTAAGAACAATATCAGGAGCAAACTTTTTTCATAGTTAGTGTATAGAGCAAAATCTGTAAACAACTTGGGCATGACACTCGATAAGGATCCAGAGCCAAGTACAAGTGATACCAGAGATCATTTTGATTTTTTTTACATGATGCTATCATGTGTATATAGGCTATAGCTTGACACAATTTAAACCCTCACCCTAAATTCGAAATAATAATTTTTAATACATTTCCCTATTTTCATGATACAAGTACCACTCGCTCTATATTTTGTTTTAAATTTAGTATTGTCGTAAATATAATACTTTTGTTTCTGAACATTTAAGGCAGTTATAGTATTCTCCATTTACTTTACTGAAATTTGTGTATTCT